TTATATTAAACTGTTCATTTTATTTATCTAGGTTATTACAGACATATTTTATGCAGTTTATTTTATGTGATTTTTATGGTTCATTTGCAACCATTGTTGTATACATCTTGTTATATGTATTTCATGGACGAGGAAACGTGTTTATTAAGCAATACGTAATGGCAGTTTATGAATAGCATTCCGTAACGTCCTGTCTTCATGCATGTTTTAGCTGCCCAATGGCCAATCTAGATTGCCCGCAGAAGGCGGGTCTAAGAAAAACTCACCAATTTAAATCTGCTTTTAACTTGTAATCTAAATGAAATCCGAATCCCAAGCCATATGGAATCAGACCGTTATCTGGGCGTAACGTTGTTTCGTTTGAAACTAGCCATTGGGTTTGAGTGAGCCACCCAGAAAAAACATTTCCCAAAGGCTTCCCGGCACCAACAATTGTGTAATTTCTTCTAAGCATCACAACTCACTCTATCTAGTTTGTCTAACCAATAGAGTGTGGATATCAGTCATGTACCACATGACCATACATTTTCGTCACTTAAAGGCAAATTGTAGTCTAATTGCGAGACTGCTCAAGTGGGAACGCGGAGGAGGACACAGAGAAAGAGGAACACCATCACTTAAGATGCAGACTTATTTTGTAGATATTGAACTGCGTGTGCTCTGAGTAGCTTGGCAACATGAGAGGTTGCACAGCGGTGTGTAACATACTGCTGCGTATTAACTGCTGAACTCCGTGTGGGTGTTGAGGGGAACCTGTGAATAGCAGTGAGTTGGCTGCAATGCCATTGGAACAAAAACCCACATGTGGGAAAAGGCGTCCATTGCATCGCTCCCCTCAATGTTATGTGAAAATGAGGTCATTGTTAAATGAGCCTGGACTGTTGAAAGCAGTTTTGGTAATTGCAGGTTGTGAGTGATTGGAGAACAGACGCGTGCAGGGAAACATAAAACAAAGGCTTTTCTTTAAAGTTCAGAGCTTTATTGGTAGTTTAAAAAAAAAACGCAGGAGAATGCAGCAAAAAGCCCGACACTATAAAAAGGGAGAGGCCATAATGGAACACAAAGTAGTGTGGACTATAGACGCTCATTAAACTACTAGTTAACATAATGTGGCAAGCCCATGGGTGGGGGCCTCCACGTGACGGTTCAAGGACTCAAGTCAGTGACAGAGAGCAGTGGAACACAGTTTATTTGTAATCAATCGAGTGTGTAGGAGGATACGCTCCCCTCGTAACACGTTCTCGACGTCGTCCTGTCCCAGGTCCTACACAGGGGGGGTCAGCTAGTCCAGGTCAATCCCGATACTCTTACCCCTCGTTCAGTCTTCTTTTTCTCTCCTTTCCACATCTTCTCTATCCCCTCTCTCGTTTTTCCACCCCGTTCAGTGGTTTGTTCCCCTTCTTCCCTGGATGACTCAACTGCTTCCACTCTCTCCTCGTTAGGCCGGAGGTCCCAACAAGGCTCGGGGGTATATGGTAAATGGTCTGTACTTGTATAGCGCATTCACCCATTCACACCCACCCATACACTGATGACAGGAGAACCATAGACAGTGACACCTGCCCATCAGTAACTAACATTCACACACTGTAGTTGCAGCTACAGGAGCAATGTTGGGTTAAGTGTCTTGCCCAAGGACACATCAACATGCGGGTTAGCAGAGCCGGGGATCGAACCGACAACCCACGGAGAACGACCGTGCTCCCCACTCACCCACAGTCGCCCTTGGAGGGGTGGAGCCATCTGGCCGCAATATACCTCCCCTCCAACATTAACGCCCTCACCTCTCCCTGTAATCTACCACAATAACCAGATCGTCTGACAGCGGTTGGGTGAACGCTTGGGGCTTAAGGAGTAGTGGGAGCGAATGAATGAATACGGATGTCGGGGGAAAAAACAGGCAGGAAACTAAACAAAGACAGGAAGTAACTGGTGAGGAATGAGCATGTGGTAGGAAAATAAAACGGAAAGTGAAACCAGATGAGTTTATCTAGTTCATCAAACATCACAGGCGTTGAATTACATTTCTATATAATAATTGTATTCCTGTTACTGCTCCATCAGATGAGCTGATCAATAAACAGATCAGGCATGTTGGATGCCGCCTGAGCTCCTCTGGGCCCTCCTTTTCCTCTAATACAGATGCTTTCTTCAATCAATGAATCTTTTTTTTTTCATTTGAATTTAAAATAATAGGGACTTCTGTCGAAAGCAAGCGTGATGCAGCTTCAGCAGAAACACATTTCACGATGATGCTTCTTCAGGATATTAGTGAACGTTTTTGGGAACCATCATCCTTGGGAACACTCTTGATAATGGAGACCCTCGAACAGCTTCATGGTCACAAGCCAGGGTTGGAGAGGAGCTGAAGGGCAGGCTTCCATGGAATCACAGCTGTGTGTGTTTGCTCGCATGTGATCCAACACTGAACTGTGCAGAATGTCCAAAGGAAAACATTTGATGTCAAAGTAATCACTTGCTTTATTATGCAACTCACAAATGCCCTCATCTAAGGAAGCCACGTGCTGTTTGATGTCTTTTTAACGATCTCTGTTCACATACTGGAACTATAGGAGGATATTCAGAATATTACCATGGTAACCAGGAACATGCTAGAAAACCACATCATTGTTCTTCCAACGTTTCCTTTGATGTATATTGTTAGCATAGCCAATAATATGCATAGCTGATGTATATTTTCCTGCAATTAAAAATTTACTGCAAATATATATTATAACAATTAAGCAAAAGCACATTTTTTTTGTAAATTATATTTTGATAAAATTATTATCAAAATCCGAGTTTGGTTATACATTGCATTGCACTTGACATGTTTTTACCCCCCCACACACACACTTTACTTCCTACCCCCAAATCCCCCCCAACACAGAAAAAATCACTAAGCCTCAATCGCCAAAAAGCGCATTAGTATATATGTGGCTTAAGTATTCACAAATTACATAATTCATAGGTAGTACAGACAACCAGAAACAAAGAGTGGATCATACATGACCATTATGGGTCCAATGAGAGAGTCTTCATATTATCAGTATAAGTATTGTATGATCGAGCCACAAGTGGATTTGCAGTGAAACGTCATTTTCTCCAACTTTAAAAAGACCACCAGGTCCTTTGCCCACATGGAGGAGTTGGGAGGGCGAGGTGACGAGCGAAAGCACATTTAACAAAAAATTGAAGTTGGATCAAACATGTTAGAAAAGTGTCTGCAGACATCAGACAGTGGCTGATACTGTAACACATTGTGAGTAACTGCCCCCTAGTGGCTGAGGACATTAAACTGGACTGCATTAACTTAAGTAACAGCAAATTGAAAAAAATAAGGTTCTACTTTGATGCTTCAAGTGTGTTTAACTGTATTTTTACTTGAGAATATGAATATTTTTATATCTTCCATCACTACACCTGTCACCAACATTTTGTGTTCAGAGATACTAAATCTCTTTGAATCTTTCTCCAACGCCACATTCAGTGGTGGTTTGGCTCCATCTAAAGTATGAGGCTTGTCACTGAGAGAGAAATGATGGAAAGAAAAGGAAAGAGAGGGAGAGTAATCCGACATGCGACTCACTCAAAGACCAGAATTCTGTATTTATACAGCCGGAGGGCAATGCAGCAAAACACATGAAACTGTGCTTTGCGCTTTGAAAATCAGACTCTCCAATTTATTTATTTTAATTTGATCTCCTACTTTCAACAGTTATTTGTAATCATTGTTTTTTAACTTACCAATAACACATTTTTTTTAAATATACAAAGAACATATAGGAAAGCTTTAAGGCAATAAACCACTGAATTGAAATAGGTTTGTGACTATGAGAGTACTACTGTGTAAAAAGTACAACTGAACACAAACCTTTTTATTAATCATGTGATGTATTTGCATCGTGTCCGAGCCAAATATTTACTTGCTGTCCATTTCTGTTTGGCCACATTGCGTGTGTGTGTGTGTGTGTGTGTTGCAAACAGGCTTCATGAAACACGTCAGCGAGGAGCCCAGTGAGCAGCGGTGGAACTTATCGTGTCGTGATCCAATAGCAGCAGGACATTTGTCTCCAGCTTGGGAGTACATCAGGCTGCTGGTGACCAAAGCAGCAGTGTCGGAAAGTGATGTGCAATAAGGCAGCGGAGCAAAGGAGGGAAATGACTGACCATGAAAGAAACATTGCATCCAGTTTTTCCAAAATTGTTGCTTTTTACTGAATCTATGGGAAGGTAACGTGTTTGCTTATGTGTGTATCTCTTGTCGGCTCACTGCTAATCTTACAGAAGAAAGTTTTGAAAAAACGTATCCTGTGGTTTTTATTGACAGCTCACTCTTCCGTCTTTTTAACCAAGTCCAATTGGGTACGAATCATTGCGCATCTACAGATTAATTTGAGACCGCGGCGCAGTGATCGATCGGGTGATCCTTCCATCAGATTACGATTCGATCCCCAGCTCTGCTTGTTCATTTCAACGTGTCCTTGGGCAAGAAACAAAACCGCAAATGGCTCCTGTAGGTCGTGCCAACAGTTTGTGAATGTTTGAGTGTTAGTCCTGATTGGCAGGTGGCACAGTAGCCCCGGTCGCAGCCAATGAGGACATTAAGTCTACAGTAGTAGTAGTAGTAGTACAAAATAGAAACTGTCTATACACGCAGTCCGTTTCATTCCATTCATTATAAATCTACGGGCAATTTAGAGTCCCTATATATTTTTTTTAATCTTCACCACCATCTTGACGGAGCCAAGCGGGACCATTGTGTGAGACTCAACTATTCTCTGCCTTAAGATTCGTCTGGATGTGCTCTTTAGGATGTTTTATATTTTTTTTACAGAAGAATGTTCCTTCATCCTATCCGCATGATAGGACCCAAAAATGATAGGACCCAAAAGTGGTTATATTAAGTCGTTGGTTTGAACAATACCATTTTTCCCCTTATATTGATTGTGGTTTTCCCTCTCACACACGCACAAGCAATTTAAAACACAAATGCAATCGGCTGTTCAGACATTGTATTTATAAGACACTTGACATCTTTGAATCATTCCATAAAAAGATCATTGATTTCAAGTCCACTGCTTTGAAAAAATATATATACAGTACCAAAAACAAAATAATTAAAAAATAATATCAAAGAGCTCGGGCTGGATTAAAAAGCACAACTAGGAGTACTGGGTTTGCACATTCAAACTCGTCAACATCAGCTGGAGGGTGTTGAGGTCAATTCTTAGAGGGACAGGACACAACAACACAGGCGGCATACAGAAGGTTGCATTTCACATAAACAATAGACAAGACAAGAGGGGGGGGGTTTATGGACAAAGGCATCAGAGCCAAGGGCAGCATTCCTTTTATCATCCCATGACAAATGCAAAATAACAAGCAGAAGATAAATGCAGAAATATTATGAATAAATTACTTATATAAACAAGATTGATCGATGGCAAAAAAAAATTATCTTACAAGCCAGTTCCCATAATATCCTTATGTAAAGAATGGTCACATCAGCATTTAAAATGTTCTATAAATCCCTGTGATCAGTGGAGTCACGCAGGTGGATTTCCTCTTATTTATAAGTTAGTGGGATTTCGTAAAAAAAAAAATCTTTCTCAATGATAATAGATAAAAATGATAATTAGGCAGATTTCCCTCAACTGGACCAGAGAATGAACTCTGCAATGCAAAGCGTAGTTTCATTGGACTTTGTATGGCTGTAGTCCACCAGGAAAACAGTCAAACATCAATGTTAAATATTGAGGCATTTGAACGCATGACAACAGCGTAAATAGCTGATCAGTCATGTGAGCTACTTTTGTCATGTTTCCAAACAGCTTTTCTGATGCGATACTTCCAAATGGACATGCAAATACTTTGATGGAAACTACAGCCAACAAGCTGATGGCTTCCTCTAGATTTTCTCTATTCCATCATATATTAGCAAGGAAGTGACATAATGCGATAATTCACGGCTTAAAGATCAACTTCAGCCCAACAAAGTGATTCCATGATTGCAGAGAAAATGAATCATTTTGTAGCAGAATGTTTCCACTTTTAAGAGCTGATGTTACCAGGCATCCGTTGGGTCAACACGTACTCCAACCTTTAGGACGTTTGAGTTTTTTTAAAGTGCAACTATGCGATTACTATGGAGGAGAAGCATCAAAGCGCTTTCTATAAACCCCGGCAAAAAGAGCACGTATCTACATACAGTTTTCAGTATTTCCTTTCTTCATTTCTACGGTTAAATGCGAGCCAATTAGTCTCGTACAACTTATCTTGCACATGAAACATCAAAAATCCATGTGTGCTTTTCTAATTGAAAATAGATTTGTGCTGCTGTGACCAATGCGCTCTGTTGACATCATGGTAGAAGTGCCTTCAGATACTCTTGGCATGAACTATGGTTTGGCGACATGGTCTGCAGCCTGCAGATAGCGTGTAGCGCGGCTTCATCGTGGCTGGGAGGCAAAGCAGTGGAACTATTTTCCAGTAATTGAAGAACAGAAAAAGCCGATCTAAATACCGAACTACCACAATGTTCTTAGCCGTTTCATTGGATTTTGACGGTGAATTACATAAAATATGAAACAAATAAAATCACTTACATTTCAAAAAGTCATTGGATTCAACACAGTTTGGAGATATCCGCATCAATCACACACACGAGGGTTCACAGAGGGGTTTCCTTCCCAGGGAGCAGCATGTTAGAAGTCTTTGTGTAATATAGAATGTGTGCGTGTGTGCGTGTGCGTGTGGATGGAGGCATCCTGTTTGTGGTGTATGTGTGTTCATTTCTCCATGAGCATGTGTTGTCTGGCACGCCCGTGGCGTCATTATGGCTGAGAGAAGGCAGTTTGTATAAAGTAAGCACCACCCAAACACACACACGCCCACACACACACACACGCACACAGTTAGCGGTCTGGGGTCTTCGACGTCACAACCTGGCGTGCAGGTTGACGATGACGCCGTCTCCGGGCAGGTCTTTGACGGGCAGGTCACTCGCGTCCCCTCCTCCGTGGTCGGTGCTCTCACAGCTACTCTGAGGCGACTCGGGGGGAGGCTTGTACATGATGCTCGCCAGCAGGAAAAAGATCGTCCCCATTACCTAAAAAGAAGCAGAGAGTTAAAAGAAATCCTGATAGATGGCGTACAGAAAGTAATTCACCAAAAAGGCCGACAGCAGATCTGTCTGCGGGATGAGGAAGATCACTCGTGTGTTGGAGCTAGAGGCCTCAAGTCGCTAGCTGAGCAAAACGCTTTACGACTGTAGCAAGGAATTCATACTTCTATTGAGTATGATGTGTTCGTGCTAAAAATGATGGGCAATCAACCTAACATTCATGGAAACATGCACAACAATTACCGTATTTCCCGCACTATAAGGCGCACCTTCAATGAATGACCTATTTTAGAACATTTCTCATATATAGGGCGCATCGGATTATAAGGCGCATAAGATACTGCAGTCAAACGTCGGGGAGGTGGAGACGGTGCTTTCAGGGTCCGATCGATGCCGCGTGGTGCGTCCGCTCCCGCCGCCCCCCTCGCCACCCACGCCTTAAATCTTCGGCTGCTTTTTGAATAACTTATTTTCCCCGTTAAGATGGTTCAGCTACTGTAGAGAAAAGGGCACCGTCTCTCGCTCTTTAATCTCATGAAGTGCTCGGCGAGAACGACAGCTTTGTTTCTCCGACGCGCCCCGAAACAAGCTCCACAGCTTGAGCGCCGCTCAGCATCTCGCCGTCATAGACCGAGCTTTGGCATGTTTGGCAGAGCGCCTTGAGCGCCGTGTACAACCAGTATGTATCAACCGATCAACCAATTGATCCATATATATATATAAGGCGCTCCGGATTATACGGTAAATCCTCAGTCAATAAGACGGTGTTATTCACGTTTTAAGTGGCGACGTCTTACCTCACAAGTACACGTTTTGTAACAGAGATCACATGACAGTGAGCGGCCAGTATTACCTTGTAGATGATGCCAGCTACTAGTGTGTACCGGCTCATGGCGGAGTTGTGATAGAGGTAGCAGGAGCCCTGCTCACCACACTTATCCTGCCACAGCAAGCAGGAGATGTCGATCACGGAGCCGAATGCTATGGGCCCCGGAATGCCGCCTGTGCGGAAAACAGAAAGAAAAAAGGTCGGACGAGATCTTAAAAATCGACATGAATCAAATTGGTCATGGGGCAGAATGAACAGCGGATGAAAATGGAAGGCCTACCAAGTGAGCGCACCACAATCCACTGGATGCCGAGTCCAAAGGATCTTTGGCTGTCTGGCACACACCTACACACCACACAGTTGGTCAGATGGTATAATGGGTCTTAAAACCTCATCACGATATAAATCGATGCTTTCAGCTCCTTTGGTTGGATTATTTTAATCCGAAGTTTGGCCCGACAGTGCCAGTGTGATCTATTCAGAGCTTCATCCGTAGGGGTCGGAGCTGCTGTCAAACGGTCGGATTTAAAAAACTATATCTTTGGGCGAGGTAGCTTCTACCAGCAGTCTACTTTTAATCAAAACAGACGACAACAACAGGCGGTTTAACGGGGCATCAGTCACCTGAGTGTGGCAGTGAGCGCTGGGATGCTACAGAGGAAGGTGAAGGAGATGATGACGAAGAGGAACGCGAGGAAGGCTGGCATGTGGTGGCAGGAGCTGCCACACTTCCCTGTCAGCGCGAAGCCCTCCTCGCCCCAGGACACGTTTCCCAGCACACAGCTGCAGCCAGAGTACACCTGAAAACAGACCGACTGTTGAATATTGAACTGAAAACATGAACAACGATGGATAACTGGGGGCGTTCTGGCTGTTTGTGCACAATGCATGCGTTTTGTAAATGGGGTTTTTAAATCTATAATAATGTGTTCAGCAGACTCCATTAAAAATGTAAACTATTGGAAATAATGTTTTAACTGGATCTTTAATTCATTTTGCATTAAATGAAGTAGGATTTCGTATACGGCTTTCAGTCCAGAGCTCTTTGTTCCACCAGGTTTCCTTCTGTTAGTGTGTAATCATTTTAGAATCTAACTTAAAATCACAATTTAAGGTAATGCCACGACCGTGATATTGGCGTTTATTTGAGCAGGTTCTTTGCACGGTTTAATGGTTAGAACAAATATCCAAAGGAATCTGTAAAGGCATTTGTAAAACAAAATGCTTTTTTTAATGTACATTTTAGTTTTCTTTGAAATGCAGGAAGGCTCTGCAGCATTAACTGCATTTAACAGTTTTTGCAAACGCTGATAACAAATGACTCACAGCAGTTGATTCATTTAAATGCACTGTCTGTTGTTAGCGCCTTATGCTGGAACGTTTAAAGCAAGTCGTGAGGAGCATCGGGGACTCGTGTTTCTCTGCAGGAGGAAGGCGTCAGCATGAGGGAGGATTACTGCGAGGCGCAGCTGCTCACACGTATTTACAGACTCAAAGCTTTGTACCCTCCGGGTCTCTCCATATAGTGTATAGAGTGCAAAAAAGAACACACACACACACACACACACACATTATGAAAAAAGCTGAAAAGGGCGACTAAAGAACAAGGGTGGGTCAACGGTTTTAGGAGGAGGCCACGTTGGTCGCAGTACCTGTGTGCCCGAGGACACATCTGTATGGTTGACGGAGCTGCAGCCAGCATGGCAGGGCGAGTAGTACATCACGCCGTCTGCCCCGCACACCGGGTTGTACAGCTCTCGGACACAATTGCAGCCGGCATTGCAGCCCACCGTCAGGTCCTCCTCCAGCGAGGAGCTGCAGACAGGAGGAGACGAGCGGCACAGAGTGACGGAGGGAATGTTGTGTGGAAAAAGGTTGGAAAAAAATGTTATTGTAGAAAAGAAAAATCCCTTTCCTCAGTCACTTCATGTCCTCATGATGGGAATAAGTACAATAATAATAAGACCTAATGAGTAAAGCATCGTAAATATTTTATGTCCCAAAACTTGCATGTAATCCCTGTTATTTGGAACCAGGAAGCAGAATCCTTTTACAGTCGACTGGCCAGATATTTACATGCGTATCTTGGAGAAACCGAAAAAATGTCGCTTTACACACGCGAGAAATTCCAAAGAGTCAGTGGATGCTAAATTAAAACCTGTTCCTGGACATTCGTTGGAAACCTCACAGCAACAATAAGGGGCGTCTCGTGTAAGGAAATGCATTTGCAGAGGGATTGATTGAGAACATTTATGGATCAAATTCATCTACAGTCCCCCTTAAAATTAGACAAGCGGTGACAAATTGCTGAAATACACATTCATTGAATTGACATTGTGAGAAAATGTGTAAATTGTAAAGGATTGTTGGTGTAACATCAACGTTAACCACAGACAGTTAGAAAAAATTGTTTCAGCCACCGCTACTATCTCCCATCTCCACCATCGCCCACCTGTTTCTATGGCGACGCTGGCTTGGCTCGTCATACAGGTCTCTGTACTGGCCCACTTTTGGTTTCCCCGTCAGATTGTACTGGTATGGCGCCGTGACGCCGGCCATAGGCACGTTGGGGCAGTGGATGAGGAAGATGAAGATGGCGAGCAGGCTGACCAGAGCGCACATCATGCAGAAACGGATGATGCCTCGACAGCGCAGGTTCAATCTCTTCACGATGTAGCCGCCCAGAAAGGTGCCACCGCCGCCAGCTGGTACCACCATGTACCCTAAGGGGGGGGGGGGGGCGCAACACACGGGCATGCAAAATAATTCTTGTAGACATGAAGTACCCCAATCTTCCAAGTTCGTTGTCATATTTGGGTTTGCCTTGCCCATTGCATCATGGGTAACCCCACTCACCAAACCACGTGGCGGCCTCTGAAGCACTGAGGCTGAACTGTGACTCCAAGAACTTTGGACCAAAGGTGGACATGCCAGCGATGAGCGTGGCCTCGGTGGCCCCGGCCAGGCACAGGAAGAGGAAGGTGGGATTCTTCAAGAGGAGCAGCGCGGACCTGGAGGGACCAAAGAGTAAGTGTGTGCGACGAACTGGGTAACGCGGAGCTTCCGCTCCACTTAAACAAGCCTGGAGACTTTTCTAATAGGGATAAACACGGCTCCAGATCCAAGGGTGCACCGTGGTGTTACATAACATGATAATCCCCAGTGTGACATCCTGTGTGCAGCGTTCGTAGTAAACACAGTTGTGAACCACAAAGTGTCTCATCGGTTTAAATATAGAACTTGTCTGGAATGTGATATTTATTTCCTCTGTATTCTAATCTCTAATCTGGTTGGAAGGATTGTTGCGGTGAAAAAAACTACCATGTCATGATAACTAAAATGAATTTCTAAATAGAGCAACTTGCTTAAACCAGTTAGTAAATCGTTTAGTGAATTTTTATTCGGTACTTATTCTCGTCATCAAACTAAACTACTTGGAATTACGCTGCTGAATGATCGAGGCTACAACCTTTTACTTAAGGGACCCTCAGTAACGGTACATCTAAACTGTACAATTAATCCAAATTAGGGGTGGGTAAATTTTTCGATTCCTCTCGATTCTCTCCAGAACGATTCGGAATTGATTCAGAAAAGTCAATAATCTGAATTTTAAAAAATGAAATTAGTTTGCCTGCTGCAACATTTTGTTGCACGCATGTGCGTCCAGCGATGTTTTTAAGGCCATATTCAGTTGTTGGGAACGTGGGTTTTCGGGGAATGGTGAATACACTGGAGCCGAAGTACAAAATACCTTCTCGGCGATACTTCACCGACACAGCTATACCAATGCTGTACAATGTGTTGAAATGCAAACGCCATAAAGTAGCGTATTATTGCGTAGCATAACTTATTTTCTGTCTCAGGGATATGCTGCTTATTACCCATAATAAAAGGGGCATTTTTTGTTTTAAGTATTCTTATCATTGACTAAGAGCAGCTTTTTCTTTAATAATTTAAAAGAAAAATGAATCTGTTTAATATTTTTTTTACATATTGTGTTGAAATGCAAGCCGCATTGGTTCTTGCATTGTTGATAGAAAATCATATTTGTGACAAAGATGTTTTTTTCCCTCTTATAAAAAAAACTCACTCAGATTTGAGAAAATTTAGAAAATCGAGACGCATCGATAATCGCTTTAGAATCGAAGACCTCTGAATCGGAATCGAATCATGAGGTGACAAGAGATTCCCACCCCTAATCCAAATGGTGAACGCAACAACTGCAGGAAGTTTGTGTAAAGCGTACAATATGCATTTTCCGGTTATTTCAGGGACTTTGGTACACAATTCTCTGTTCGTATCATTTTTTATTTTCATACCTGATAGGCTTCTTTTTGATACTTTGAGTGTTTACTTCTCCTTGGTGCTTAGCCATTGTTCTCAGGTAAGACTTTGATGGTTCAAAGGCGGTTGATGCTGTATGACCAAATACTGGGATACTGTATGTTTTGGCATAACCTCCACCTTTAAAAGCAAGGAGGCATTTTGACCACTTTGAAGCTGAAACTGAAATTGGGGATCCAAGCCAAGAGGCAGGTTTTATTCTGGGGATATTTGACATTCTCCATGTATTTTTTTCACCCAACGTACAATGCAGCACCCACCACATAAATGTGCTTGTAAACTGGCTACTGCAGAATTTAATACAAAGCGGTCTGCATCATTACTCCGCTCCAACCCTCATCCCCATTTCCTCTCTTCTGCATTGGCTCACCCGTTGCCAAAAACGATCTAGTCTACACTGCGTCCTAATCGCGGCGCCGTCCTCCCCGCTAAGCGCACTACCTCGGCATGTCTTTGACCGATTTGCCAAACTGAGGGTCTGCGGCTGTGGTCTGGCTCCCGTCCTTGAGCTGATGGGCCTCCGACACCCGCGTGGCCACGTACTCCTGAGCGCCTGTGGGAGGAGGCAGAGCATGCGAGACCGCGAGCGCCGTAGATTAGTGAATTAAAGTTCTCTTGCTTCTTTACTGCCTTCCCACTGAAAGGCCACGGAGAGCGGAAGTGTGCAAAGGACAGCAGTGGTACCCGGTAGCTGCCGCGGGTAGCCGAGGATGGGAAACGCTACAAGCAGAGCCGCCGCCCCGCCTACCAGGAAGCCGATCCACCAAGCGCCGACCCACAGAGGGTTCTCCGGCGTCATCTCGGTACTGTGACAACACACACACACACACACACACACACACACGGTGTGAATTACTGGATACCGATATCAGCCTTTAGCTGCTAGTCCACGTGTGGACGGGTAAATAGCCCAAATCTTATGAGAGCGTAAAACAATACATTTCTGCTGGTTTTAATCAATAGGCTAAAGGTGTAAATTAAACAGAATTGACAAATGAACAGTGAAATTATGTGGGAAAACCCCATAAATAAATGAGTATTTCCAGCTCCGAGTCGGCTTTCTTATATATGGTTTCCATTTATACTCCATTCATGGGTGTTCCAGTCTACGGTCATTCCTTCTGCCATCCACAGCAAACTCACGTCAGGTGGACCTCGGTGTAAATGTTGAGGAAGTATCCCCCCAGCAGGTAGCCTGCTGCAGGACCCACAATGGCCGCTGTGTAGAAGATCCCTGTGGGGGGGGGGGGAAACCAGACCACGGGTGTGTCAGAACAGTCTGTCTACTTCCTGTTTCCTACAGGTTAAAAGGGCCCCTTTGTTCTGTATTGTGCTCGGTGTTTCCATAAAGTTTAATGTTTAATGAGGTAAAAGAAAAAAAAGAGATTGTTGTCTGAGGCTGTTGGTGTGTTTGTACTTTGGTCTTGAGCACGGCGTCTAGTCGGCCACACTTTGAAATAGATGTGATGTTTTGTCCTCAGTGGACACTGAATGTTGAAGATAGAAAATGACAGAGCTGGCGCTTCCTCTTTATTATGGCCGACACAATGTGTGATGCCATGGACAGAAAAGCTGGATGTGACAGTTCGATACTGATGAAAGAGGAACTTTTTGTATAAACAACCCAGTCTCAGTCTCATAGGTGATTTTATACTGTCATTTGAGCGACATGTTTTTTTTAAATTTGATCCCGGAGATAAAGTGTAACAGCAGCTTTTGCCCATTTAACTTATTCACAACATGAAACAATAATGAATAAATGAACAATCAAACAAGATGAAGGAGTGGGATGTGACCAGTTATTAAGAGTTAGACTAACTTTTTAACACTTTGCCACAGATGTGTTGATATTTTTATGCTCATTCACATTCATGCAAACGACACACACAGTCTGCACCCGACATGCAACCATGAAGGAAACATGTTGTATCGAGTGAGTTACTCACCGATATAAACCGGCGCATAGTTGGACTTGACGTTCTCATCCAGGTACGTGACCCCCAACGTGTAGAGCGGCGTCGCCCCGATGCCGTGCAGAAACTGGCCCAGCATGAACACGAACCGATAGCTGGACAACCCCCCCCGCTCCTTGTCCTGGCATCGGCTGGTGTGGTTGTTGGCCGAGCACATCAACGTTCGCTCGGACAGGCCGGCGTGGTACGGCGGCGTCGTGAAGTGGGGCAGGGCGAACACCAGCGAACCGGACGCCATGATCAGCACCCCCCAGCCCAGCCAGCGGGGCTTGTGACCCGTGCCGCCGAAGTAGCTGACGAAGGCCAGGCAGACGCAGGCGGCGATGTCGTAGGAGCTGGCAATGAGGCCGGCCTGGTAGCTGCGCAGGTCGAAGCGCCGCTCGATGGAGGTGACCACGGTGTTGGTAAAGCCGTTGATGATCATCCCTTGGAGGAAAGACGCCACGCAAAGAAAGAACAGCACCCAGCGAGGGGTGTTGAAAGCCTGCAGCGCTTTGGGAGTCAGGGCCCCCCAGCCACACAGCTGCCCCGGGTCAGTGGAGATCAGCTTTAACCCTGTTGGGGACCCTGCGTGGAGCCGCGTCTCTGCCCCGTACAGCTGCCCCGGGAGCGTGGACTCCCCGGTGAAAACGTGGGGCTGTACAACGCCATCGGCCCCAGGACTGCCGGGGCTACTGGGGCAGGAGCGTAGCGGGCTGCCCGCCCGGGAGTCCGGGGGGCTGGGGGTGTCCAGAGAGGGAACCCCGCTGAGAGGGCAGTCCTGAAGGTCCAGGAGCTCCTGCTTGGAGCTGAAGGAGGCGTCGGCATTAAGCAAGACGGGCATCTCCCCTCTGAGGGGCACTGATCTGGGTCCTTATGGCACAGAATGGGGGGGGGCTGCGGGGGGGTCGATTGGGGAGGGGGCGGGTTATGGACTGCAGAGACCAGAGTGCTTCGTTTCAAATGAAGGAACAAAGCAACGTGAATCAACGGAGGCTCAAGGCGAACGCTTTGTGCGCCGGATCCGTCCGGCCTGAGATGATGGACTGCTTGTGTCGTGTGCTCCATGCGCCCACAATGCTCTCCAGGTGCTACTCATGTGTACCGGGTCGGGCAGGTTGTAGGGACTTCATGCTGACGTTGAGCAGTGGCGTCCTATGCGGAGCAAAGAGAGAGAGAGTTGATAAGTAACCAACATTTAATAGGAGACGTACAAATCATTCACAGCTGAGGAAATACATCACCAAGTAAAATCTGGTGATTTATTTCCCCCAATGCGCTTTCTTTCAAAACAATGATTCTCACATCGACTGCACGGGTGTTTTATGTTGTTCTGTTATTAGTGGTTCCAGGTTTTCTTCCCTTTTTGTTGCCACATTACGGATGCTAAAGCCAGCAAACGCACACACACACGCACACACACACACACACACACACACAGGAATAAAATCCTCCCCGGTTCCTTCTGTACAATGCAGTTGAGTGTGTGGATTATTCTCACACACACACACACACATAAATACTTTAAACTCTTTGACAGTGTCCAAACTTTTAAGACACACAAAGAAACATATTTCACTTTTTATAATTCTGTAATTAACAATAGATTTAGCTAATTGCATATTATGCACACATTAACAGCAGCATACATGCTTTGGCAAAGACATTAAATGATTGGCAAACCCCTTTTAAAATAATGCCCACAAAAATGTAAATTCACCCCACTTACAAAGCTTAGATAAATAGCAATGTACCAGGTTATAAATCTGCTCCATTTAGCTTCCTACCTCCATTCCAGCTGGTGATAATCGACATGACAGAGAATGAAAAATAAGAACAGGGCCGAGTGGAATTGAAAAGGCAGAGAGAAGAACAGTCAGAGTTGTGTCAATGCTAGACTCTAAACCCGCTCAAAGGCTCTTATAGTGCAGCCCCCCCCCCCCTCACACACACACACACACACACACACACACACACCTACCTGAGATATAACTGATAACGACACTGTGCTTACGTCTTTCCAAAACACAGCAAAGGTTCCAAAGCCGGTAAAGAAATACATACATTTCCCCCCCCTCCCCAAAACGTGGCTGAATAATTGTTTGCATCGTGCTGATTTGAGAGGTATCGTGTGTAAACATCTGGGATTTAACAGACACAAACCGAACGGAATGAGAATTCCTTTCAGCAACGTCAGCTTGCTGAGTGAGATGATCGAGGCTCCACAGATGACCGGATAGTAAATAGGATAAGATTTTGTCAAAAAGGCGAAGAGGTCCAGATGTTAGTCCTGGAATTAATTCTAACTCGTTATTCTCTGGAAGCGATAGCCCTGGTATCCGTCTGGGTATCCGTCTTAATCCCCTGAATAACTGGGACTGGTCTGATCTCTCAAATCTATTAGTTAAGCTTTAAGAAACAGACGGCTGGTTGCTGCCTCGTAACACCGGTTATTACCGACGTTCACGGGCGTTTGTGACTAATGGGTCAAAAAACGTCGCAAAAAGTCAAATAACTGGTGGTGGACTTATGGTTTGACCCGACTTTGAGCTTGACTCTCATTGCAGTGAGTACAGAATACTAATGCAGCTGTTGGCTGAACAATAGAGGATGAGGACCACTGACTGAACCACACGATGAGCATGATTAACAAGGAACGGGAGCCACAACTGATCCGCCCCGTTACAATCAGAATACGGAGGTCTGAGGTGGCACTGGAGGTATAAAGGAATTTGGGAGGCGAGAGATTGCGGGTAGGTTTCATAAAGTATCAGAGGAAGCAGCGGACGGGACCATTGGTGGAATCTATCAGGTGATGATGACATGATGAGAAGTGGGCGGGTCTTAGAACAATGCCCTATGGTGAGGCAGTCCTGTCCCACCGCTTGTTGTTTCCGTCCTTCAAACAAAGCCAGAAAATGAAAAGTTCCCACAGGGTTATTTTTTTTCTTCTTCTCATTTCATTCCTATCTCAGTTTCTATCTCGTCCTTTAATGCCTGTTTTTTCAAAGTGAGATCAGAGGGAGCAGTTGCGATATTAAGAAGCGGCGGGCTCTCCCCTACCTGCCGGCTCCTTCATCTTCACAGAAGAAATGTATTTGCTTTGGACTGGAGACTCTTTCCTCCATACGAATACAAAGGCTTTTTTGAAGTAACACGGGGACGCCTCCCATGTGGTTATTACACAGCCACCAAACAAAGTCTCACACTTCCAATCACACCGCGATTGCAACACACTATACAACAAGCGAAGAAAGCAGTATTTACTGGAGCAGATCATTTGTTGGAAAAAAACACAGAAAAGATGATATTCTGCAACGTCACTCCGGCCAAACCTAGAATTAGAAAAGCATTCAGCTCAGAATTGGCCTCCAGCAGCATCGTGCATTTTGACCGTGTTGGCACGTGCATGTTGGGAGGCCAGTATCAGATTAACCTCAGATTAATCCACCAATCCATCCAAGTACAGCCTTTTGATTGTTCTGACCCAAAGTCTAAATGGATTGGATTAATAGATTATGGATGGATTGCGTAAAAACACATATGGTAATAATAACTTTGCGTGAGAGGTTGAACAGTTGGGGGAGAAATGAAGACGCTGAAGACATCTCAACGCTCATCGGCCAACACTGGACACATTGAAAGACGTTTTATTGCGAAGATCACGACAATCGCCTCTTCTCCTGGTCTCACTCCAATCTCAGAAGCGCTGTCCGGCCGGTCGGCTTCGTGGCACGCGTGACACGCGGGCAGCTAATGCAGCACATAGCCAGTCGTGCCCAGGCCAGATCCTCTCGAGCGAGGTCTCCCGGTCAAGTAGCCGCCGTCTCACAGTCGGTCAGGGTAGTCCAACCCGCCAAAGGTCCCACCAGCACTGTGGCGAGTTAATGGGATGGGACACAGTAGGCGCCCACCCAATAACTGTCTCCGGCTTGGCTGCAGATTAGAGGGCAAACATCTGGCCCCAGATGCGACAGACAGCGCTGCTCATTTACCTCTCGTATCTAAAATGTCAGCTCCCTTCTTCATTCTTGTCTGCGTGTCCTCTCTGCTGATTACACAACACAACGAGGAGACAAGACGAGGCACAACAAATGTATCAACTTGAACTGCATCCGAATAACATCAAATTAAGTGCTGATATTGCAGAATGTGTCTGTCAGAACCTGTCCAAAGAAAACAGGAACATGGGATTTGCAATCTGCAACCTCACCGCTAGACGCTGCATGAAGTAAGTACGCAAGTACGAAAGTACGTACTACCGTCACATATATCAGTCAGTTGCGTCTCAAAAGAGACCCAGAGGGATGATCAGACACACGTACACACACACACACACACACACCGGGGGAATGGACCAGGAAGTCCTGATGTACACTAGCTTCTCTTACATGATCAAGTACCTGGATTAGTTGCTGGATCAGCAAACACTGACATTCCTGTCTCCTCGTGTCATTTCTTAATTCATTTTAAAGTAATCTATCACACCATGATGTACTGAATATAAATCACACCATAAAAGCATGTTGTGTTTTTCCTTCAAGTCCTTTCATGTAATATACTTAATACTAATACTTCCATTTTCTATTTTTTCTGATTTTGTCCAAATATATTTTCAAATATATATTCAACAAATACATTAGCCTAAGTGGGCAAAGCTATTTGAATGAGGCAGGAGTTTTTAAAAAATCCCGTGAAATCCTATATACAACGTTGCCTTTTGGGAAACTTTATTGTCCGTTTCAATAAAAGGCCAAACGCTTTGTTTGTTCAAGTAAAACAATACACAGACATGTGTTAAAAAGTATCTGGCTGCAAACAGCATGCGTGACCTACATCTCACACACGTGTGGGAACATGTGACCCTGCTGCCTCCTGTTGGTGGGGAAAGCAACTGAAAGAAAAGACCAGGAGCCCTTTAAGGGTCATATTTCAGACCTGTTGGCAGTCGAAAAGGCTGTTGTTGTTCAAGAGGGGACGTCGATGTGCGCGAGAGGCGAGGACTGGACCCGAAGCTGCACTCAACCCCCGGCAGCGCCTCCGCTTTCAAAGGAACGACGGAGGGGGAGACGGGCCATATAGGGCGTCACCGTGGACACAGAGGGGGGAAACACTGGAGAGTAATTGAATATGGACTAGAACACAAGTAGGGTGTAGTCACCAGCCCTGATCCCAAATGCATGGCTCAACCATCTGAAGAGAGAATGATGGGGGAGTCGCAGAACCACTCCTCCATTCTCACCCCAGCTCGTCACACGGCAAAACGACGCCGGTGTCCCGTGAAAGCGACTGCCTCTTCATCTTGGTCCACACGCCACGTAGGTGGATACGTTCGCTCTTCCTCCACATCTTTAGTCGTTGTGGTGTTCCAATTATTATTATGGGATTAGGCTCATGATAAGAGTTTCAATCCTGTACATATCGGGTTACACAGGGAAACCAGAACTTCCCGAGGTAACAAAATGCTATTTTAAGTGGAGCAAGTTTCTACAAATCCACCTCCTGTAGGAGGAGAAGTATTTAAACGGTAATTGGACATGATTCCATTCACACACAGCCACCACTCACAGCACCTGCCATTGGAGACGAACATCCACACTATGGGAGCACTTTTTGGCATTAAGCGACTTGCCCAAGGACCCATTGACAAGCGGAGCCGGGGATCGAACTGCCAACGCTCCCATCGCATGGACCAACAACGTCTCCACTCGCCAGTTTCATATTTTTGTACTGTTTCAAAGACCCCATTTCCCAATCTCAGGATAATCTCGAACGGCTAAACATTTAAAAATCACTCAACGACAACGCTGTTCACCAACTGAAAATAGAAAGGCCAGTGTAACAGCACGGCGCCCCCATAGAGGTCTGTGGCCTAACGGTAACCATTAAAAAAACAAAATGTTTAGTGATTTTTAAAAAATATATATATTTATAAATTATCATTTATAAAATTAAGCTCGCCGTGTCCACCCCAATAATTTTCACACTGTCAACTTGTTGTTTCAATGAATATTCGCACGTCTGACTGAGGTTTATTGTGAACGCAGCTGGTTGCACAGCGAAAGGCGTATAGCCAGCTGACTTACCATTAAAAACCACGGCAAGGATCAATGGACAGACAGTAAAGCTAATCGGAAATAGCAAAACATAACAGCTGCCATTGAGATCTTAAGGCTTGAAAGTTGCATAACTCAATTGCCAGTAAGTACCTTGCGTGTCTGTGTGTGTGCGCGTGCTGCTAATCCCGCTGTGTGGCCCCATCTTCCATTGTGAACTAGGACGAGCTCTTCAAATTAAACGGCATTAGTTCTGCACACCGCTTATCACCACAGCAACAGAGCTCCCAGAGAGAACCCGATGTTCATCATTAGCTGCACCGTGAGGTTTTTAAGTGGAGCATCACAAAAGGATCAAGGTCTCCCAATACATCTCAGATTGGATCTCTGCTGAAGGCCTGAGTGATCCAGCTGTGGTAAGATGTAGGAAACAGTGAAAGGAGGAGGCGATGTGACACAGGGCGGATTTCCTGTGGTTTGACAGGAAGTGATGAGTATTTGCCTTAACAGCAAACATCTGCATTTCAGGCACATTCCAAAATGAGTAACTTATGAACAAAAGTTAAGGTTGACGATGACAACAACAGGGCACGGAGGAGGGAAAAGAGGACGTGTTTTGGCTTAAAAAAAACTTAATACAAATGTTCAATATAATGTTTGCTCCAATTCAAAAGGCAATGAAACCACCAAAAAACCTGAACATGAATTTTTCAAAAACGGTTTTCACAAACAATCTCAGCGAGCCTAAAGCTAAAAAACAGACCTAAATCTGTTATTAGTAACAAACATGGTTCATTCGTTTCAGGGTCCTGGTTTCTCTCTCATGTGTTTAGGAATTTACTCACTTGATTTAATTCATTTCAATACACATCTTGTGTTTGTCTTCAGATGGAATCTTTTATTTTCTTCTCACTTTCATGTTTGCAGGTATATTTTCCCATTCACCTTTCTGATGATAATACGCCGCAATATCCACGATAAGGAAATGCCTGGAATCACCAGCCACGCCGGTTTATGCATCGGACAACACATTGTCCGGTCGTGCACAGAGACCATGGAGACAGCTGTCAGTGACTGACATTTCCATCAATGATCTCAATTAGCTGGAAAGCACAAGTAGTAGGAAGGTTTCCATTAGCTTTGCAGTAAATGAAACGACGTTAGAAGAAATAAGGACAAAAAGATGAGGTTGACACCAGCGAGGGAAAGGAGGACTCAGCCACTTGGAAGACTCCATATATATACACACGTGTGTGTGTGTGTGTGTGTGTGTGTGTGTGTGTGTGTGTGTGTGTGTGTGTGTGAGTTAATTCAGGCAGATGCTGAGCAGTAAGTGTAAGGAAATATTGAAAATATAAAGTTCAATGATGTCATAATGAATTGACACCATCAGTGTAAATTAAAAGTTTGAATGCAAAAATCAACCTGTCACGGTTTGGGTTCACGTCCCGTTTTATTTTGTAGTTTCATGCCTCTGGTGCTCCTGGGTTAACGTCACTTCCTGCCTTGTCCTGTCTTCCCCTGTGATTGTCTGTCATGTCATGATTGTTTCCACCTGTGTCCAATCACCTGCACCGTCCCAGTGTATTTAAGCCATGTGTGTCCCATTGTTGAAATGTTCTACCTTGAGTGTTCCCGGTTCCTGTCTCGATTTGTCCCCCATGGCATTTTGATTTGGAGTCTCTGCGTTTTGCCCCGTTGGCTTTCTTGATTTTGAATTTTGACTATTAAAGTCTTTTTGCTTTTCAACTCTGCGTCTGGGTCCTGCCTACATCACGATATTGACACAACCGAATCAATCGATGATGTTGGATGAGAGAGTGACCGTGGCAAATGCAGTTCTTGCTGTTCCGATTGAAAGGCTGCATGCAAATATTTCTTATCTGTACTATGACGGTTTGCAAAAAAAAATAAAAATAGCTGTATGATTCCTGCCAATACTCAGCCCCACGTCACAAAGCAGAATGAGCGGTTTGATAGGGCTGCATTTATATTACAGATTTAATATTTGGGAGCTTAATGCGCGTACCAACACGACTCGTTTCCAGTAGCATGCGTTGTTTTGTTTCTCGGCTCCAGCTCATTTTAAACGCAGAGTCGTCGTAGCTGCGCACTTTGGGGAAATCCCTGACAGTCGTGAGTTGAGTCTCCTGCATCACATGGAGGCCCATGAAGCGCGCTCCGTGCGCGGGTTTCCGACCTCAGCGGCGCGCACTGGCTGCAGGAGACAAAGCGCGCAACGCTGCAGACATCGCCCAGGATCCCGCACAGGTCTGAGCGGAAGCGAGATTAACGGCCGCTATCCTCCCGACAGCCGCAGACATGCTGGCCTCGAATGGAACTGTGTGCTGACAAATATAATGAAAACGCACGATGTGACATCGCCATCGCGCATGGGAAGCCAGCGGGGGGTGGGGGGGGGTCCCCTCCCTGCGGGAACCCTTCGGCGGTGCACGGGCAGAAGTGCTGTAGCCTCCGGGGGAAATGACGGGGATCGATTTGAGCGATCAACAAATCAGGGGCACGTGGCGCACCGGATAATCCGAAATTATATTTATCTTTTTCGTCGATTAATTACAATAATAAGATACACGTTGCGATGCAATTATACAGATTGTTGTCGAAGGCTTCCCGCGTAAATGGCAGTATTTGTCTGGTAGAGCAGAACATGCCGACGGATTACAGAAAGCTCCATGTGACGGATTAATGCACCTAAACGCTGCCGGTGGACAAGCCGTCATCGCGGGCGTTACGCACCTGGACGTGGTGAGAAGAAGCAGCATAACTGGCACCAGACATGCTGATCGCTGTCATAAACACTTCGGCTCTGGATGTTCACACGGATGTCCACGCTGCTGATGCTGAGCACGAGCACGTACGCAGCGCGATCCCGATCACCGGCAGCGTCACGCGTTAAAAAAAAAAAAAAAAGTGCTCACCTTAAAACGCGCGGGGGGTCGCTCCATTCTTCACACGTCACGTTCTTGTGACGGAAAGGCTGCCGATGGGGCGGAATCGATTGCAACGCGGCTGGTGGGGAGCGCTCGTTTAGCGCGCAAGGTGTAACCGCTGAGTATGGCAGGTGATTGATGCCGCAAAGCGAGAACGCGCACAGCCTCAGAGCGGCAAACATGTTCACGGTTAGACAAATAAATAATAGATCAATAAAGTATTACTCCACAAAATAAAAAGACAGATCATGGAAATGCAACGCAAATTTATAGGCAGACTGTATGTCCCTTCTTATGGCAGAGAGTCATCGACAACTTCATCATTAAATGTACCAACAGTTGGAGCCTTCTTATTAAGTACCGGGGTTAGGGTTAAAGATGTGGCCTTCAATGTCTGCCACGCAATTTTAGAAGGAAGCTGCAGCATTCTTGACTTGTAAATAATATCCTGTTTTGAGAAGGAAATCTGAAACGAAAGGGTGACATTTAAATTGACATTCTTGGTTTTAATGAGGGCGCCTCCTGCTTTTGTATTAATTCTGATTCTGATGGTGTGAGGCAGATGCAGAACATATTCTGATGGATTAACTGGTTCTCAAACTGTGGGGCGCGACCCTCTGGTGGGGCGCGGAGGTATTACCGGTGGGGCGCGAGGGGCTGAGGGGGTCAGTAAAAAATTAATTAATTAATTACAAATATATATTATTTTATTTATAATCCTTTATTAATCCCACATGGGGAAATTATTCTCTGCATTTTACTCATCGTTAGTAACTAAGGAGCAGTGTGGGCTTCAGTGTCTTCCTCGAGGACACTGAGACATGCAACCTATGGAGAGAACACGGATCGAACCGCACTGTAAAACATCACGGCCCTGTTTAGTTACGTCCACTTACTTCTTCTCTTTAACTCAAAGAGCTCTGACAAGTTTTAGATTTGAATTTAACTGTTCAAGTTAAAACGTAGTTAAACTTACAGTAATGCATTGTGTTAACTTATTCCATTAGTAATAAAAGCACACATGGAGTCAGAAAATGACGTTATTACAATAAAAATTTAGCATGGACCATTTTGTTTCATATTTGTTGGGACGGTGGGGCCCAAACATTTTTCTTCCTCCAAAGTGCGGCCTGACAGAAAGAGTTTGAGAACCACTGGATTAAACTGTAGATCTGCCCCGGGGTCACACACCTTGAAACGTAGAGGTGGAAGTGATTAAATCCTGAAAATAGTACATTTTCAGTTTTCTATCCAAGGAGAAGTGATTTAGTATATAACATATAACGTCTTCGCAGATAACCTAATTTCTAGATTCGTGTTGAGGGCATTGATCACCCTCTATACAAGGATTCACTGTACCAATAAACTGAACCAGCAGTTTAATTTTGACTGATGACTTGATGATGATGACTTCCTGCCTGCTATCACTGTACCAAAGTTAATAATATTCAAGTCAAATATGTCTAGACTTTGTCGCCTGAAGTATTTGCTTTCATTGGGGAAATTAAACAATTTATTGTGGGATATTTGTTTAGAAATTGTCATTTGGAATTGAATGTAGATTTTCATATTAGCCGGGGCTCAAACCGCCAACCTTGGGATTCCAAGCGCAGCCTTTCTACCCGCTATACTTATAGGCTACTAGAACCATGACCGACGTATGTTCCATATTCTAGTTCGTCACTAAGGAACTATCGTTAAATAAACGCTGTGAATAGCTTTAATGTGTGGACCATTGTGGTCATCACACCACGACTGTGCGGAGCCCACTGACCCCCAGTCAAATCCGCTGGGATATTTTGCCCCAAAGCATAAGGCTAATCTATCCTAACATATTTGACCAAATCTAATACAAATAAGTGAGTCAGGCCTCTGTGGCGCCATCACCTCTGTACCAATAAACTGAACCAGCAGTTTAATTTCGACTAATGACTTGATGATGACTTCCTGCCTGCTATCACTGTACCAAAGTTAATAATATTCAAGTCAAATATGTCTAGACTTTGTCGCCTGCAGTATTTGCTCTCATTGGGGAAATTATGTAATGTAATTAAACAATTTATTGTGGGATATTTGTTTAGAATTTTGAATTGAATGTAGGTTTTCATATTTGTCTTTATTCTCATTTCAGTAGTTTGTTGAAGCGTAGGGCCTGTGATTATTCTGGTTCCCTGAAACCTCACTTAGCAAAACCTCTTTTGCAGGGGCACCGAACATGAATTAATAAATGACGCATTTTTGTCAGAGGCAAGAGAGACCTGGAGCAGCCTGGCTGTGACATGTCGGTCAGAGTTTGCTTTTCTTCTATAACAGGTGTCATGAAAATAGGGAAGTCATTTTTTCACAATCCCGCGGACAAACCGACAGAAAGATTTCACAGATTCCTTCCTGTTTCTAACTATTTCTTTGCAGTGTTTTTTGTTGCAAATAACTATCATTTATTTTTACCGTGTCCCATTTTTTGTCGCTGTGCAATAGTCGCACTCTGACACTTCATTGAAGAACATACAGTGCAAAGTATACGGTGCATTCCCAAAATGATGACACCAACTACTCAGGAAATTCTGTTGCTTTAACAGAAAACCGTCCGTTCAACGAAAACCTCTATTGAGGTCATTTTGATAATCAAGCAACATGTGATGTTAAATATGACAGTCATACAGAACATGAGGATTTTTCTACCATGGTGCTTGTTGATCAGGAGACGTCCCTAATGCATTGTGCAGCGATCCAATCATCGCACAAGCTCACTGCCACTTGAAGATGAGTTTAACTTTGTTGCACTTGTAACTGTAGATGCACCTTGAATGCGTCACCACCAGGCTGTGATATTATCTCTGCAACGTGCTTCGACAAAGGATCATATCTGTATCTCTGCCAGCTGGAGACAAGAAGGAACTGCATTCTTTGGGGCGCATTGTTGATTTTGAAGTCAATTCATTTTATTTTGTAAAGACCAAAATCGCAAATTACAAATTTGCCTCAGAGGGCTTTACACATGAATCAATCCAAATAACAGTTCAAATAACAGGGATATATCCTCTTAGCTGATCATAAAATGTCTAATTTAGAAAGTTAATTTCTATTTCTATCGTGTTGTAATATATACAGCATCCGGTTTAGTTGATTATTATTACTATTATCATTACTATTGTTATTATCATTAAAACATTGGCATTGTTTCTGAAGCTGCACCCATAATCTTAAAAAAGTCTCTTCGACTGCGGGTTAGAAAACAGTCACTCACAGTGGAGGTTTCTGGCTCAATTGAGCAGAGTGCATTCTGGGTGAAGAGTCATAAACACCGGAGTGGAATTATCGGGATTCTATATTTTACATTACAGGTCATTTAGCCGACGCTTTTATCCAAAGCGACTTGCATCGCATTTTTAAGCCATGGCTTTTTACATTTTAGCCCGGGGAGCCAATAGGGGTCAGGTGTCTTGCTCAGGGACACAGCCGGGGCTCCGACCAGTTTTTTTAAGATTTCCGTCATCCGTGAGAAGAAACGGGCCTCAAGCTGCCTCTGGGAAGTCAGTACTGAGAGACGCTCTGGTATTTTTTTAACGGGATTTTTGAATAACGAGTGGGCCGGTACAAAGCTACAGGTCATGTGACTGGGCGTTGCAGGGGTGCAGAGTCCCTGGGTTCCTTTTCATCTACTTGCATGTTATCGATCTCTGTGCCATCTAATTAACAAATGGTTAATTAGACGGTTTTTAGACTTATGCAGGGTTACCAAACAACCCAGTTTTCAAACCATTTTAATTTTAAGAAGCATAGTCCATTAAATGCTGTCCTTGGAAACCCATTTATTGCATTTAGGACACATCACGCTTTTATACAAAAATATTCAAAATACTGTACACTGTTTCTCAACATTGTGAAAATTTAAAAACAAAAACAAACAAACACATATTTACAACTCCAGTTAAAGAGGGAGAATGTCAATGAAAGAAGAAAAACGTACTGATTTCTGTATGTAAATGTTAATTCTCATTCGGATTGATGAGATTTAACCCGGACACTTTGAAATAAGAGTTGACAAATAAAAACCCCTCTAGTAAACAAAAGCCTGCTGTGCAGTTTGTGCTGAAGGGAATGGAGAGTAGATGATGGAAACACATTAAAATGTATAAAATCATCAGAGTGGAAACGAACTGATTCATTTCAGTTGTAAAGTACTTTCAAGATTGAACAACATTTACTTGTTGCATTCACAGTAAAATGCACTATTTGGAAAAGAGAGGAATCTATGTAAATAATTAGTTCCAGTGAGGAAGGAAGAAAAAAAGAAGTTCCCACCACGCATGTTCGGGCTGAGGTTAAGTAGCCGGAATGTTTTCTGTAGTTTGTGTCCTCGCGGTTTCATTAAACATTTCCAGAAGAGAAAGAGCCTTTCCAGTTGCTATCCGATGAAAAGTACTCGTGGACGCTGGAAGATAAACCTGGTCCCTACTGGCCCGTTGAGACCCGCTGAGACTCTCGTCCACATTCAATTCCTCACCGAGTCCGTCGTCATTTCAATTGGAGGGACTTTATCTTGTTTCCTAAAATAGAACAATAATTAGCCGTTGGAAGTGAACCTTTGGAGTGAACAGATGGTGACACGGCGATGCTCACCCAGTCCTTTCAGAAATTTGTTCACGCCACTTGGCTCCGGCTCAGGGTAAGAATCCAGATGCTCGGCCACCCGGGCCTCAAAGAGACCTGCGGGACAGTTCAAAGCGGTGAGACAGCAGCACGTCGCCGTTTGACCTTCGACCTTCTGAGCTCGATAACCACGTGATAATAGCAGGTGGAGATTTACACGATGCTGAATACTTTCATCCATATTTATGCATCAGATCTTGGTTGGATTTTGCAAACCAGTGACATTTCTCTGTCAGGTAAATGTAGTACTGCAATGCTTTCCTCTGAAGTAAAAGTACATCGTAAGTAGTAGTGGTACATATAGTTGGGCTGGATATTTTGTAAATACTTACACTATTTGTAACTTTTTTTGCCTTTTCAAAGCAGACAGGATACGCACACATACAAATGTGTGTGTATATATTTACACACACAATTTAAAAAAAGAAGGATTGTCTGGAATCTTCATCCATCTCTTTGCAATAACCTTTTCACTAGCTGCTAACTGTACAGCAGATACCGGTCTTATTACCACGGTACGGGAACATACATGACTTAGGTATGTCATAGCCCGAGATGTCTACAATGGTTGTATGGACATTGCCCCAGAACTCACATACATGGGAGTGGTTTACATTAACTGCCCCACAATTCCTCCACGTGGTTGAGCAATAGACACACTTGTTTGTAATTTGGGGCGTAATAAAAGAATCTCATTACATTGTTCCAACAATGTTCCCTCCAAGTTCACGAGGACGTTGAGGACTGTTGTGTCCTCCAAATATTTAACCATTAACCATCCTCTAACATTCACTCCAAGTTCTTGTTCCCATTTTAGTTTTACATAACATGTTGTATTTCATAGATTCCATCAGGTGTTGATACAAGGTTGATATGATTCTGTATTTCTTTGAGTTGTAAACTCCTATTATGGTTGTAATTATTCCATTTTTACCCCAGTTAATTTCGTGCTTTATTTGTCTGTCAAAAAAATCCCTTAATTGTAGATATCTGAAGAGGTCCTGGTTATTTAAGGTGTATTTATCTTTCAGCTGTTCTTCCCTATGGGATCCATTGTTCAAACCTCTGATGAAGAGTACCTGCAATAGAGTGTGTATCATAGTCTATCCATCGTAGGGGCTGAGCTCCTCCTCTAATCGCTATTTCCTCACCACAGCTCTCATGTCGATCGGGAGACAACGTCCATCTGCTCAAGTAGATGTTTTTTTCCAGAATTCGGTCTCCAATAAGGCTTTGAATCTCCCTTGCTTCTACATATTGTTCTAGATTGTTCCACGTTGCTTGATAATAATTGGTACACCAGTATATTATTGGTCTAGGAAGCCAGAGCAGGACGTTTGCCCAGAGGTCTGGTAGTGATATGCCCCCTTCATATTTTCCAATCTGTAAGGTTTCATATTTGATGGGAGGCCTTTGGCCATTCAAATAAACTCTGTATATGTCCTTTTTATTCATAAAGAAAAAGTCAATTCTAGAGTCCCTTCTGTTGGGGTGCAGTTATCTCCAGATATCAACTGTATACAATTCTTTGAATTTTCAGGGTGAACTTATTTTCAGGGTGAAATAAGTTAGAATAGTAACATTATTTTTATATCTGCCCCCCCTGACGTTTCATAGTACCATTTTGGGATGTAACGGATTATTATAGTTTAGTCGGGATGGATTTTTGTGTGTTGTTCTATGGGCATAAACTTAGTTTACGCAGCGTTATGGGAATATTAAGAGGTCAAAGAAATCTTAGGCAGCAATGACATCTAAAGTCAGATTTCACAAATTGATGTAAAAATTGATTATATCAATGTGGTGTTTTAGGAACTCATAACAGTGCCCCTTATGGAAACAAAGAAAATAGTCATGTAAATCTATGTTTGATAAATCTTTTTTTTCTTTTAACTGATGAACCCTCGGGACAAGTGGCGCTGCCTCATCAACACAGTTACCTCTGGCTCCTCCCTTGCGCAGCTCTTTGTCCTGAATGAAGCCCGCAAACATCTGAGTGTCCATGAAGAGCTGCAGGAACTGACGGACTCCGCGGGAGGGGTGAGATTTGCGGAAGCCGTCTCGCTGGACCTCTCTGCTCCCGTTGGAGGACTCGACCATGTGGAGGGGATAGTGGCCCACCAGCTCCACGAAGAAGCGCACAAACCCCTCCGACACCAGAGCGCTCAGGTCCACCTGCTGATCTGGACGGGCCACATTGTGGATGAAGACAAAACGATTATTAACAGACTCTCAAGTAGATGTACTGTAGTTTTACAATCTGATGTATACAAAAAAAAGGTGCTACAAGATCCTAAACATGTTTGAGGCTTTTGCTTAAATTGTTCCCAAAGACTGAAACGTCTTCATTGTGGAGCAAAAATGTATGTATTACAAATGCTAATGGAGGAAACAACCTAAAGAGGTCATTGTTGAACCCCAGCTCACAGTCTAAGATTCACCAACAGTACGTACTAAAGACTGCGGCACATCTGCTTCTACCAACCTCCACCTCTGTCCTCCTGTGCCAGGATATCCTCCCGCTCCTCCAGGATCTGCTGCAGCGCTGCCTGCAGCTTACTGGGCAGGATGCAGTCTTCATCGCCCAGCTGTCACACATCACAGGAACGGTCAACAGCAGCCCCATGATGTTTCCAACATGCCTCACAATATGTCACATCATGCATCGGGACGTGTTTGGCCTTTGTGGGAATCGTTCTCACTAGCATGTGGATCTCCCATGTGTTGCTGAAGTACAGCCAACCTGCTCTGATGAATTAACAACTGTACTTTTTTGTGTGCTTTTTTTTGTGGTTTTGAATATAAATGTGGCAAATAAAAGAAAGTACGTACGCAAGTATGTTGTGATGCACTTAATCCAATTTGTATTTTTACATTAAACCATTTCAAAGCCAATACGCTAGAGAAGCAAAAGAACAGACCATGTGTCCCCCTTCTAAATGGTCGTGTTTATTTTAAAAAGACAAAATTCCAGTCACATGCCGAGGACGGTGGCTACGAGCAATGTTCTGTATTTGAAACAGATAATGTCTGAGCGGCTCAATGTCTTGTTAGCTTCTAGCAAATAGAGAAAAAAAGACTAAAGCGAAGCTAAATGAAATGTCAAATAACAACTCAGTCAAATTGTGGGCGTGACATAATCTCTGTCATCCTCAAAATATTCTGCATGCAAACAAGGGACAAGTGTAGGCAAAGCCACCCCGCCCCCTCCCACTGGAACCACACCTATCATTCCTTTTATTCACCGCTATGTGTACACACCTGAACGACAAACTTGTCTGCACACAGATCCACTATGAGCACCTGGGAAGACAAGCAGAGCAACGGTGGCAGTTACTGACTGCAAGAGATCACTATTACACAACGAGAGTTATGACGAGGACGGGTGAGTCTGACCAACGGTCTGCTGAGGGCGTTTCTGAGCTACGATACCTACCGGTTCCGTTTGGGTATTCGTTCACAATATGCAAGAAATATACGGCCAATTGATGGCACTTAAACCGATCTACAGACAGAACAGTCTTTTTAAAACGGCCAATTTAAAAACACGCGTGGGGCACAGAATTCCGACCGGACCGACCTCCTCGATGGGCAGCTCCAGCAGCTCTGGCAGGCACGGCGCCAGCACCCCGATGAGGAAGGGTGTGGGGGAGCAGCTGATGTCCAGCATGCTGGCCGGGAGCACGGGCACAAAGGTGTGCTGCCAGGTGAAGGGGTACAGCAGCGCCAGCACTGCATGGCTGCACCGAGACAACACACTGCGGAGGGAAGACAGTCGAGCGCTGCTCAGTTCTCACACGGATCACGTGCCTCAAATAGAGAAACGCTCCCTGAAAATATTATTGTGAAAATAATTTCAAGTGACTGTAGGAGCTTCGGCAAGCAGTCATTTATATATTTATTTTATACAAGCAAATACTCTCAGCAACGGTATCTGGTAATATCCTTGTCTTTTAACTTTTTCGGTTTACATATTCAAATAAAGACGATACGTAAATATCCTATTGAAGTAAGAAATGTCCTGCTGGATAATAAGTCAGGACACGTGTTATGTTATTGTTGTCGTGGCCCTCTAGAGCCTACTGAGTCACTGCAAGTGATTTTGGGCCATCCGAATAAAACTGACTTGACTTGATGTCGGAACGTGATTAACATGTATGATTAGATTAAGCCTCCACACGCAATAATCACGTTCCTTTTGAATCGCTTCTGTATGTCATCTTTACATACGTGCGTACACACACACACACACACACACACACACACCTCAGTTTGTCAGCGATGAAGATGACCCGCCTCTCAAGCAAAAGGGAGGCAAACACCTGCAGGAGATTCCCCACGCTGAGACACTGCAGCAGGCTGTCAAAGTCCACGTGCTCCAGCCGGGAGTCTACTGGTCGACACAAAGTCAGGACCTGCAGGGCAACAAGAGCACACGCAGCAGTGTAACTACACTGGTACACACGGACTACCTGTACTGCTGCCGGGATGTAAGCAACAGCTTGAGAAACATTTAGAATAACGTGTTTATTGTCAAGAGATGTTCATTTCTGCAATCAATTTTTGATATTTTTCCTAGTAATTAAAATGCCTGTATGGTTAATTTCCTTACTGCTTACTGAACAAAAAAAACAAATCGATCTCCAGGTTTTTGAGTTCAAGCATCACAGTTTATTGTGTATTTTGAAAAATATACTTAAGATGCAGCTTTGAACCACAGAAGTTCAAACTCCTACAACAGGGCCTTTCCAGTTTTGGAAAGGGTCATTACCTACTTATTGGAAGTCAGCAAATAATAATAACTAAATGCATTACTGTTGCCGGTTATTATCCATTCAGGCAGCGGTGCCAATATGAACTGTTCAAAGCTGAAATAGCCGTCACTATTGTTTACACAGATAGCCTCCCAGTCTGAGTCATTCCGAGTCAGCAGGAAGGAGTGGTTAAGAGGACCACAACTACTAATCAACCTTTCCCCTTTTTGTTGCAGGATTACCTCATTCCCAGAGCCAGGGAGGAAGCTCTTAATGGTGACTGTGCGTCCGGGGGCGGGGAAAGGGGCCTCCATCACGCTACGCATAAAAGGGTAAACCAGCGCTGGGGAAATTTCCCTGCGCTTCTCCACCTCCTCCAGAATCTGGACAGAAGAATCAGAGAATCACTGTGCGTAATGAGGGTTAGAGCAAAGAGCAAAGATCTGGGTATGTAAATGAACCTTCCTCGCCCTCTAACCATACTCACACGGTCACACCCGGCTAACTCGGCTAACTTGACGGAGGGCGTGACGCGGCTACAGGTTTTACAAATTTCTTTATTGAAAAGCGCACCCAGGGATTGCTCTGGATTATATTCTGGAGTAGCGTCATTCCATTTAAAAACCAGCTCCTTTCCTTACAAAAGGCTTTGATGCATTGTTTAGTTGCCTCACCTTTGCAAAGAGGTTGAAACAGCCCAGTTTGCTGACAATACAGTGCACCTCCGGGAGCCTCTTCCCTTTTCCAACAGGCTTGAAGAAACAGACAAACATAAAGACATAAAGCGGGTAACAGAGATGATGGTGCCAAAGACGCTCATTAAGAATGAACATTTAACTAAACTGAGAACCATCACGTTCTCATCAAGAGCCTTCTTTCCATTTTATTGTGTTTACCAGGATGTCATTGAAAATGCGTTTAGAGTCCAAAGTGGAAACCTTTAGGGGTTTATCTACCAACTAAACCAGACATAGAACTCTTCCTGTACGGTCTACACTGAAAATAGAACAAACACTACGCCGAAGTTACAGAGAGCTCAGAGACAACCACAGAATATTCTAACACAATAGAAAAGACACATGTACCACATCATTTCAACATAAAATCTCGGTCTTTAAAAGAGCTAAAAGCAGCGCCCGATGAAGCAAAGGAAAGGGGAAAGGGATAAAATTCTTCCTGCTCTCTGTCATCGATTTAGAATGCGTTTACGGCCTGTTATTCACATATACTGATTTAAACCTCCCAAGAGATGTTGAGTAAGCATGTGGCAGGCTTCCATGTCGCCTAACACACACACACGCAAACACACACACACACACACACACACACACACACACACAAATCAATGATTCAGATGCAAATGTTTTCACATCTACACTCACCAAGATCTTACAGCAGTAACAGAACCAGCGACTGCCGTCCTCGCTGGTCAGGACGAAGGAGAAGGTCTCACTGTAAACACAAGCACACAAAGCCAAAGGGTTTCATTTTGCTCTTTAGTACCTAAAAAGCATTATTGTAAAAACAGAATACGTAAATGGGCAGGTGAGTTATATTTCCTTGCATGTTTAAAGACAGCAAGATCCTAATCCACATTACAAGAGTGAACCACACCTACTTGTTAAAATAAACGCAGAATACCCAGAGCTACTAGGAGTAATAATCAGATCTCTGTGGGAGTTATTTATTAGAGCGCATGGAAGAGTTACAGCAGAGGACATAAATTAGACAGGAGGAGATGGCCGATCAATCAATAGTGCAAGAACTTGAGCTAAACACTGTACAGGAAGGGAAAGCTAGAGAAGATGCATTAGAGCACATGGAAGCTGTGTGAAAAATGGCAAAGCAAATACAGACATAACGGACAGCTGACCTTGGCATGTGTGCAGAGGGCTTCCAGTCCTGGGCGTCGGGGAAGCAGAACTTGGGAATGACCTTCAGCTGATCTTCTGCCTCTTTGGAGACTCGGGACGACTTCTCAAACTGAAACAGAGGGAGGTCGGTGAAGGCCATGCTCCTCCAAATGAGTCTTTTTTTTTGAGCAGTTATTCTAAACCATCATCAAACAACCGTTTGTATGTTCCCATGTAAAAAACAAAATAATGTGACAATGTTTAAAAGTGTAATAAAAATGAACAAGGAAAAACAAGAAAAATCAAAGTGCTGTTCTGTAAAACTGAAGATAGCTGTTGAAATGATCCCTCGAGCTTCAGATGAGAGTCATGTTCCTTTAATTGTGACAAACAAGGTTATATCTTGCACATGACGACGTTGTCCCAATTCCACAGAATACCATTCAATCGAAGCCCTGCGATTAATCCACAGTTGTGTCCTTTGCCTGGAAGAAGGGCAGAGTTATGTTAACATCTCATTCTAACCAGTTTGGGGAACTGCTGCGTGATCTCGGGGGAGTAGGTGTTTCCCGAGGAGCCTTTTCTTAGCGACACCACCACGAAGATCTGGAAGAGCTGCTGTTTCTGCTGCTGCAGCTGGATCAGGTCCCTCTCCAGGGTGCGGTAACCTGGCCGACGTTTCAGCGTCGACTGGATGTAAACCGATCTCCTGGAGCCTGCTGGACGCCACACAATGGGAGCACGAGCTCAACGCTGGGCAACATGAGGCTTTTATACAACATGGATAAACAGAATTGTGACATCGAACGCTGATGCCTCAGTTTGCACAACAAAGCTCATTGATAACTGGTAGTCTGCATCTCGCGGGGGAGGTATTGTTTGAGTTTCTTCAAGCTCAAAACAACATTTGCCACAAGCGTCTCTTTGAAACAGGGTGGACTTTAGATTTATTTGACCTTTCTAAAAAGGCTTAACAGCCCTATGAGAACAGAGGACTTGATTAATCTGGACAAGTATTGATCCATGGATGATCATGTGGTTGATCGATGGAGTCACACTCAGGCAGAGGCTGGTGTTCCCCTGAGGATGAAATGTAAACACTTTGGAGAATCTAGAGCCACCAACATTCATGGCCAGATAGCTAAACACTAATGAAATATATTGACTACTATGCTAAAATAAGGTAGAGAAGATGCTAAATAGCGCACAGAGATGTATACAGAGATATGTAACATGGCCGGTGGCACTGTAGAGCCATACGGAGCGATTTTCAATGCATGCAACAGATGTATTTTTTTCGACGCAACCCTTTGTTTACACTTGGCAGTGTCAATAATCAAATAGTGACCAACCAGGATTTCTATTACAGAAATATGCCATTTAACCTGCAAGGCAGCTAAAGAGACATTAGGGGCATATTAACTCCACGGTGATACCTTTGGCGTTGTCCTCGGGGTCACTCTCTGTCCCACTCGTCTCCTCTGTTGTGGATATGAATCAGGGAAAGGACGGGAGGGGAGGGACGGGTTAGGGAGAAGCAGAGGAATGGAAAAGATTTGCGAAGCCATAATCAGATGCAGACAGTCAGCCTTTGTTTCATAATCAGCGGCTGTGCCTGCTGCAGCTGGCCTTGTGTGTACCATCAAAATATGTGTGTGTGTGTGTGTGTTTTACCTCGCACAGAGACTCCCTGGTTCTTCACTCTCTTCCTCCCTCTCTTGTCATCAAAGATGGTCTCGATCTTGTTGACGTACTGTGAAGCACACACACAGGTACTCGTCAGCCCCGTAATTTCACAGCCATTATACAATCATGATTACAGGGAGTCGTGACATAACGAGTCACTAAGTACATCATTATTATTGATATTCACTACGTTTTTTTAACCGTACATTCTCGTGGACACAAGCCAACTGAGGAACACAAATATAGAGCGCTGGCCTCAACGCACAAACAAACACATGCAGGAAGCTGAGACGTATCTTAACACACAGAAGCCAGCGTGTGCGTCAGTTCAAGGAAAGAAAGTACTACTTCACAACAAAAGATGCAGTTAAGTACAATAGAGAAAAGTACATTATGTCGATACCCGTTACTTTCATTTGATACTTTTGTCAAAGATCTAAAAGAGTTGAAGGATAACATAACTATAACTAATGTTGTTTTTAAATTGCTAAAAAAACAGGTCAAGAAAAACACATTGTTTGCATACCGTCTAAAAATCTACTTCTACATCTTTATAAAATGTTTTGTTATTGTACCTTATTGTCAAAGGTCCCCACTGTCCCCGCTCTTTGCACTGCCATGAGTCCAATGATCCAATGATCCAATGAATGTCTTCTCATGAAGTAAGTGTCTCTCTACCACTATCTGTAATATTGCAGCGCGCTTCCCCTTCCTGCTCCACTCAACCACAAGTCGTTCTCCTCAAACCAACCGCCGTTCACGTCCATGTCCTCCTAATGGTTTTCTACCAGACATTCATTATTAGCACGTGACGTCTTGGGTTATGTCCAAAAATGGGTTCTGTGAGTGACACCGTGACCCTTGACCTCAGGTCCACGTGTTTGGGCCTGTTAATGCCTGGCTGCAAAGGCATAAACCCAAACCTGAGCAATCATTGTATCCCAAAACCGCCACGCCTGCCATGATCCATGCACCATTTACCTGAGGCGTCCGCAGCGTTAGTGGGCCGCTGGCGCGCCGCGGTGCCGCTGGTTTGGGAACGTCTGCGAGTGTGGAAGATTTGGATGGTGTGGATGTTTGAAACCTCTTCCTCTCCACCTTTTTCACGTGGCCTTGCAGCGTTTGGGGTTTAGGAGGCAGCTGGAAGACAAAAGCTCCAGAGTATCACTCGGTTCATTGGTAATTACGCTGTATGAAAGTGTAACTGTCCTCTTTCAGAATCTCATGTCAGGGAGGGCTCATTTCATGCAACCAGACAGCTTTCTGTAGTGTGAAAGGGAGGCGCGAAAGGCATGTCTTCCGTTACCTTTGGGCCGTGGGGACTTCCGATGGGGAGACACATGGGACGTAGCTTGACATTCTCATAGGGCTCATCGCTGGTCCCTTCACCTGGGGGGAGACGGATTGAGGGGAGAGAGATAAGACGGGCTGAACGCATGTTGCATCAGTGAAAGGTTTCACCGAACCTTGACCCTAAGACAGAGGACAGAGGCCGTGACCCTAAGACAGAGGACAGAGGCCGTGACCCTAAGACAGGCCCCAATCACCACAAACAGTGCCAAGCAAAAGACAATTTTTGTATCTCTAACATATCAAAGGAAAACATGCTAGAAGATGCAACCAGATGTTTTGGGACATTTTGCTTGAAACCTGACAAAACAATGAATTCACGATCACTCAACTGAAAACTAATCTTTGCATCGACCTCCGGGACAAAGAAACCTTCAGACACAACCCTGGTAAAACGTGTTGGTTCACTGGTGCCTGTGCCGCATCCTTCTTGAACAGGCTCCGTTCTGATAACATGAAGCGTCATAAACAGGGCAGTCAACCAATGACAGGCCCCCTGCAGTCTTTATGACTTCCTGTCTTTTTCTGCTTTACGCACAAAACCAGGGCTGAGGAGAGCGGTTCATAATAGACAACAGACAGGCAGAAGTTCACATGACACTGGGAGTCGAACTTACAAACAATGTCCTCGTAAATATTGTCGTTGGAGAAGGCGTTGTAAAGGGCCGAGTGTCGGTCCTCTCCTCTCAGCGTGCCCGGCTTCGCCGTCAGGCGCTCCGCATCCTCGTACTCAAAGGACTTCCTGTGGGGAAGGGAGAGCAGAGAGAGAGAGACGGGCGTGAAGGTAGCCGCCATACGATTGCTTGTTCCCTGGTAGTGTGTTGGGTCGGCGCCGCCCCCCCCCCACAAAACTCCTTATTTTGATATCAAACACAGCAAGACAGAGAGAGTGCGATAAACTGCCAAGAAAGAAAGGAAATGACCATGAATGACCAAAATGATCATCTGACGACGAGGAACGAGACTGTGAGGTCTTAGACAGACGTGGCAGAATGGAGTGAGACAGCTGTCATAATAACCGTTAGATCACAGCGCATTCCTCCAACGAAAGGGAAGAGACAGGTTTTGTCGGAGCGGATTTGCTGTCGTCTCGGCCTGGTTACGAGCTCAGTGTCAGTTCTATGCGCTTGGCGTTGCTTTGGTAACACGCATGAGTGCTGAGACAAGGACAAACCGCCCAGCTCCGTGGACCAGTTTCACAATAAGGAATGAATGACAGCTAGTTGCTGCCCCTGAAGTTGGTGAACAAGGAGAACCGGAGAACTATGTGTGTTCAGGAAGACTGAAGGTGGGGGCTGAGTTACTGATTGGCATAAACTCAAGAATACAAATGCGTATCTTTTCCTACATCAGGTGACCTGTTGCCAGATTATTCTAACATCTGGGCAGTTGGGTGACATTCCAATAAACAGGTTATAGGGTATTGTGATTGAGTGTGACACGGCAATGAGTCTCGTGACAAATTAAAACATTATTTAGGATCAACAACAAAAAAAACAAGTGTAATTTCACTTAAATTACAACTTAGCTTCCTATATTTAAATTAGTATTCAATCATTGGCCAGTCTATGGAGGTGTTCATTCAGCTCAGTGTAACTGTACAACAACGCGCGCGTGCGTGTGCGCGTGTGCGTGTGCGTGTGTGCGCCTGTGCATGACGACCCCCCCGACCCGCGGGCTGAAGCCACATCCTTATAATAGAGAACAATACAGCCAGATATCATGTGACATCACACCAGGACGCCGGCCAACTATTTAGGCTCAGTTTCCTCCGCAGAACAGACCCCCCCCCACCCCCCACCCCGAAAAAAACTGCTGCTAGACAAAGTCTTGAGCAGGATGTTTTATGTGCGTTTGTGAATTTCCTTTTTCCACCAGATCGATCGCAGCGCTCCATTTAGAGCATCGACTCACCTGTTCTTTGCATGCCTGGACAGCCCGTTAGTCTTTGCCACGGGACACGCCGGCGGAGGGAAGCTGGGTGGGTGGGCTACCCTCCTGCTCCTGGCGTTGGACTGGTTGTTATGAGGCGATCCGCTGTCCCGCCACGCCGCGTCGCCTCCCCGATACTGGAACGTCCGCACGGGCTTGGGGGGAGGCTGAGCTGCGCCCGAAGACCAGCGGCCTTTCTCCCACAGCAGCCGGTCGCCCTCCAGCTTACGCCAGAAGCCCCGTGACGTGTAGAAGTTTCCAGCAGGCATGTCGTCCTCTTGGTCACCGGTCAATGGAGGTAGATGTTTAGAAACTACTTCAACCTCCGGGAGGCGATCCTTTTTTTGGTCGCTGTTGGCGGTGAAGATCCGTCGAGCGGGGTCGGCCGGCACACTGGGAGACGCTAACAATTGTGCCGCGAGTGGCCTGATTCCCGGCGTCGCGGCGGAGAACTCGGTCGAGCACTTCTGCAGGGGTTCCGACTTCCTACCGGCCGCACCATGTCCGGCGCGTGCCGGGGATGCTCGGAAATCTAAGCCCAGGGTTAGAGATTTTGAGAGGAGAGGTCCCCCTTTTGATTTGTCAGCGAAACATCCGTTGCCCAGTTCGTCTCCGGACAGAGTTCGGGACACGGTTGGAGGATGTGCCTTCGCCCCGGCATCCTGGCAGCCGCCCTGCTGACTGCGACCTTCCCACTGGGAGATCTTCTCCCTGATGCCGGCGCACTGCTCGTGAGGAGGGGGGGGCCTCCCTGACAGGCCGCCCTGCCGAGCCACAGCGTCCCCTTTCTGCAGTGGATCGGCTTCACCAACCCCTCGCCTGCCCTGCTGCAGCCTCAGAGCCAGCATGTTGAGAGGGGGCAAGAGAATGCATCGGGGACGTCCTCCAGGAGACAGCCGGGCGAAGCCAAGCAATCTGTTTCCGATTAAATACAGATACAATAAGTGAAGGCAGGAGCGCCACAAGGTTTATGGCTGTAACTGATCCTTGAGGTCTTTATGCTTCGTATTGTTCTAGCCGAGCATCTCTTCCCCCCCTTGTCTCGTCTTGTAAAGAACCTAAAAAGAAGACAAGACACAAACATTACCCATCAATCACTGCAATTAAAAACAAGCTCAGACGGCACACGTGGGGTCAAAAGGGACTTGAGGCTCCCCCCCCCCCCCCCTCCCCCCAGGAGGACGTGTGCTTTTGAAACTGCACACATCTGAAGCGGTCTACCACTTGTAGGAAGGGACGGAGAGGAAGGACGGGCTTCTGTCAGGGTCGCTTTCCCCAAAATAAATCCGGTAAGAATGAGGAGAGACGGCGAGCGGAACCCAGAGTTCTGCTGCCGTGTGTCCGCGTCCTGAGACGCCCAAACACCCTCCTCCAGCCTCAGGGGGATTCCTTATCCTCCTACACCAAATGTGGTGTTCAGGCAAAGCTGTTTTTCAGATGCCTGAAACAATGCACATTTTAGGTGAATACAAAGAGCTTTAACAGTTGAGACAACTCATGATTCTCAAGGCATACACCTATCCCAGAATAAAAAGGTCCCTAAAGGGTCCCGCTGTTTATCAGATGCCAGATAAAACATACGGGGACGCCTGTGCATCGACTAGAGCCTCCTTTGTGGGGCTGTAAATCTACGGCCTTGAGACTTGATGAAAAAATCTGCATCGTCACCCCCCCCCCCCCCTGACCGATGCTGCCTACGTCCACATCAATGCGGTCACTGTTCGCTCTGCTGCTGCAGCTCCTGACTCGCTGGAACAAAACCATATGGACACGTTGCACGTTGGGACCGCTCGCGGCTGAGGGAACGTGGAGACGTGGTGAAATCCCTCGGATCATAACAACACCATGAGTTGCATTCCTGCCGAGCCGTACGAGAGGAAAGAGTTGGGGGGGTGGTTGGGGGTTTTAGGGGGGATGGGGGGGGGGGGGGGGTTGAGGAATAAATTTAACTGGAGACAGACCGGCAGTCATTTCTGCGAGTGACGCCTTTGTTTGGTTTGACCCAAATCAAATGTGTGCGTGCGGGGGGGGCTGGAATGCTGCTGCATGGTTTGCGAACCCGCGGTGACAATGCGTCTCCACGACTGACCCACTTGCGTTATTTGTCTGTGTGCGGTATGTTGCACAGGAAAGCATGAGTGGAACTTCCTGAGCTGCAGGAATAACGGATGAGCCGGCTGTCCATAATTACGTCGCAGAGAGATTTGCAACCGGTTTGATACGAGATCATCGGAATATTTAACCCTTTTGATGTTAATGATTCAGAAACAAACCACTTGTTTGTTTCCTGGGTATTTGGATCTACTCTTGGAGTAACATTTCGTAGACATGTCAAACAAAGCTGGACATCGCCGGCATCCATCCGGCTGTCAAAGCAGAAAGGTACCCTTGACTCATCTGAAACCAGGTGGGGGATCCGAGGCGACGAGGAGTCCAATCCCGTCATCGCCTGCCAGCTAAATGAAAACCTCATTGCACCTTTTAAACTGCCACAAAAACGCCCCAGGACGGGTGGCGTGACACAACACGTTGTAGGTGAGGTATTGTGCGCCTGTGGCTCGCCCTCAACCGTGGCGGTTAGAGCGATGATGAAAAGGGGGGACGAAGATGAGGAAACGCGTAGATTAAGTTTCTGGAAAGGACCGATCCGTCGTCAGCCACCGCGAGAAGCTCGTGTGCAACTGGACGTTTTGTCAGATCTCTGTCAAAAGACTGATGCGCCCGCTTGACAACATGTCAAGTCCCATCATTTGTTGTGCACACGATGTGCTGAAAAATGCATCACAAATGATCTCATAAACTCAAACTCAGGACAGCTGCGATATCAATAGAAAAGTCAGCCATCAAACTGAAGAGGTGAGCACAGAACGATCTGTGGTTTAGTTGAGAAGCCTCCAGTTGAAGTCAGTTATCCTTAATTGAGTTGCTTTTGTCCCTCCATGGATCCATAGGAAGCTTCGCTGCGTGCGTTGGGGGTCAATGACCTCAGTTCACTTATTCATTAAAGGGGATGGAAGCAGGAGGAAAGTGACTAAAAAGTCATATCAAGACCAATTTCCCTCAAAACTCAAATGAAATGCTTCCAGATTCTTCCTTATTGCAAGGTAATAAATAATCATCACTCGTGAATCAAGGGAATGGAACCACTCATTCGGCCACAACAACAACGTGTGGAGCTCAGAGTCTCCTTCCATCAAGGAGACGAGGGACGTCGGAGGAACGACGTGTTCGGTTCGCTGTGAAACGGTAACGTTAGTTACGCATTAACTTTGATACTGAATATATGTAGCGGTAAATCGAAGGAAGGAAGCACGCGGCGTTGACTTAAAGGCGTAACGTTAGCCGAGCTCCCGGCGCGGTTATGAGCACTAAAGAAACGTCAACATGTCGGCGGGTTTCGGACGGTAACGCCGCTTTAGCCGTTAGTGTGTCGCGAGCAGCGCGAGGAGATGAACAACACGCACCGTAACGCCGCACGCGACGACGCGCGGACGGACGCCGGCGTTACCGGTGACGTAACTTACCCTTCATGGTTTAAAGTTCGCAGCGAAGCTCATCTTCTGTTCTTATTTTCCTTTAGGAAAAAAAAAAAGAACTAATTAAATCCGTCTCCATTCGCCCGCAGCGTTCAAAAACCGGGGAGGTTATCAGCCGGTTCACATCCACCGGATGCTAACTTCTGAGAAAATAAACTTTGGGAGCCATAAAACCTGTGTGCCGTACTAATAAATGCACACAGCAACAAAGAGAGTGTCCATTGAGTGGGGAAAAGTACAGCAGAGCGCTCCACGTCCTGCTGAGGACAGTTGGAGTCAAGCCAGACAGAAGATGTTTAACTTCCGGTTGAAACCTTCACAATAAATTCTTTGTGATCAGCCAAGATAGTAAAAGGTTCCGTTTCTAAGTGAAATTACACAATGATTGTTTTTTCTTCACGTTACACAGCAACAATTTATCGTCCTTCTATTTGTATAGGATGTCAGTGTTGATGGGTTGCTGTTTTTTCGAATTTAGTGTCTTAATAAATTCTTATTAATATATAATTATAGACACCAGTAGTCAGTAGACAGTTCTATCCGCTGCTTCATGATCAACAAGCCTTTCATATTATATGCTACAGACTATGTTGGTCGACATCAGTTGTCAAAGACAAATTACGTTTTTTTCTTTTTTTGTGACGTAACATATCAGGTAACACTCCCCCCCCTTTTCTCATGCAAGTAAACGTCTATTTAATTATTTAATATTTATATTAATAATTTAATATACAATTCATTGTATGCTAATTTAATGTATCTGTGCAACGCACAACTCCAATTATTCTCTTAATTTCCGGTTCTGATCAGGGTGTTTCTGTCGAGCTTGACGTGGTGCGAAAAAGTTTGGTTGAATCTTCCCGATCCAAGAGAGACGACGTCATCACATCAACTGCTGCAGCTGTCAGCGGCCAATACATGCTGTTGTCTTCCGGTGTCCTGGGAAATACGGTTCGGAGCCGCACCTGCACGACTCGACGAGCTAATAATTGACTGGGATACATGTCTTTCATTTATGAAACATGTGATAGGTGGTAGGTGCAGGGAAGCGATGGACAGCCATGAAGTTGTACTTAAAAACATATCGCAAGTGACAAAGTCTGCTTTCGGTCCCTTTTACTTTTGAGACCTTCTTCATGAATAAAATAATGTTGCAATGTAACACTGATTGAATTATGAAATTCATCATTGGGGTCAACACCACACAAATACACTTGATATTTCACATTTATTCACTTTCATCCTCACTCGTGAGGTTTCTCCACATGGAAAGCACACACTGGGATGTACCACGTCACTAAGTGTGCAGATTTATGCAGTGACGTCTTGGAAGGCTACTTAAGATTTGATTGTTTAAAACAAATGTAGAAACGCGTTGCGTTTAGTCTGACTTCACGCCCTCCTTGATGAGGTTGAGCTCGTAGCACAGGGTCTCGTAGCGGTAAGCCATGCGGATCTGGGCCACGTTGGTCTTACGGATGTCGTTGCCTTCTGGGCCTTCCTTGAGGTAGTTCTGACCCAGGAAGTGGCTCTTCTCCTGCGGCGCAGAAGAAATGGACAAGCATGTATTTGGTGCGAGCATAAGATCGGCTGCACGTCGAACGTGGCGCCTCTGAGCGGCCTGTGCGGTGATTTAAAGTGCAGAAACACGTCTTCCAGTTTCAATGTTTGCCGTTATGAAAAGCAAGACTTGTCTTTCAGGCGTTTTATTAAATGGGTTTTTAAAAAAGCACCAGGTTTAGTGCGTCGCCATGCAGGTGTGTGAGTGTGTTACCTCGTGAGACATTGCGCTCTGCAGAACGCTGTTCCTGGAGATCTCACACATGTCGCAGGTACTGAGCTTGAAGACCTGGGCTGCAATGGCGTACTCCTCCATCAGGGGCTCCTGTGGACATAAAGGCCTCACACGTTGACGCTTGGATCGGACAGACACAGCTAAAGCACACACAATTCCCATGAACTGTCGAAGGCAGCGGTTGCCAACGGTAACTGTGAACATGCAGCTCACATTGTTGAACCACTATCTGCATATTCTGTGCGGCACAGTGCTTACAATGCATGGGCATTTGATTGTTCTACTTCTCTTCCGTTTGATTGTGCAGTGTGTTGCATTTTCTGTACAATCAGAACGCAAAAACTGAAATGCATTCATCTGTAGACGGAACACAATGCTCATTATACGGAGCACAGAATGCGCCATTGTCCGCGCCCTCCGCGCGCTCAGACCTTGGTGTAGTGGAACTGCATGGGGTCGTCGGTGGAGAGGGACACCACCAGGCCTTTCTTGTGGAACTCCAGCAGCGGGTTCTTGGCGTATTCCAGGAACAGGCTGTTGTTGCTGAGGGGGGACATGGCGATGGGGATCTGGGTCAGGAAGTAGAGGTACTGCAGCACGGGGCTCTGTGGGGGGGTGGACGGTTGACAGATGTGATCAGGTTCAGTCAACTTGGGACCTTATCTGTCGCGTCAATGACAACAAACTACACGGGTGAAAATGTGAAATCAATCACGTGTCATCCTTCCTAGCATGCACAACACCAATGTACATCAGGAGAGATGTATAACGTCCGAGCGTCTCCTGTCAGGTTTTCACAATCCCTGCGTGGAAGAATGGAGCAGAATCAACTTACTGCTTTCAAAGGGCTTTTGACAAAATTCTATAATTTATGATTGTGAAGGTCATCTTAACTGTTTTTTGTTTGTTTTTAAAGTATATATGCAGCCAAGAATGTAACGCTATAACTTTTGTTTAATGCAGCATTGACAACAAATGAGTACCATCATTTCTGGAGTATAAGGCGCACCTGAATATAAGGAGCACCACCTAAATTTAGAAAGAAAAAACAAAAATCTGTACATATATAAGCGGCAGGTGTCCACATTGTAACATGAGATATTTACACAGAAGGATGAACTCCAAAAAGGGCCTGTAGCACGGAACTAAACCTGCAGCAACATGGCAGAAAAACGGCGGTGGCGATTGTTTTGGCTTTCAGTCGGATCTGCACGGTGGAAACACCTCGGCCCGAGGACGTAACCATGGTTTAGACATTGGGGGGGGTCCAAATGAATACCCTTCTCCATCATTTTTTCTAAAGCGGGTATTGGGCTGGTGTGGGCAGGTGTGGTGTAACAGTCTCTGGTTGGGCATTTAATAAACCGTTTGTACTCATGGCTGAGATTTCCTCAGGACAATGACTAACGAGTCTGATTTTGGAAAAAGAATTACCATGAAACCTCGTGCCTCCTTTACAGAGCTGGAGTCTAGGACTAGTGGCCTGGCATGTGTGAGAAGGCATGTGTATGAAGAGAGGACGGACCTTCTTGAGGTTGAGGCCGTGGGAGATGTTGTCAGCAGTCATGAAGGCAGCCAGCAGATGGGTGATGGCACCGGCCTCGCCGCAGTGAGGCCTGAACGTGAACGTGTTCATGCCCCGCTCTCTACAAGGCGGGAAATAAACAAGTATTAATCTACGGACACGTGTTATTGTAAAGTACACGCAATATATTTTAGGGAAAAGTCACTGACCTGCGGAGCTGGTTGAGCACAGCGATGTTGGCATACATGTAGTAGATGTAGTAGGTGTAGGAGGGGTTTTTGCCAACGTCCCACTCCTGTGGTTTGGGGCTCTTGGTGCAGAACATGTGACCGCTGTGCTTGGACTCATCGTCCACGCTGTCGAAACCTGTCACCTGCACCAGGCGGCACAAAGGCGGATCGAACAGGCAGCGGATGCATTTGGTCAGCTGGTTGCGTGTGAGCTGTTCTGGTTATCCAGAGGTAACAATGCACTCGTTGTGGAAGCCCGAGTCCGCACGCTTCTCCGCCTCACCCCGACTCGACGGCTTCTTTGCAGGCAGATTCAGTGGGATTTTACGTCTCGTGCCTCGCGTTTACTCTACCGAGCGCTCCTCTCTAGGCTCTAGTGTTTGTCACTCACATGCTGGAGGAAGATGCTGAGCTCCGGGTGGGACTGTGGGTCGATGGTGGCGTTGAACACTGGAAGGAAGATGTTCTCCAGCATCTTGCCAAAGTGGGGCACAAAGTTCCGGCCTCTGAAAATGTCGCTAAGATGAAAGCGGGGAAAAAACAAAACGTATGAATTATTTTAGTCCTTTAGAGGCATTTTTTAACTCCCACATTGTCTTTAATATCATCGATAATTTATGCACAAGGATTTATTATTCTCCACATGCCTCACAGATGGGCCAGAGCTGCGTTAAAAAAGGAATCAAGTTATGAGAACTCACTAGATCCTGGGTATTTGGATCATCCATTTGAGGTTGGGGGAGAAGACTCTGTGCTTGACGAACCAGCTGGAGAGCTTGTGCCACTCGGTCGGGTTGCAGCCGTAGATGGACAGACGAGGCTCAGCATACTGGTACTTGGCGTCCTCCAGGTCACTGGCTACTTCCTGGTTCATACGGAGATAATGGAGATTATTTCATTACCAAATCCTGCTGTTAATCTGGTATGTTTCTCAGCGATTCATTTCACAGTGACCTTGATGATGGTGGCGAAGTACTCTCCCCCGATGTGGTTCTCTGTCTTCATGTACAGGTCACGCAGCTCACTGGCTCCCACTGGGTTGTACTTGGCGTTGAATTTATCAAAACGCTGGAAGGTTTGTCTTCCCTTCAGGGAAACCACCATCAGACAAGAAAGGAGATTTAGATCATCAGAGGTTGAAAACGGGAACTGGATTGATCTATTCCTAATTATTACTTAAATTACGCTACGTTTAAAGTAAGGATTATTACTTTAAGAAGTAGCGTAAATAAGGAATTAATATTTGGAAGATTCAATGTGTATTCAGTTTAATTAAATGTTTAAATTGGGACATTTTGCTGCATACATTTATTATGCTGTCTATCAGTATGTGTATGAGACTTTGAACAGAAAACAAACTGAACTAAAATAAAACAGATTTCTTAGCAATTTTTTTGAATAGGTGTACTGTTAAATACTAAGTCCTTTACATTTGTGGCGTTTCCCATCTAAAGCCACCAACAAGTGTGTGACGTACAGCGTGCACATCCAGGGAGTCCACGGTGAGGTCATAGGGGTGCAGGTGGAGGGACTCGAAGAGCTCCTTCATGGTGACCTCCTTGCCGTTGAGCTTGTGCACGACGCGCTCGGCGTCCACGCGGTAAGACCTTTTGATGAAGCGCAGCAGGTGCTTCTGGTTCATGCAGGCCGCGGCGTGGATGTGGGTGTCCACCTGGAGAGGCCATGGGAGGGGGTAAGAGAGCAGATGCCTGAGGTCATGGGTTTCTCGTGGGTTGTAATAACTCTGCTTGGTAACAAGAGGCTGCTAGAGACACACAAAGTGAATGGAAGACAGAAAAGCGAGGACGACAACAGCGCGGGAAATACAGATTATAAATGAAGACTTTACGAATCTCCTCATGTATGTACAGCTAAATGCCTTTAGAATAAAGATTACCCCACATATTATCAATTGTCATTGCATGCAGGCTCAGTTAAGGCTTTGCGTGATGGAAGAACGCAGTGATTTCTCTTTATTTTACAGCCTCTCTTAATCTAAGACCCATGCTTTGTGACAAATTCACTAACATTGTCTTTATATTTCATTTGTTAAAGCTGATTCCAAGTTATTTGTCCTGCTTTTATGTTTTAACGCTGAATTAAGATAAGTGTGCATGCTGAATGTTTTTCGTGGCGACCTTTCTGCAGTTGTAGAAGTCCCTGTGGGGGTTCAGCTTCAGCTCCTTCATCTCCTCCATCTCATTCAGCATCTCATGCACATTGAACTTGGACATGAGGAACTTCAGACGGCGGTGAGTGTAAGTCTTACTGCGAAACAAAAGAGAAGGATTTTAACATGTGAGCTGCGACGTTAGTTGCTGCCAAATAGCAGATTGACAGCAGATCATGTTTGATTCATGTCTTTAGAAACGGAAAATGTTGAATTTGAACGTTTTTTTTTATGGCACGTTATTTTGTTGTGAGCCTGTGCGGATCCTCACAAACACACGCTGCCGACTTGTGTTTTTAAAGACCTGATTCAGGCAGGAATTGGATGCTGGTAGAAAAGATAACTGAGATTCCTTAATTTTAAAATCCCAAACCGACTAATCAGCATGATTTCCCAGGACTCACGTGGGGCCTTGTGCAATGAGCGCGATGAGGAAGTTCATGTCGTCGATGAAGGTGTCGTAGTCCGGGCAGGGCAGGTCTTTGGGCTGATGTTTGTCCGCGGCTGCGGCGTCTTTGTACACGTAGATGACGCCATCCTTCATGCGCGCGACATATCCCAGATCCTTTGGCAGGTTCTTGGTATCAAAGGGGTCCTCCCCTTGCTTTGGAGGGGCTGTGAAGACTGATGGATGGAGGCAAATGCATATGATTGGCATGGCGGTACCCGAATGGTTACAGAAATCACCCCACGAAAGCTGCCTCCACTCCTCCTCTCCTCACCCGGCTGCACCAGATCTTCGGTTTTGAAGCTCCCCCCCTCAATCTCACGCAAGTACTCGGAGGTCGTCAGTGGGAAACGCTGGTAGGCCAACCTCATGTACTTCTCCCTGATGGTCAGGGCGCGGTACACGCCCTTACAGGACAGCTCAAAGTCGTCCATGGTCACCTGATTGGCGGATGCCAGAGATGTCACACATAGAGGCCAATGCTTGAGAAAAATGTAACCTTAGATGTGGCTGTCGTCATTTGACGCGTTCCTTTAGAAAACAAGATGAATGCCAAAAATTGAGAGCAGTGAGAGTTAAACCCGGGCCTGATATCAACTGAGCTCCATTCATGGGCCTCTGGAGGTGAGAGGGAGGCTGTCAGGCCTCTGACCAGCGGACATATCTAAGTGAAATCAGTCTGTATTCATGTCAGCGTGGCCCAGGTCTGGTTTAGGTTCCCTTCTCAGCGTGCAGTAAACAAGGGTGTGTAGAGATTACTGTGATACCAGAAGATCCCAGAACAAACCCACAAACATCTCATAGTTTACTAAGAAAAGCTAACGGGCCGCTGGCTGCCGTCGCCTTCTGTTGAGCGGATGGACGTTACAATCATTAATTCATTAATATGTGCATTTAAAGAATGCACATATTAATGAATTAATATGTGCGGGTTTCTTGTGAGATTTGAAAGGATTGTTCATTGCATGTTCACTAAACTGACAAAATGTAGTTATCTAGAGCGAGTGGTGAGCACTTCCAGACTGGACTACTGTAATTCTTTGTTATCAGGCTGCTCTTATAAATCTCTTAAGCCTCTCCAGTTGATTCAGAATGCTGCAGCACGTGTATTAACAAGAACTAAGAAAAGGGATCATATCACTCCTGTATTAACTTCTCTGCACTGGCTCCCTGTTAAATCAAGAATAGATTTTAAGGTACTTCTCCTCACCTACAAGGCACTTGCTGGTGAGGCAGCGTTGTGTCTTAAAGAGCTTGTAACACCTTATTGCCCTACAAGGCAGCTGCGCTCCATAGATGCTGGGTTACTTGTTCCTATGGTTTTAAAAAGTAGGCTGGGGGCCAGAGCCTTCAGCTATCAAGCTCCTCTTTTGTGGAACCAGCTTCCACTTTCAGTCCGGTCGGCAGATTCGGTCAGCTCTTTTAAAGTAAAACTTAAAACGTTCCTCTTTGATTCTGCCTATAGTTAGGGCTGGCTCAGGTTAGCCTGGACCAGCCCTTAGTTAAGCTGCTAGAGGCTTACACTGCCGGGGGAATTCTTAGGACACACCGAGCTCCTCTCTCACGCTCTCGTTCTACCATAATTCAAGTTTTATTAATGCACATGACTAATTCAGCTTCTTTCCGGGAGTTTTTTTGTGCTTTCTCCCCTAGCAGGTCTCCGTAGATCGTAGTTCCTTCTGGACCCTGATCCTGACACCTGCAGTGGCCCTGCTGACGCCTGCTGCTGCCGCCATCATCATCATTATTATTTTAGATATTAATCATATTACTGTACTCGTAAACCAACATTAGCCTCTCCTAAAGTCTCTGTGCTCTCCCTCCCCACAGGCTTCTGTGGATGGTGGTTCTATTTGATGGTGGTTCTATCTGATGGTGGTTCTATGTTATGGTGGTTCTATCTGATGGTTGTCCCTGCAGTGGTCCTGCTGTGCGCCTGGCTTACTACTCACAATTTTGTAATTTGCGATTTTGGGCTATACAAAATAAAATGAATTTAATTGAACTTATTAGCAGAAACAGTAAGGGGGGAGGTAACATGATGGAACCGTGTCTGTTGGTCCACAGAGTGGCTTTCATTAATTATTGAATGCATCCCATACACTGTAAGGACAATAATTAGAATTTTCACACTTCCGAGTCAACAGTATTTTCTTTATTAGATATCTGAAAACCTTTTTAAAAATATTTTTTTATTTTAAAATATTTACATTTAACACAACAACTGTTTGTCTCGCCCGAAGTTGGCTGGGAGAGACTCCAGCCCACCCCGCGATCCTGTGTGCAGGATAACCGATGTGAAAATGGATGGACAACAACTGTTTGCTAAATGATCCATGTTTCATTTGATATTTCGCCCCCTTGTTCAAAAAACAAGAATTAACTTCCTGACATCCCCTCATCTCTGCTCAACCGCACGAGTTTGATGCTGCTTACTGCTGAATTCACATCAAAGATGATTCTCTATGACTGTGTGTGTTCTAAAAATCTAAAGTCAAACAAAGTACTTGGCCCGTGAATTTGAATTCGATACAATAAAAGAGGACAGTACCCCAGAGGCGTAGTCTCCGATGATGGCCACTCTCTGGAAGTCCGGCACTTCCAGGTAGGTGGGCGTGTCCACCTCCACTGACACGACTGCCGTGGAAGCAGTCACGTGCGTGGCAGACGCTTTGGCAGCCGCCGCTGGCACGTTCATGGTGCGGCAGTGCTGGTGTCGCTTGCTGTGGATGAGGAGAGGAATGAGGAAAAGTTCGACGCCTCAAAATGTCTCATTTCCTCGCCGAGTCATGACATCGTTTTGCTGCGCCACTTAACAAAAGCGCCCACGTAAACTCGCTCCTCACCGTTTCTCGGCGTCGTCCTCGGTGTGGAGATGGTGGGCCATCTCCTGGTGCATGATGGGACAGTCGTCATCCACGTCAAACATGGAGATCTCATCACGGACGTCCTCGCCTTTGGTCTCGGACGCAAAGACCTGCTCGGCGAAGGCCCGCATTTTATCATCGGTCTCTGTCGGGCACAGCAGTGGTTTGTTCAGTCAATAACACAGCTGCGTTCCGCCCCCCGTCTCACCTTGCAGCCACAAACGCAACTCCTTGACCCCGAACCAATGCGCCATGAACATGAGTGCAGAATGATTCATGGGGAACGAACGGTGCACACGACGTCTTACACCATGATGGAAAAAAGGCTGCATCCAAACCGGACGTTTGCAGACTGCGGCACATGAACAAAGGTGGACTCGGCCACTGCAAGTCTGCAACTCTGACCTCCGGTTCGGTCCCATGCACACAGAGGAGCGATGAAGCGCTGGCGGACTCACACGGACACACGGCGGTTCTAACTCCAGATAATCTCTCGCTGTAGATTTATTATTTGCACCCCGTAAGTGGATGTATGCGAGGTGATTTTGATCAGAATTTACTTGGCGGGAAATGACTGGAGTTATGAACTAAGCTACACAGCAGTTGTCCAACAGGCGTCCAAATCCGGTAGCAACGGGATGACATCACACAGCACGAGAGGCCTCCGGATCAGACTACACGCCTCACATGCACTTTTCAGCTCGGAGCGAGATCTCAAGTAAGCGCCGAGATGGCGTTACATTTGAGGGAACGGGGGTTTTACGTCTCACCCTCCATACTTACTCTGATGACCTGTTGACCCGGCAAGCGAGCGGAACCGCCCGGAGCAAAGCCCGAAAAAAAGAGTGTTAGAAAAAGGATCGGTTAGAAAGGTGATGAAGAAACCAAAACAAGTTTTAACTGTGTAAGTATAAGAAAAGATGTTGCCGTTGTCATGAATACACAAGATTTTAATGACAGAGATCTAATATTTATCAGTTACAACCAAAAGACAGAGATTGAGATACATGCAATAGTAAATGCTGAGGCTATGAGCAATGGAATGAGACATTGGACCAATGCATACACTTTAAGGTAGATGGAGAAATGGGATTAGGGAACATTCAGTTAAAGGATGAGGAATTTAGAGTAAACGTCACTGTTAAATTCCCAATTCCTTTTGACACCGACTCCATCTTGGAGACACGTGCAGAGATGATTCGGCTGGAGCTCGCAGGGTCTGACACTAATGTGCAGGATTCCACGGATGCTCCACCATCATTTCTGATCGTCTGCGTATGCGGGAAGATGCATTTCACGTTGTCTCCCTGTCATTGCTTTGATGGTTCGAACAAGTCTGAAGGTCAATTAAGTCTTGTTTGTGCGCCGCTCATTGAACCGGTGACCTTTCGCGTGGTGGAGGAGTAGCTGGACTACCTGGGAAAGTCATTTATTGATAAAACTGTTCACATTCATTCAGGTTTTCATTGGTGCTGCTCGAAAAGTATAGTTAAAATGCATTATAATGAACCAGAGAACCAATATTGAATGTGAATAGAGGAATAAATGGTTTCCATTTCCATTACACACCATTGTCATATGGAAGAGACGTTCATTTACCAACATCCAAACATCCATGTGCATTCAAATGCGCTTTGGAGAGAGAATTTTTGCCGATGTGACCATCTCACATCCATACAGTAAACCATGCATTTGGAAATGCTTCAAATCTTCCCCGAACTCCTTGTGAAGTTTCTCAGCTCCATACTCACTTCCTCCCTCCGCTGTGTCCCAGGCCGGGTGGGGCGGTTCAGGTTAGAGGGGAACAAACACGTGTGGTTATGAAGTAAGTGAGCCACAGCAAAATAACCATTGACAGAAAAAAATCCAGTTAGTTTTGATGATTCTCTACATTGGTGGGTTTGGTTTTATTTCGGTAAACTGGGCCTCTGAGACTCATCTGAACTGCTTCAGTTTCATCGTTAACATATTTGTTGTAAGACCAGCGTGGAGTTCCAGCCGGCGCGTCAGATTATGACGCGAGTCCATTCTGCACCACCCACTGATTACAAACACTTCAGGCTCACGGGTCCAGCATTGCCTTTCTATTTCTCATCCTTTGGAAAAGTCTTAACAACAATGTGGCCTCGTACTTGCTGGAAGTAAGCTTTAATTTACAGCATCAACAATGAAGTAATGATTTAGCTTTTTATACCAGGGATGAACTACACGAAGGAACACTAAAAGGATAAACACAAATTCAGAATGAATGAGACCTGAGAATCATGAAATGTATGTTGACATTATTATCACACAAGGATAAATGCATTTAAAACATTGCTACTTTGTGATGACTGTTTACTATGTGCATTTTAACCCCAATGAACCTGTCCGTGCCATTAGAGTGACCATGTGACTGGCAAACATATGGGACTTTACTAATTAAACAGCTGCTGATATTCCACAGTTAGAGGTGTGCACCCTGTTCAAGGCATTCAAGGCATCTTGGGAAGGTCTTTTGGTATCTTCATAATTTTAATACTTCTCAAACGTTTGACACCAAGGTGGAGGTTTTTTTGTTCACGTTTCGGCCCAAATGTTCCATGAATCTGTTAAACACAGGAAACCACGTCCCAGTTCAAGAGGTCACAGACCTCCTTCCCACTCACACTGAACCCTATTTGAATTTTCCCAACCCGAAAACGGAATTCACCCGTTTCTATCGTCACGCATCGGCGTAAAAAAATTGAAATGCTCTCCAAACACTACAGACGAACCCCGGAGTCATCCTGCCCGTACTCACCCGGCGCTATGACTTTTGGCATGGTGACGCTCTCCCAGACCAACGGTAACGGGTGCTCAGCGACGGTACCTCTGTGGAGGGGAAGTGAGAAGCCCTGAGCTCAGTCTGGCCGATATCAAGCTCCTTCTGCCCCTCACGTGTAACCTGCTCGGCCCACACGTGGTTCCGCTGGGCGAGGGGGGACGCGTAGTGTCCAACTCTATTTTTAAAGTTGTCTATCCACACAGGAATCCCAGACGGGCATCGTGTGGACAAACAGACGGGTGGGCAGGGGGCTCGTGTTATATAACTCCCCGTGTGGGGCACAAGCGGCTCTGCACATGTCGGCTTTCGACCCGCTGAAAAATGGAAAAGGTGGAGAAAGTTGTTTTGAAGCGACGACAGGTCATTTCATAATAGTCTGATTACTTCTTTCAGCACAAGTGAAACGGATTCTCACCCCAGTTGACTTTGGTCCCTTGCAAACCATGCAAACATGTTAATTAAACATCTAAAGCCTTGCACCTCCCATTAGTGGTCAATCGGGTCCGAGGTGTTGTATTAGTTTTTATTCCAATAATAAGGAAGGGAATAGACGCTTTAGAATAATGTTGAGTTAGTCTTTGGCACATTTCAAATAAAGGTTTTTTTAAATAATTGTACTTGAAGTGTAAACATGTGTTCCTTTTCCATGGCAGTGTATCCAATAGGTAACGAGATCTTTCAGCCCAGACCAAAGTGGTACCACCCAATGGCCTCAGTGTAGCCAGGCTGAAAGTAATATCCACTGGGCCTTAAGTAGAGGTGCTTACAAATAAACTGCACTGAAATAGTATACATTTTCTACCATCGGAAGAAATAAATAAATCGAATTGTTAGATTTTACAACTGATAACAAGACTGATCAAACATTAAAAGATGCTCAAATGTCCAGCATTTGTTGGGCTTTATAATATCGAGCAATGCAGATGATTTAATCTGTATTTGTCATGGTCTTTATACGGCTTTGTCCTGTTAAGCAGCGGGAAACTTGCATTTGAAGAACTTCACAGAAACACTTAAAGGGAATATGTCAAATATTTTTTCGGCGTTGAGCCATTTCACAGTATCCGGATGGGTGTAGAAATCTTTACATCTTCAGTCATTTTGGGTCGCTGATGTCTCCTTGTGTCACAGTTCTGCTTCTGTGTGCAGCTTGTAGACACTTACCAAGCCATCTCTAGCGAATGTGATCCTAAATGTCAACGTTCCTCTCAGGGTGCAACTGGTGAAGGAGATCAAATTAGACATCGGCAGTAAGACGAGAAGAAATAAAAATGCCAGGCAGGAGCTTTTATGACATTTTGTAAATTATGTTTTTCAGGAAAATACCTTTCATAAGCCTCCATTCCAGATGAAACAACACTTGGTCGTGCTGGTGATTAGAATTTAACTGGTGACACAAGCATGAATTGTTCTGAAATGAAGCAATTTAATCCCGTCTTTGCTAACATGCAGTTTGGCTGTTGTTTTCTGACAAAAACATGATTGGCTGATATCCACAAGTCTGAGGGACTACGTTTCCTCCTTGTGTGTTAACACCTTTGTGCTGCACTCCCACAGCCCTCGTCGGGTTGCCACATGAAAGTGAACTTCGAGGAAAAACCTATGAAGGCAAATGGCAACAAATGCACAGGCTGACATCAGTGACCTGTTCTCCGAGGACCTTCTCCTCCGTAGCGGAGGGGAGGCGTGACTGCTCCTGGCCGTGAGCCTGAGATTATCAGCAGCTGGACGTGTGGTTGACACGGTCAAGGGGTAGTCAACATTTTACCATCTTATATTACTCCGATCATGATCACCCCGGCTGTCAGACGCTGGCAAAGTACAACAGGTGCTCCGTCGTCCTGCTCATGAATCTGGGTTAACACGTTTCCACTTCTCCAACGAAGTTTGTAGAACATCATAATGTAATAAATGCAATACAACCACCTCGATTTACATATCTGATATGTAGCTCACATTACCGTCACACGACAACGTTTTGTTTGGACTGAAATATTACTGGTGTCAGGTTAAGTTTTGACTACAGATTCTCTCTGCACGCGGTTAGAAATCTGAAACCACAGACTTGACATAAAACAAATATCACTGCAGCATAACAGACGTGTCCATGCACGCTGTCTGCTGGTATGACCACCACAGCTCATTGCTTTTCGTCAAATGAAAGATCTTCGATGCAAACAACTGCAACTTGAAAGCTGCCTGCAGCAGTTGGTAGATCTCTGCTACAACGGGGGATTAAATGAATAGACACGTCTAGACGCTAATGGGCTGGAAACCCAATGAACTGGTGGAACACACTTTATTTAGACTCAAAAAACAAGCGGCGACATATACCAGGCAATCTGCTCAAATGTGTTGACATGGCGGCAGCAATGCAACATGGGTCATCTCTCGTGGCTCCTAGAGGCCCCTAAAGAAGGGAGTGATGAGTCGGCGTGCAGTCGATTGGCCTCCCAAATTGACTTAGTAGTACTTTGCTGCAGCAGGATGCGAGATTAGCCGTGGACAGACACAAAGGTGCACACTCACCACTCACATGCTATCAATTGTAGGCCTCTCTTGAGATTCTGAATAAGCGGGTCAGCTCAAAGTAAAATAGACTGTTTGGAAAAAGTTCTGTGGAAAAGTATATTACATAGATCTTTTCCCCAAATGAATAGTGCACATTTGAGAGCTGTAAAGGAGGCTTGTCAGCATGATTTCGTTGGGAAATCAATAGTTGTAAAAAGATTAATTTTTAAGCCTTTTCCTTAAATTTGCCTTTTTTAAGACTTGACACCAAAATCCCATTAATAAAACTGATCCACAGGACGTACCAAAATGATTATCCCTTGGGTTTTAGGACTCATTCCTTCAGCACTTTATAAGTTTACACACACAGTGAGGAATGTGCATGATAGTAATGCTCACTGGTGCACAGCTTTCCAAGTTCAGCATGTTTACATGTTCTGTTTGGATTGTAATCGACCTTCCTGTTGGAAAGATAAAGGAACACCCAGATCTAAACATGGTATAACACTGGAGAAACCGTATAAAGGACCGGCAAGTTTCATAAGACGCACGATGTTAAGTGGGGAAATTGACCTGATTAACCACCCGAAAGATTAAATTCATACATATTTTAAACTATAACATAAGAGAATGTAATTTCCATCACAGAGCTTTACATAAACATCAATTGAATGTTGCTGTGTTTTTTCAGGCAAAATGGGAGCTATGTCAGATGGGTGGGATCATAAACCATCCTCCAGTGGTAGGTGACCTCAGCAACTAATTGCTCTTAATTGCTCAAGAGTTCCTGCAGACCAGACAGTTCCCGCAGAGCAGAGCGGTCCAAGCATCTGTGCTGCAAACAGAACACAAGAAACGGTAGGTGCTTTTAAGATTTTAACTCCATTAAAGTTAGTCTTCTGCTCGCTTGGTGGCAGGATTATGGGGAATACACAACAAATGCTTTCAACTGATCAAGCTTGACAGGACAGACAGATATCAGTGAATGTACACAGGGGTTGTATCTCCGTCTCCACCACTTGTCCTAACACACAACAAGCGCACCACACAGACTAAACGTAAATGTCCTGTCCACCCCGTACAGATCAGGCACAATGGAAGTGACGGTGCTGGTGGACGGTCTCCCACGTGTGGTCTGTGGCGTCACAGCGGAAACGACGTGTCAAGACGTGGTCATAGCGTTGGCTCAAGCCACGGGTATGTAGATCCGTGGCTCTACGTGGTTAAACGGTCTCTAAACTGTCCTGGCGTGCTAAAAAACAAACAAAAAAAAAAAAAACACACTGTCGTCCTTCCCTTCAGGTCGACCCGGGCGCTACGCGCTGCAGGAGAAGTTCAAGGACTTCGAGCGCTGCATGGCCCCCGATGAACGCCCTCTGGAGACCCTCAAGAAATACGGCGAGCAGGCCAGGGACGTCCGACTCACGCTGCTCCACAACGGACCCTCGGCCTCGGATGACGTCAGCAGGGCAAAGGTTGGCCGATACCAACCCTGCCCGCCGCTGAGAAGGAAAGACGCTGGCGCCAGAACGCGGCGGGGAAGCGGCCCGGCGTGTTTGCATCGCCAAAGCTTGCCGCAGATGTCCTGCTCAAAGCAAGACGCCGAGCACCAAAGCAAAGAGGAGCTGAAGAGGCCTAAAAGGAAGTCCCTGACGCTCATGGAGGAGGCTTGGGAATGGCTGGAGAGTCTGGGGAAAGGGAAGGTCTACAGCACGGCCCGGGACAAGGACAAGAAGGCCGATAAAAGGAGCCGGAACTCGCTGGGCATTTCTCTCACGGTTGACGAAAGTGCCGCAGGGAGCAGCAGCAGTAGTAAAAGGAAAGGCAAAGTCAGGGGTCAGAAAAGGTCAGATCTGGATCATCAAGCTTCCTGCTGCATGGGAAATCAGACGAGGGGTAAAGGAAGCAAACACCTGGACACAAAATCCAACATTTTGTCCGGTTCAAACGATGCAACTGAAGACGAGAAAATGGGTCTGCGAGAAACGATCATACACCAGGTCAGCCGTCTGCAGGCCCTGCAGGTCCAGATAGCTCACGTGGACCAACTGGTTTCGGAGCTCGAGGAGAAACAGGAGGTTGAAAAAGCCCAGCAGGAAGCGCAGCAGAGGATGATTGAAGAGGAGACGGAGCAGATCAAGTTTTGGGAGAACGAGTTAAAGGCGGAGGAGGATTACGAGAAGGATTTGCAACGGCAGTTCCTCCAGTTGAGGGAAACCGCGTCGGAGTGCAAGGCCAAACTGGAGGATTACGGGCGCCAAATGCAGGGGCTCGATTTCAGCGCTGCTCAAAACGCAGCTGAACAAGAGTCAAACGCCGGCGCGGAGATCACAGCCGAGCCAACCGAGGGCCGAGGTCACCAACAATCTGATCCAGGGTGGGGAGTAGACGTGAGCAGGAAGTTCCCGCCCGCAGAGGACCTGAACGCCGCCGTTCACGCTCGAGTTCCTGCCGGCCAGATAAAGGAGCGGCGGCCCACTGGGCCCACCGAGCTGAGGGAGTGGTGGACGCACTGGGCCCGAGCCCAAGACCCCCAATCGCAGACTAAAAAGGCAGCGACTCACCGCTCTGAACTCACCATCTACCTGGGGGGTAAAAAGGTCTGAATTTAAATGGCCACAAACCTTTAGTCTGTGAAGAGTAGGGACGCTTCGTTGCGGATTGTAAGTTGCAGCATTTGTTAGTGATTCAATAAATAAATTAAATATTACAAGCTTTGTCTTTTTTTTTACGTTCGTTTTTTTAATAAAAGAAAACAAGATTCACTATTTGCATTTTCGGCCCCAAGAGAGAAAATGAACATGCCTTTAAGTGAACAGTGTTGATCAACATGAAATACTGAATTACTTTTCAAGCATTTAGTTATTATTTTGTCTTTAATAAAAACAAGCTCTCAGAAAAAAAATTGCAAAACAGCAAGTGATTTTCATAAAACTTTAATTCAATTGTTTCATTCAAGACCATTAACAAAAGTACATAAGAACCTCTGTTAGTGGTTTAACTGAAACCCTGTGATCGCCAAAATTTAAATTATTTTTTTGACCTCAACTTAATGTGCAGAGCCCAACGAGCTCACCCACCATTTCACCAGCGCTAGATAACTTTTATCCTGATTCTTAACGCTTTAACGGAATTTCTAATACTTTACCTTTCTCATTCTTTAAGTTAAATTTGTTATATTTGAAGGAAAAAAAAAAAAAAAAAGAAAGCACACATTACATACAGTATAGTTCAACCCATAGGTTTGGGATGCATATCAGTATTATTTCTTAGAAAAGAAAGCCACCATAAGTTTGTTCTGAATGTTTTGGTGGTTGGTTGGGAACAGAAGATACACCTCATTTTTATGTTTATTCTTTTTTTTTCATTTTTATTTTGCTTGTATTTTTTTTTTAGGCACCTTACTCTTACTTTATTCAATACTAGCAGATGGGGTTCAAATGGAAAAAAAGCAGAAATATGTGCAAGAAAAAAAAAAAAAATGTATAAAAGAACTGCAGATATAAGATGCCACATGGAATTCTGCACCTGGGAAAGATTGCTGTGGAGAAAGTGAATACCGAAAAGGTATCTAAAGGCTCCAAATTAGTAAAAATAAATCCCATTACATTAACTACATTCGTACACACAAACGTCACACACACACACCACGCTTTCACTTCAGCTCTTCAATAAAGCATTTTAAAAACTGCTCAAAAAAACGAGCAGAGAAGAATCTTCAGTTTAAGCTCGCACATGAGAAACATGATCCTCCTTATGGAGGGAACTTTTGCTTTGCTTTATGCGTCTTGTAGAAAAGCATACGATAGTGGAAACAATGAAACCATTTAAGTTTCCATGGGGAGAGGAGCAAAAATATGAGGGGGGGGGGGAAGAAATGGCCAAGACGCTCAAAGACGCGAGACAGCACCGGGCAAACTACAGGACAGAGAACAGGTGCAGAATTCCAGAAAACAAGAGGGAAAAAAAAAGCAGATTCAAAATTATCGGGACAGACAGCCACAAAGTCATTTCTCTGATTTAGAGGGCCGAGACCCTCAAAAACAAATACCTGCGGTACACACTATGATCACTTCTAGAATACATCACACACGCACGCACACACACCCGCGGACATTGCCTGGATCAAGTACATCGTACATGGGAGACGGGGAACTGGAATGAGAAAAAGTTCCCTCACAGGCATCGAAGGGGACAAAGATTACACATGCCGATAGCCAATTACCGTGCGTGTGCGTGTGTGTGTGTGTGTGTGTGTGTGTGTGTGTGAGCGCATCTTGCATATGCATCTGTATGTGCGTGCAAGCATGTGTCAAATCAAAATGTCCCCTATTCCCTTCCGGTCACACGTTACGACAGCATCCCACCGATGGAAAGCAGGACGGGGCTGTGTGTTGCTCAGTCAATGACGCCGGGCTGGCGAGTCTTGCGCTCCACATTAAAGCCCTGCATAAAGGGAGGGAGGTTAAAGTGATATTTCACAAGCATGAATCAAATGGGGTTTTATATTATATATTTTGGAATAAAAGGGGCTGAGAATTGCGCGTACCTTTGAATTGTCAGGACCACGAGGCTGTCTCACAATCACCAGGCGTGGAGCGCTGGCGTCGTCGAGGGTGATGCTCTTTAGCCGGTTCACCAGGCGATCCGGGCGCGGGGTTGCCACTGGTTTCGGCCCCTCGCTGCAACGGACACCAAGGAAGTTATTCACAATACAAAAACAAGACGAAAATGGAGAGATGGCAAAGGACTTCAGCAGCAAGAAAAATAATACATCGCTGAGTAATGTGTTCATGATAAGGTAAAAAAAAATAGGTCAATTATGGCAAAATTAAAAATCAAAGTATTGCTAAATAGTGGGAATGTTGGGGAGGGGCTTGGCCACAAGGCTGATTATGAACTCTGCTGCTTTTACCTGACTCTGCGTACGTTGCAGGCACTACATTTCCCTGTGCGTTGATTGAGGACGACTGAGAACTCCACCTCATCCCCGGTCTGGAGCTCTAGGCCGTCTTGCACCTCTTTTACATGGAAGAACAGCTTCTTGCTCTCACCAACTTCATATATGATGAAGCCAAACTGGCGTGGAGAAAAAAACAGAAGTCATTCAGCACAAACGGCACTGGAGTCACTCATCTCCACACTGGAGCCGTGTGATACACGTGAAGTGATGAGCGCCAACGAAACCTACCTGGTCTTTGACGCACTCCACCATCGCTCTGCGCTGAGGGACCACGTTGGAGGCCATCTTCTGTCCAGTTTGGGCCACGGTGCAAACGTGAAACTTCACAAGTTCTCCTTTCTGCAGGCAATCGGCTTTGTTCAACATACCCATGATTCCAAAGGGATAGTTGGAGCCTTTCGTTGCACCTTAAAACGATGCAGAAGTGAGGAGGAGGTTACATCGTAGCCAAGAAACCACGGCTGTATCTGGTCTGCATGAAATTACGTGACACCAACCCTCTTCTGTGATTTCAATGAGCCCTTGGTATTCCGTCTGGGAGGGGTCCACACTACGCAAGGGACGGATGACCTTCCCCATCATCACCGTGGCGTCAACATCCTCGCTAATGCCATTCACTAAAGAGGGGGGTTAAGATAGTTTATATATTCATTTTAGACCAGCCCACCAACAAATGACTTATTCAAATCAAGCCCCCTCGTACCTGCAGCCACTTTGGTAACCTTCTCGGCACTGACTTTGTTTCCTTTTCCCTTAGAGAGAGTGTACTCCACCGTGTCGCCCAGCTCCAAGTTCTCCAAGTCCCCACACATTTCACTGTGGAAAAAGATTTTTTTTTTTTAAAGATAAAAACGTTGACACAGATTTTGATTTTAAATGCCAGATCTTTGGATGCCAATAAGTAAAGCGGAGACCCAAAAACTGAAGGCTCTACCTGTAGTGAAAGAAAATCTCCTGGTCGTGATTTGCAGTCTCAATGAAGCCGAAGTTGTCTTTGAGCGTGGCGACAAACCCGAGCAGTCTCTTGGCGTTTGAGGCATTGCGGTTGAGGACCCGAACGGACACGGCGCTCTGCAGGCCGGTGCGCTTCACTTCGTTGATGCAGAACTCCACCTAGAGGACAACCGTGTTAGCAAGTCATATACATGGGGGGGCACGGTCACCATCATCTGGGTCACTGGGTAGATACCTTGTCTCCAGCCTGTGGGTATCCTCCCCCCTCTATGTCCTTGATATGGTACGGCACCGTGAGCTTCACGCCACAGTCTTCATATGCAATCACTCCTTCCTCGGCCTCCTACAGGGGCGGGCAACAGATTGCATGAGCAGCGCCTCAAAAGATGCAGCCAGGTGGCCCGCGGCAACAAGACACCCGCCTCCGTGCCTCAGACGAATCAGTCAGGGATTCGAGGATATTAGAGGACGGAGAGCAGACAGCCCACACAAGCTGGTGAGATTCTGGTCTACCGCCACAGCTCCGAGTTGCAGGCCGCTGTGCAGACCGGGCGTAATTACCCATCAGCACTGCGGTTTTATTGGGAACACTTCTGCATATTCACTTTTTTTTACCCCCTTCCCCCCTCTTATTTGCACCAATGGGCCTTTTCACAGTAAAAAGTACAAGCTGGCCAGGATGATTGCAGAAAATTTACCATTTAATGAGTCTTAAGCCGCTGTGATCGTGCGTTAACCAATTACTATAATGATTTAAAGTGTAAAAATGTCATGTTCATTCAAGTGCATCTGATATTTCCTTTTTATAAAAAAGGATTACAGGGGAAGAGAGACTGGAAGACAACTTCATTAAATGAAGTGGCTTTTCATTTAGAAGGGGACAATGACTCACAGAATTACATGTGTGATACACAAAAAATACACGCGGCAGATTGTTCCCAAATAAAACTACTGGACAACAGTTTCATTATCATTAATTGTACAGCCATAGAACTCAGTGAGTGCATCTTTTTGTGGGTTAAATCAAAGATCAAAGACCATGCTGTCAACAGGGGAGGTAAAGGAGGCAATCGGGGGGCCGGCAAAGACCAACCTTATCTACAACCTTAACCTTGAAAAATAAGAGAAACAGACACCCGTCAGACAACAAGGCCAGTCAACGTCAAAACTGCAGCATTATTTGTCAGCTGTTCCAAGTTGATTCTTGCTGGTACTAGGAGTTAGTGAAATGTACACACTAGTGGTGTACGGCTAAATAAGTTTGCTTTGAGACTTTAATCGTGAGGCTTCATGCAGAACGTCATAGTCCTACCTTGTCTTTTTTCTAAACCAACAAGGGTCATGAAGGTTCATTGGACAAGAAAGAAAAGAGGAAAATTAGAACTAAAAAAAGGACATTTGAAAGCGGGATCTAGTGAGGAGTTGTTTTTTATATGCACTGCCTGGGTTTTTCCACGTACCACACGGTCTGTTTAAAATGGTGCATGATGGTACCTTTTCCTTGGCCTTGGTGGGACTAGCGTTCTTTGTGTTGGTTGCCACAACTTCCTTCTCCACCACACCCATGAAGCGCTGCTCAGACTGGGTATTGAAGGACACCGAGCCCTTGGGCAGCTTCTTGATGCGCACCGCGTGGTTCCTCTGAGCAGACAGCATGTCCTGGGGACATCGGGACAGTCGACTTAGCTTGCAATCAACACATAACCAAAATTGTGCCCGATTAAGTAATGAGACAGAATACATACTTTTGTGAAAAGCTTATAAACAGGACCTACGGGCACAACAGTGAACTCCACTTCATCTGAGATGTGCAGCTGGCTTTCCTCCAGGACTTCACTGAAGTGGAAGAACATCCTGGCGTCCCGGTCGACACACTTGATGAAGCCAAAGCCGTCGCGTATCGCGGCGATCACGCCCTGGAAGAATGAAGGTTTTCTCTTCAGTTTAAAGAATGTGGATGCCCCCGTGTGTAAAGAGGAGCGCCATGATTTATTTTCTTATCACCCACCATTTCACGGGTCTCCTTGGTGAAGTCGAAGGTGTCGGGGAGGATGTCGATGTTGGTGGCCCGCTCCAGCTTGTCCCTGCGGTCGGTGGAGATGTTGAACTGAATGTGGTCGCCCTCCAGAAGGGTCACTTTGGACTTTGTGTCCTTCTCGCCGAACGGCAGCTCCTTGTCGTTGAAACCGATGCGGGAACTGATCCGGCCTGGAAGGGGGTCGTTCTGCGGAATAAGCATTAAGGAAACGCTTTACGGTTCTGCTTAGCGGATATGGGGTCTCGGCTTTAAAGGCAACAGACTTTCTCAAAGGCGTTGTTTAAATAGCCGGACTTGTGAACTCCTTGCCTGGTTTTTGGTGGGGACCTTGGGAATGACCTTGACAACGGTTCCTTCAAACTGCTCAATGCTGATGTCCTCGAAGATCACCGTCCCCTGGGGGAGCAGCCTCACCTCGGTGGCCACCTCTTTGCCCTGCGGCCGAAAGAACGAGGAGCATTAAAAACGGTACACACACGCACACACACACACACAGGGAATTTCCTGCACGGTGGAGCCCAAAAGCTTTACAGCGCCTACATTTCGGTCCTTGATGGTGAACTCGACGTCGTCCCCGGCCTGCAGAGCCTCAAGGTCACCTTTGAACTCGCTGTAGTGGAAGAAGATCTCCTTCACCACATCGGCCCGCTCAATGAACCCAAAGGCCTCCTGTAAGACAGCGCGTGGGTCAACATAAGAGGCACGGAGTGGGAGATCCGCCCCAACGGAGGGTTACTTCACTCCAAGGATAGCAAGGACTGGCGAATGTTGAGGCTAAAGCTGCTCAAGTAAAAAGGTTATCCATTAAGTTCTTGTCAATACATCATGGATCTAAATGGCACCAGAAGTACATTATAGTTCAATTCTATTTATAACTACTTTTCTCAACTGTTTAGTCTCGTATTGTTGCAAAGTCACTGTGTCCAATCTGCACCGCAGGACAGGTCCATAAAATGATCAGCAGCACTTACCTTTGTAGCACACACCACACCCTGGCACCTCATCTGCTTTTTCTTCACAAGTTGAATATTACGAGCGCTCACTGCACCAGTACTGAAATGCCAGAAAGGTGAAACGTAAAAAGAGAACGTAAGCTGGGGACTATTAAAGACAAAACTGGCGCAGAGTGAATACTTACTGCTTGTTGGTGTCCATGTAGAAGCTGACTTTGTCGCCCGTGTCCAGGTGGATGTTTCCCTCCACGTCGTCGGGTGTGTATGTAAGGTAGAACACCTCCTGCAGAAAGGGACAGCGGTGTTGAAACAGTTGAGGACATAACCTTTAACCCAAACAAGGGCCCACTCAAAGAAATATCCCTGGTCCATGATCAAATGTTATGATGCCAATGATATTGTCTGTGAAGAGAATTCCTCATTGTCTTTGTTGTTTACATTGATCCTGATGCAAAGTCAAAAGATGCACTTTTCATTGTGCAGCACAGAGGAGCAGACCTGCAACCGCATTGTGTTTTAGAGTGTCAATCATGCGTCTCAGAATGTAAACAACACTTCCCCATTCATGAGACGCCCCGATACACCAGCGGGAGTCCTGGTCAAGAAAGTGTTGCATACGCATGTTGGTTTATACGTGGCCATGGCAGCATGGAACCAGGTGCAGGACGCCATTTATCAAAGCGTGGATCCGTTCAGTTTATGTCTTCTGCTCAAGAAGCCATTTAACTACTTTCCGCAGTTCACTGATAAAGCATGCACAAGCGCCTGGACAACCATTCTTTTTCCATTGATTCATCCATCCATCCCGTCAAAAAATAACTTCATTGAACGTTTTCCTTGGGAAAACCAATTGGAACAGTTTATTTACCAAGTTTCATTTATTTTTGACCAACCGGCCATGTCAGTGTGCAATGTAGCAACTTCAGCAAGAAAGATTCAATACGAGTATCTAAAATATGCTTTATATTCCTGCAGCATACTTTAACCTTATTCGTGATTAATATGGACACACTTGCGTTCCGTGGTGCACACAACAGTATTTTTGAAAAGCCCCCCTGCTGCCACTTACCCCGTTTCTTTCGTAACAAACGCTGCCAGTGGGCGCCTGACCGGGCGCCGACTTCCCGTCCAAGTGGACCGGGATTGCGGAGACAACCTGTGGAAAGGAAGGAGGAGGAAATGGCAGACAGAGGCCGTTAGCGTGATGCTTTCCCAATCCAAGGTTGAACATTAATCGTAAATGCAAAGCCCGACTAAATAGCTCTAGACATGTGATGGATGAAATGAGTAAAAAGTAACAGGTAGAGGCATTATGTGTGTGCACATTTTAATCTTTCAAGACCTGTACATGTAAGAGACTAGTGCTCTACACTGGCTGCTGTTTTAGCATTAGCATTAACAATACATTTACAAACTAAGTCATATTAATCACTTAAACATTTGTTCTACAGATATTCAGCACCTCCAGCAAACATCAGCACAACAAGCAAATATGTAATCTATATGTTTTCTACATCTTAGTTTAGGTTATTCCTTTAATTCAAATGCAGGATTGGGAGGCGGGGACCCTGTTTAACGACATCCCCTAGCCGAAAACAACACAACACAATGGGCCGTATAAAATGTTCAATTGACAGACAACGACAGAACCAAAAATAAAATGGTGTTCCTTAACTGGATGAATATAACCATGCAGCACAGTAAAGGGATAGGCGTGCAGGTCTGGCCCCACCTGGCCCGAGATGCGCTCCTCTGGCAGCACCTCTGGCTTTATCTTTAGCAGCTTCACTGCTATGGGCTTGCCAGTGCGCCTGTCAGAGGATACCTCAAACTCTACATCATCTGGGCACAGAGAGAGGAAACAAAACGTGAGCACAGGTTCCCTTTTAAGTTGGGCCATTTGATCGATGTCACGAGTCCGAGGGCGCTCACCTCCTATTTTAAGCTCCTGCAGGTTGCCGTTGTACTGGGAGCAGTGGAAAAATAAGCGAGCCTGACGCTCTGAGCACTGAATGAACCCGTACGACGTCAGCAGCTTCTCCACCAAACCAGTCTCTCGGATGCCGGGTCCCGTGCCGTTAGCGTACGCAGTGTGCCCATTGTTATGGAGCATGCCTGGGTCAAAACTCATCTGTTGGCGGGGGGCGGGACAGAAGAGGACAAGCAAGCGTTAGAATACATCCAGTAGTGGAACAATATGGAGCAGAAAAGGTTGCAGTTTGAGTGGCCGGCGTATGATGACAACCGTACAAAAAAAAAAAAAAAAAAAATTGAATCTAAAGGAGAAAGACTTAAGACGTGCAGATACAGCAAACTTCAGAAGGAAGTGAAGGGGGGGGTCGGACAGGGGCAATATACGTAATGCCTGCATTGAATTTACAAAATCATTTATACCCTTCACCGATTACCAAAATAATTATCTGCGTAGAACTGGTCCAACTTCAAGTGTCATGCACCTGGAAACCACTGAATAGGTGACGGGGCCCAAATGACCAACAGACAGACAGAACATGTCATGCAATTCTGGTTAAAACTAACAAGACACTGAAAAACTGTTCACCTCTCCTCTGCTAACCGACCAGTGAACAACAACAGAACCCGTTTGTCACTCTGCACGCCGCTACACGCCATGCTGTTAGCCACAACAAAGTCAGGGCGGGCGGCCCGGACATGCCCCCTTACTGATCTCTGATACAAGGGGGTCCGCTTGTGTTTTTTACTTCCTGGCTGGGGGCGGCAGGAGAAGGAGGAGGAGCGGGGGACGGGCACGGTGGAAGTAGACGGGGCGGCGTCGGTGTTGCGAGCTACTGGGGGTTCTGAGGAGCCCCTCTCCATTCCGCTCACTGGGGGTAGCGCCTGAATATGCTGGTGGGGGGAGGGGACAAGGAGCATCGGCACACGCCTTTACCAGACACCACAAGCCTTTAGTCGGTGATCGGACGTGGTTTCACACAACACACAGTGACTGGAGGCACACATTTATTTACACATTAAAGCGCATCGCAACCAAACCTAAAAACAACGAGCCCCAAGAATCCCACGGGGCCTCCATGTAAAAGGATCTGCAGCAGTCAACGTCCATCCATCAAAAGCACATACTAGCGTACCGAGAGAGGAGGACCACAGAGACACTACGGTAAACTAAAAACAAGTGAAGGGGTTCGAGTGGAGCGAATGCAACTCAAGGTTGAGTGAAGTAAAACTGGTGGAAGACTGAGGACTGGAAATGCAAATGAGGTCAGAGGTACATCTACAGTGGATGGAGTTGGTGATGGTCATGTTATGAGAAAGGAGGGGGGGGGTCCCAGAGCAGCCTCTTCTGTTAGGCCATTTTCTGCACTGCTTTAACAAAAGCCATAAACAAAATACGGAGGTCTTTCACGATTCAATGGCTGTAAACACAACAAATTAAGGAGACGCAAGCCTGAGCATTTGGTTTGGATGCATTGGCAGCGATTTCGCGCAAAAATGTACATAAATATAACAATAACTAGTCTGACCCGTCAGAGCCTTTTCAAAGTAAAAACAGGGTTGAAAATGTTTAAGGGTCTTTGGGCCTTGAAAAAGTCAAAATTTCCACCATCCAAGGCAGCAGATCAGCCCTCACCCTGCAACCACACAGCTGACAAGAGGCTAGTCTCTGGAGCCCGGAGAGGATGGAGGAGATTAGGCCATTCACAACAGAGAGAGATGCAGGGCAAGAAGGGCGGATGGGTGCTCGATGGGGGTGGAGCACGTAGAAAAGGAGGTGGGAAGGTGGCACTTACGGATCGGCCATATGGCGACAGGCTGAGTCCGACGGGGGAGGTGCTGCTCAGGTCAGCGCTAACGAACGCGGTGGGTGGCGACGCAGGCAAGGTAAACTCAACAAAGCCTTTCCAGGGGCTGCCCATATTTTCCCATAAACTCAGACCGAACTTGCTCAAGCACCTGATCTCTTGTGTGAATATTGGTTTGTTTTTGCTGGTTAAGCGCTATTTGTTTCTTTTTTTTTATGTAACCACCCAATGACACACCGCTGGATGTCTGCAAGGGTGAAGAGAGGAACAAACATAACGGGTAAGGCAGATAGGTCAGCCAGTGTGCCAAGTGTCAAACAAAAACAAAAGGAAATAGCTGTGCGCTCGCATCTCCCAGGGAGGGGAGTTGAAAAAAAATGCACTGACAAAACTATAAAAAAGAACTCTAAAAATCGACAAAAGTGAAAGGAAAGAAAAAGGGTGCAGGCCGGGTGCGAGGAAGGCTATTAAACAACTGTCCACTAAATCGAATAACCAGGTCAACTGTTTGGAGGTGGTGGCGGCTCCATTGAGGCTTCATCCGCACTCCTCCGTTTATTTTAAAACAAAAAACGCCCACACTGAGGTCCCGCCATCGTTTGAAGCGATCTGTATCCAAACGGAAACCTTTGCGAACGCGTATCGCATGGCCGTTGTTGTACACGGGGCATGAACCCGACGGTGTAAAGAGGAAGACCACGATACACGCACTGCAGCTGGTTCAGTTGCGGAAAATTTGGCGCAGAACAATGGCTAAAAGAGCAGAGAGATTCTCTGCTTGGAACGACGAGGCTGAAAGTTAACCGGGAGGACAACATGGACACAGCGGCGCAAATACAGACTGAGCCGATGATGAGTAATAATAATAATAATAATAATAATAATAATAAATGCAGAGTTCAACTCCGCTGGTATAGACAACAAAGCAAGTAATGCTTGAAAGTGGTTCTGTGTTAAAATGAATCCCTGGTAGAGCTGCGGTTTGTTTTCTTCCTGGAAGGAGTCACGTAATAAGAGACAAATCAGGAAAAGCATCTCACGAACCAATCAACTGCCACAATGCAGTTTTGGGTGTGATCCTTTCCAAACGTTTCAGACCGTCCACACAAAGCAAAATCGCCGGCGCTTTCAAACGGATCCGTTTCTCTGTGCTAGAGAACGCCGGCATAATGGGAGTGCTCAGCGGAAACGTTTTGAACATGTAGTGTGGACGAAGCCTCAGCTGGATAAAGTCAAGGACGGCCATATCTAGCAAACAGAAACGTAGAGGTCAATGACAAACTCTACTCGGTATTACAAAACAAACCCAATACAGCTCGAGTGGTGGACTGGGTTTTAAAATCAGCACCTGAAAATAGAGAACCCCAAACTTTAATTGTCGAGGCCACAAATCCAGATAGACGCTAAGAACAAAAAAAAAAAAGGAATAGTAAAAACCGCGACAAGCATATCTGTTTGCTTGAACAACGTCCGACTCGGTTATTCTGGTTCAGTGACAAAAAACAAACAAAACGAAAAGACAAGCCCAGCATTGCTGCCAAAAACAAGCAGCAGGAAAATCAGAACTTCACAATCCATTTGTATATTAAGGCGCACAAAACTGGATTTTACTAATTCCACCCAACTTGGGATTTCAATTTTCTCTGAATTGAGCCCTACACTGTGAAACATTCAAAACGTGATGGCTTTAACATGACAGACCCACCTTTATTTGTCGTCTCGAATCTTGAAATTCTCTGGATCTTGATGTCTAGGCAGTTCCTGCAGATCTCGTCACGCACAGTGTAACACACATACACACACACACAAACAAACACAAGCGCAAACACACACGTTACAAGTTTCTGGCACAAGGTCTAGATGGTTGCATAAAGCAAAAAAAAAGGGGGGAGATATCTAGTGCCAAAAACACAGAAAAGGCAACGGCAGGTGCAATAATTCCGCCTACAAAGAAAAATAACAACAAAAACAGAGGAGTCGAGAAAAGGGGAAAGATGGCGAGGAAACTATGGGGAGGGAAATAAAACTAGCATATAGCAGCCCACTCCACACCCCGGTGGTGAGTCAGTGGTGTGGTGAGGATGAGGAGGGCTAGGAGCAGCGTTGGGACGTGTGCTTGTTCAAAGCTGTTGAGTAGGCACAAACTTCTGGTTTCAGATCAGTTAAGTCTTCTCAGAATATGCTTGGGCGCAGGATTGCTTCTCTTCTATGTTTCAATTGGGCCGACGTGCGTCTTCTTTGGTCGTTTCAGGATTTGGTTGCTTCGTGTGTTTTTAAAACCCCTTGAAGTGATCCGTTGGTTTTTCTACGCGTGTTCAGTGGTGCAACTTTTGCTTGTTTCGGGAAGGTTTGTCTTCGGTTTCCTTGTGGTGATCTGAACTTGAAGCAGTTGCGGATGGTACAAAAATTCAGTTCCGTTTCACTTCATACTGTTGAGGGGGAAAAGCACATTTTTGTTAGCCGAGCAGAATTAAAAACTTGACAAAGTTTGAGTTTATGCAAAAGTGTTTCTGCAATGAGGCTGTTACATTTAATTTCACTGTAAACTAAGGAAAACAAGAATGAGGAACAGTGGCCCGATTTTGATACAAAATTCATTCATTCAAGAATTAAAAAAAAAAAGATGCTACACGGCTGGTTCTGGCCCAAATCCCACGATGCCGCCTGGCTGACAGGAAAGCACGAGTCAGGGACTTTCCAGTCAAGTTTGTGCATACCTTCAGTATAGTTATGGCCGCATTTCTAGACTAGAGCTCCTTTTGTTTTTTTCTTGTCCCACCTGTCCCACAACAGTTTGTCACATATATCATGTTGAGCGTGCAGCTCAACAACCATGAGTTACATTTGTGCGTGTTCTCAGTGTGCGTATTTTGTTAGAAACTCTAAGTAAGAGCAGAGTGTCGTTGACCTAAATATACAGCTTTGAAAACAAGCTGGGTGAGTCAACCGAGACACATGATATCTATTCAGCTGTGAATGTGTTGCGACAGCTCCCATTTCACACACTTTGCAAAAAGGCAAATTACAATGTTTTAGAATTGTGCAAAGTGGACTTCTAACATGAGGCGTCTTATTGGATATTCATATACAGGTGTCATACCCAGACACCTGGGCTTTGTTTACACGCGAGAGGTCTGGATGAAAAGTAGACCGAAGCTGTACAACACAGTGCCAGTACAAATAAACCAGTCAGTTATCCCATGAAGGATTGCTTAAGTGTGTTAAAGGTTATGAGCAACGGACATGGGACGACTGTCCCGTGAAAAAACAACCTCGGGGGAAGAGATGGGTTCCTCTATTCGCGGTTTTCCCCTTTCCAGCCTTTGGTGACGCACTAACAGCAGAAAACCACGGCCCACCCACCGAAGGACCAGTACCGATTGGCCATCGGCGCTTCCTAAACGAGCGCAAGGAATTGGGATCCAGTTATTCAGCAATCGTTAAAAGAACGGAGACGCATGCGCCGTGTAGAAGGCCCCAGTCCCGACAGCGAGGGTCTGACGAACCCCCGGGCGGAGCCTCCAGGCGCGCTTCCGCGGACCCGCCGGCGCAGCGCCGGTCCGGAGCCGAACAACAGCCGCGCTGACAGAACCGGCCACGTGACTCCGGAGCGATCCGCCACACTCAGCCGGACCGGCAAACATGGCCGAGGCCAACACTCTGCAGCACGAACGTCACATATCAGCTTGCTTGATCTACAACACCTCAAAAAACACGTGCCCGAACAATCGAAAATGAGTCGCGTGTCGTTATTTTACAGCTTGCCAGTGACGTAACGTTACACGGGGAATGGCGAGGAGACGTTTAAATGATAGAAATCACATCATCTTAATGACCTTGCGTGGACGATCACACGCAGACAAATTAACATCTCGCTAACGCCGCAAACAATCATTAGAGTACCGGGCGTTTCCGATGTGTAAATGTACTTCAATCAATCCACTGCGACAGTGTCATTGCGCATCAAAGTTAGCAAGCTAACAATAGCTCGGAGTGGTTAGCACCGCCGGCTAACGGTTTGGGCTAACGTTAAGTTAACGTTAGCTTATTATTTGGGGTTTATCTAGAGTACGTGGCGTTGGTCCGAGCAGAAGTTCGCATAAAGTAAAGACACAATCGTGGTGTTGGTTTACACGGACAGGTGTCTGCTAAGCTCCAACAAAGCGGGTGGTGGTTTTATTCTAAAACAATTACCCTTAAAAGAAATGATTTGACTCTCGCAAAAACAATGGGACGTCGCGACAAACTCGACACCGGCATTTAACTGATTTTTTTTTTTTTTTTAAAGACACATGGCCGTGGTGGTATTCAACGTGAACTGGGTATGTGTTGCACATAAAAGACACCGAATAGCGTTATCGGGTCTTACAGCACGAGGATGGAACAACAAAGAAGCTACGTTAAAAGGAGCGCACGCCTATCTGCCCAATTACGACGCCTGGTGCGAATGTTTAGACGCATCCAGCTCACAAAAGCGGCGCAGCTCTCGTACCACTAACATCTTTCGGATATGCGGAGTTGTTTATCGGCCTCGGTAACAATGTTGCTAGGCCGTTCGCAATGCTAGGTGGCTAGCGTGCTCGCTGCCGGACTGCTTGGTCCTTGAGTGGTGATTTATGGTGAGGACACGACCCACCCAGGCCCGAGCCCTCTGTATGACTAAAACCTATATAACCCGTTCAATTTCGAAGACCCGCCAGATAAAACAGATACATACAGTCCGATGCAACTCGTGCTAATGTTTGAAATTTACTCTGAAACGGCAAAATGAATAAAACTTACCCCAACAGCTTTCAGCACTGTCACCAGCGCCGCTAGAAGCAGCACGGCACATTACGTAGTGATTAGGGAGGCAGTTATCGCGATATTTGACAACGTCGGGACGTCCAACGCGCGTTTAACGGAGAGAGCGGCCGACGCCGCGGAGCTGCTGATGACTGACCCCCGTTTGTTGTTCCCAAATGACCCGGACCTGCCATTTACTCTCACTTCAGTTATTCACTCCTCTGATTTTGACTTTAACTGCTTAAGTACTATTCTTAAATATGCTCATAAGATACTTAACAAACAGACAAGAAGACAAACATCTTCATCAATTTAATACCAAATGTGTTAATATTTCAAAATATATATTGATTTGAAATCCCGCCGTTACTTGATTTCTATAAATATAATTAAAGAAAATTATCAAAAATATTCACCATATTCGTATTCGGTTTGCCGTGAGATGGGTATTAAAGCAGCAACGCAGCCATGGTTTAGAATTCATTCTGAATTCATTATCCAACAACGCAATTTACTCAGCAACAATGATTTAACATGCTTTATCTAAAATAAACTCCAACACATTGAGACAAATTCGAAAACAAATTTAGAAAGCAACAAGTAAAAAAACATTCTGTGTCATGGCAGTTCTCTGTGGCCAGAACCTAAAAGATGCACTTTGTATTTGTCAAAACTGTCTGTGTGATTTTAATGGGTGTATTTGAAACCCGTGATCTATTTGTATCATTTGAAAGGCTGTTCTCTCCAGACATGTCTCTTACCAACCTTCCGCGCAATCCTACAGCTATGTCGGTATTTATTAAATCAATCTCCCAATTGCTGCTGTCCGACGCCCACTGGTCTCTCCAGTAGGCGGCGCTGTACACCTTCAACTCGGTGTGCGGCCCCGAGCGGATGCGGAAGTGACGTCATCGTCCAGCCTAACACGGAAGCGATCCACAGCAACAAAACAGAAGGACACATCAAGTATTTAGACGTAGTGTACTTATTCTGTGTTACTACCGTTTTCCCCCCGAAGCCCCGCGCTATTACACAGGCGAATAAAAGGGCGTTGCAGCGGCAAGTAGCGCGCGCACAGGACGTGACGGTGTCCAGCATGGCCTGCACTATGGACAAGGTGCTGGGCGATGCCCGGACCCTCCTGGAGAGGCTGAAGGAGCACGACCTGGCAGCGGAGGGGCTGATCGAGCAGTCCGGGGCCCTGAGCCAGAGAGTGCAGGGCATGAAGGAGGTGGGGAATGCGCTCCCCGATAAGGTACGGCCGAGCAACGTCAACGGTACACGGTGCTGCTCAAAATAAATCCTCCATTTCTCGTACGTGCATGCGTAGGAAAACCACAGCCATGGTAATTTAATTGGATTTGACTGACAGAGATTTCCTTTGATACGTTGCTCTCTTTTTGGTGCAACTCTTGAATAATTTTTCCAACAACCTTAACATATCGTGAATGTCATGGACATCTTTCGACTTCTGCAGTATGTTGTCTTCTTGTTTGTCAACTCTTTATTACAGTGTTCATATGCTCATCTTCACACTTAATATTCCTATGATTCAATGTTAAAACCCTGGCCTCGTGACGCTCTTTCGTCTCAGCACACAGAAGAAACTTCAGAAATTCAGGAGCTGCTAAAATTCAAGCCCCATGTGCTTCTGGCACAGGAAAACACCCAAATCAAGGACCTACAGCAGGAGAATAAAGGTACGAGAGAAAAAAAACTGACCTGCTATTTGCACAGCTGCTGTTTGACATCTTTGCAAACGTTGTTTGTGACTGTGTCTACAGAACTGTGGTTATCTCTGGAAGAACACCAGTACGCGCTGGAGTTGATCATGGGCCGATACCGCAAGCAGATGCTGCAGCTGATGATGGCCAAGAAGGAGCTGGACACCAAACCCGTGCTCAGCCTTCACGAGAACCACGCCAAAGTACGCTGGCCGCGATGACAGTTGTGATGAAATTGCACTTTCTTGTTTCTTGTTCTTCTGGGTTTGTATCCTTATGGTTGAAATGCACTCATCGAAAGTCGCTTTGGATAAAATAATAATTCAATCACGTGTAATGTTCAAATTCCTTGTCATTTGTGGGTTAGGATTTACTTTAAGGATTCATTTGCGAACGGTGAAAAATATGTTGATGTATATGTTAAAGGTCTGTGTGTTTTTTGACTGTTCCCAAGGAGGTGCAGAGTCAGGTGGAGCGGATATGTGAGATGGGCCAGGTGATGAGAAGAGCAGTGCAGGTGGACGACCAGCACTACTGTTCTGTTGCAGAGAGGCTCGCCCAGCTGGAGGTAAGCACAGTGCTTCCGCAGAATATGGAACATATTATATATATTTGTCTTAATTCAAAGACGGAAACTCTGTCTCCAGTGGAAATATAGCTACACGTAATTATAAACCTGCGTTTTATTGTGATAAATATACCATAAATAACAAGTAATCGCTTTAGAAAGCGTGTATTTTAGTTTTGTGTTTAAAAAAAAAATACAATTAATTAACACACATTTGGGTTGAACATGTTGAACATGCGACTCTTACTGCTGTCCTCGTGCACTCCAACTCTCCATCATTTGACGGCTGTGTTTGAAGTGGCAACAATCTCCCCACATTTAGCCAGGACGTTTTCTAAACCACTGTCTTTAGGGACACAGTGGTGGTCCTCTGCAGATTGTGGGCCACGCAGGGTAACGTTAGATGTTGAGATGGGAGTAGCCTAGCAGCTAGCTTAGCCTAGCAGTAAGTAAAGTGGTCCGTTTGCCACTCGTCTCCCTTCTGTTTTACACGCGGACGAATTCCTCCGCTGTATGTCGCACCTCTGTTTTTTTACTTCCAATGCAAAAAGCGCTCTCCATCTTTAACTACCGTCTCGGTCCCTCCAATCTAATAATTCCAAAGCGTTAACAGCCCTGTCACGTAGACATACAATACATGATTGCACTATTTTGGATACAAATTGTCTTCCTCCCAGAACTTCACCCGGACAATTTTCTGAAAATAATGATGCCGTTTTTCTGTCCTGCTTAGATTGAGAATAAGGAGCTGCGGGACCTTCTGGCCATCAGCAAGAGCTCTGTGAAGGCAGCGAGAGAAGAAAGCAGCCAGCCGACAGCAGCGCCGCCCCCTCAGCCGGGGCCCCACGAGTGACATGAACAGCTTCTGTGTGACCCGCGGTCAGGGCAACGAGTCGTTTGATCATCTACCGCATTGACCACATTATTGTTATTATTCTTGACACACGGTGTAATACAGTCAAATCACAGGACATTGGTTTTTGTAGCAAAGGCCACTTAAATGCACCGTTGAGGCTGTCCGATGCATTTAGCAGCAGGCGTATCTGGATGAGAGCTATTGAGCAAAGACAAGTTTCCTGTCTAAGGACACATTTTCTACCTCTTTGGTGCCCCTTTGCTGTTAACACACAAACACTCACAACACGTTACGTACTCATAACTACCACTACTATGAGTTCACTTGAAGTCCATTGAGAAGCCAACTTGTAGTTCGCACCATTCAAAGAGGCCGTGCTCGTCAATAAGTCTGTCAACAAGATGACTTTTGGGCTGTTTCACAGTTTTCCTGCTGAGTGAATCGTTTGTACCTGATTATCATGTAGTGAATTTGATACTTTTGTCAGTCTGTTTGTAAAACTCACATAGGTGTCCCAGGTGATAGCACATCTTTTTTCAAAGGTAACACTTTTAAAACATGCCAAGTTTTCAAATTGTATGTGTCAGATATTATATATTGTCATCTCAGGAAACCAGTGTTAATTAGGGGGAACGTGCTGTATTGACGTCACAGCTATTTACTGATGTGTATCAAAAAAAATTCATTCATAAACTCTTCAATACATTTGCAATAAAATGTTTGTGTGAATTGTCTCTCTGCTACATCGTATGTAGACATTCAATACTTGAGCCGAGTTCTATATGCCCTTACCGCCAGATGGCGACGTAGAGCCGCTTCTATTTGAACGCATCGCGAGGCTTGCGAAAGTGGCGTAATGCTGCGTTCATGTACACAGGTATATAGCAGCTTTTACTTTTTTTTCGGCAGTTTGTGTGCGGCGTATATTTTTCAACAACACGGAGCCAATAAAGTATGTTTGTTTTTAAGACTGGTGACCTAAACACACATCACTTTGTCCCGTGTTTGTCCTGTGTTCAAAGTGTAAGAATACTCCGTTCCAACAGCCCATGAACGCAACATCCACCAGAGCTGCGTTTGACGCTTCGAGCAGAAGCTAACTTAACATTCAGCATGTCTGAAAAGGAGCTGGGGAAAAAGTGGGACCGATGCTTGGCAGACGGTGCCATTAAATTCGGTAAATATCTCAGTATGCCACTTGTTATGCCCTTCATTGAGAACAGAGAAAACAGCAGCTTTTTCCACAGCGTTCATGTAAGGTTACTGAACACACGGCTAACTAGCTAGCCGCAAAGGGCTCGCAAAGGACAAGTGAATGACCAGCCAGATACTTCTCACCTAATGTTATTTATTCCGATTCACACAACTATTGTTGATTCTGCAGTCTGATTAAAGATTGCGCTAACGCGACTCGTACATATTAGCATTCAGAGATATGAAAGACTAATCGAAGTGAAAGTGCCCTTCAGAAATAATAACGCTTTCCTGCTTATCGAGGAAGTTATGCTTTTTGCTAAGACATAAATATACAAGATGTTTTACGATACAATAGGAATGCACACTCAACGTTAATATTGACACAATGCAAACTTCTTTATCCCCACATCCCTTGCTTAACTCAACAGTTTGCACAACGAAGTGGATATAGAAATGACCACAGCAAGCTGTGCTGATTCATTAACTTAAAGCTTTATGAATCACTCAAATCACAGACAATTAGATGACGACATATTTGTAACAAGTCTTCAGTCATGGAGGGACTGCTGATAATGCAGATGTTTGGGTGCAGTTTGATGCGTGCTCAGCGACACAGCATCGTCTATTGGAGAGAGGTACCACTCCGTTGTAAGAGACAGAATTTGCAGACACAGGAAGAAATGACAGAGTAAAACATGGGGACAAACAATACTGTAGAAGAGTAGGACACACACTGTACCTCACCAAAAAGTATGAGAACAAGAAAACGCACAACATTGATGTATTTCAGCATTCTGCATTTAACATTTTTTTGAAGTCGGCTTGTTGTCCAGTCACAGGGAGCTGATTTTTATTTTCCCTTCTGTTTTCAGGCACCGGGCTCGGGTTAGGAATCGTGTTTTCTGTTCTCTTCTTCAAACGTAAGTATTGTCAAGGCACTGTTGCTGTAACCGCATCTTCAACCTTTAATTAGGCTCCGAGGTGCTCGGCATGATGAGCCGAGCTGAGAGCAACGCTCGCACACCCTCGGAACAACAGTCACATCTAGTTGAACACATTATTCAACGGGAGTTCATAAATGTGTGTGTGTGTGTGATGCTTTTATTAATCGACAAGCATCAAAAGCATTTTAATGAAGAAAAAGAGCATGTGAATATTAAAGTAAGGGGGGGGTTCCAGCAGGGGTGTGAAAATAATTTCACACGCCACCTCCGCTGGGTTTTAATAAAGCTGTGACGCGCTGGAGAAGATATAAAGAACCTGTTTCGTTTGTAGGGCACACTTGGCCGATTTCATTGTGCTCGGGAGCGGGACTTGGCATGGCGTTCTCCAACTGTCAGAACGACCTGCGCTCCTCGTATCTGCTGCACAGAAGCCAAAAGGTTGGTTTGTGCAATAAAACGCATTCTAACTAAGAAGTGACCGGACTCTCTTTAAACAAAAAAAATTACCCTGTCTATGTTTATTCCAATCAAGGTTTATGCAACGAAATTTTTGGATTTCTGTTTTTCTTCCACAGGAGCAGTAGCTGGAAATCATCGAGGGACTGTCGTTTTTTTCATTCTTTCGACTTCGTTTGTTTGACCTGAAGGAGAGTCGCCATTTGCACTGTTCTGCAGTTCGATCCCTGTGGAACGATCCGTCCGATTATGACTCTGTGTGATTGTATGTGCCTGACAGGCCGTGTATATTTAATAAAATAATCATGACAAAAAAATGTAATCCCACCACATTTTTGCTGACATTTCAATTTAAAGAAGGTTAAAAAAAAAGAATAAAGTCACATAATGCATTATAACGGCTAGGTTTACTCTTCCGTTACAGCAGATTTAAAAAGGTGGGATTTCTGTTCATTTGAGGCGGTGGCGGGCTCGGTGTGGGCCAGCCGGGGTCACGGGGTCGCCAGCAGCCCATCTGGTGTGGAAGGATGACACGGGCGTAGTGATGGAGGAGATTTGTAATTATTCAGCTTTCCACTTCTATTGAAGGTTATTGAAATGCCGGAGTGCAAATAATTTGCACCCTGTGAATCCCTTTGTTCGATACTCTTTTTGTACTCAAGCGCTCCCATCGGGAAGTGGATAATTGTCTGGGGTTAAAATAATTATGTATGCATGAGTCACAGAAAAATACTTCATGACCTTTAGTACAAATCTACTATTGATGGACTCGTTCCTCAATTATCTCTGGGCTTTAATGTACAACATGTCAAACGTTTTAATGTTTCACTGATACATGAGTCACAGTGAACCTTTTCAATTGGACTTTTTGACACTGATAAAAAAATTTAATAAAAACTAGGACTAAGCTTTATCAATTTGTCTAAATTAAGTGCATTTATAAAATGCCAAAGAATTGATGACTGACTGGTGCAGCTTGTTCTCGCACAAGTTGCATCAAGATGGAAGATTAACAATGGAATTTGAGTGAAACATCCCTGCATCTAAAGAACCGTCAAATTGTTAATGGCAAATAATCGATCATATCACAGGTGCTATTGTTAGCGATAAGGAGGTGGAGACAATTGACCTTTATACCAGTACTTTTTACTTTGTTCGTCAGCATTTACACTTGGTTTAGCCAGACATATCTCTGTTTATATACATCCTAAATTCAACTTGACTCCTGTATGTGCCAGCTAGATGTCATGTAGGCGAGACGACGGGTATGAATGCAGCACTGGGGCAAACTGCAGGCATCGTACGGTCAAGTCGTATAGTTACATAACTAACGTCATAGAGTCCAACCAATTACAATCTGAGCCATTAATAAATTGATCTTTTGGTTTTAAGATGCAATCTCCAATTGAGCTGCATGAAACTGCAGACAGAACTAAGACCTGTTTGGAGACCAACCGCCCCATTACCTTTGATAAAGAGGCCCAAATGCAAAAATGAGATCGCTTTCCCAATGATCCCTTCTTCCCTGATTGCAGGGTATGAATGAGATCAGGAAGTTAACATGGACCCAAGCTGTTGCCTGGCAACCTTATTCTGTTGTTAAGCACTAAAACTAGAACGTTTCAGACGGAGGATGGGGACAGCAGGTATGTGTTAGACAGCCTGAGAAAAATACTAAAAATGAAAGCACGTTAACACATTTTAGTCAAAACATGAAATACAAGAAGGAACGTGGCAATTAGCGAGATACGTCTCCTGTGCATCCCAAGTGGCAGAAAGTATACAATGACTTGTACTTCTGTTTCACTCTAACGTTACGCGCCTGAATGGCAGTTGCCTCCTCTAACACAGCAGAAGAGGTGACGTGTGGCCTGATGGCTCCTCAGAGCGCGTGGCCAGACCGCACACGCACCTCCACTATCAGTCTGCCTTTCAAAACATTGTTACATTATTTATAAGGACCTATTTTCCGTACTAATATTCAAAAACAAAAAATCTTGGTCATTGACTCCTTCAAAGATCTTACACTCTATAAATTGTAAACATATGGTCAAATCTAATCTTTCTAATGCGTAAACATCAATGCCATAATAGTACCTCGGTGTAAGCACCATGACCAAACATGGAAAAGCACCACCCACACCAATGCCCAAGCTAACAGATTTGCATATCTTGGCCGTGCTTTGTGGGGTGGTTATGCATTAGCAGCTCAATGCTTTGACACGCTCCTTTTCAGGAGCTGTGCGGGCTCCGGGAGGCGCGCTGGAGTGGCTGACACAGGGATTAACGGGAGCGGAGGGGGGGGGTCTAAAGGAAGGGGTGCAAGGATCATGATACCTGTAGAGCACTTGTGAGCGGTGCGCCGCTTACAAGCGGATGCTTTACACTTTTGGGTTCCTGCTCTCCCTCTTGCTGTTGCCGGGAATGAAAAGGACCGGTGAAAGAAAGGCAGCAGAGCCCCCGGCGCCGCAAAGAAAGCTGTGAAATTCCACTTCTGAGAAGTGAGGTATGATTTTGAGTCGCTCTTTATCTTCAGCAGTTCTGAATTCCTAGTTGGGCTCATCTCTCTGTGTGCCCTCCTCCAGCGACTGTCATCACTGTGACATGATGCTCTCCAACGCCTCTGCCAGCCGTCGAATGGCTCATTCAGTCTCTTAGCTGTGGACGAGGCGGGGACAACTCGGCCAGGATGGAGAGACGAGGGAATCTGTGTCAGTGATTTGTATCACGCTGCCGGTGCCTGTGGAAGTGAACCATCAGGGCACCTGGATGTATTCCTGCCAGAAGGACCATGGAGAAATATTTACGAGAAGAGTCTGGTTAGCTTCGACAGGAACGTGGCTGGACTGCTTCTCAACACCTCGGTGGCTTCTTTTTATTCAACAATGTCCAGAAAGTGAGCGCTCTGGCTGCAAAAGGCAGAACCAGCTAAGATGCGTTGCATCTAGTGGCGCCTGAAGAGGAACCCTTGGGCGCTGGTTTCGTCGATCGTCGCCAACCGGCACCATGGCCGACTCTCGCTTGTCCGGCTCCATGGGAAGCTACAACATCAGCCCGCTCTCCACCAGCGCCTGGAACATCACTGGCAGCGGCCCGTGGTTGCTCGCCTTCATGCTGACCGCCATCATCCTCATGACGGTCTGCGGCAACATGTTGCTCATCGCCGTGGTGTTCGCCCATCGCTCTCTGCGATGCACGTCAAACTGCTTCCTGGTGTCTCTGTTCCTGTCCGACCTGATGGTGGCCGTGGTGGTCATGCCCCCGGCCATGCTCAACGTGCTGTGCGGAGCCTGGGTGCTTTGGCCGGCCTTTTGCCCCGTTTGGCTCTGCTTTGACGTCATGTGCTGCAGCGCGTCCATTCTCAACCTTTGCGTGATAAGCCTGGACCGCTACCTCTTCATCATCTCGCCGCTACGCTACAAGCAGAGGATGACCCCGCTCCGGGCGTTGCTGCTGGTGGGAGCTGCTTGGGGGTTGGCGGCATTGGCCTCCTTCCTGCCCATCAAGATGAAATGGCACAGCTTGGGCCACGGGAGTGGAAACGCCTCGGCCCCGGGGGCCGGCGGAGGCGACCTCAGCTCACACTACGACACGCTGTACCCGGCGTCCTACTTTCAGCTGTCACCATCAGGGGGGCTTTCCTTCCAGTGCCGCCTGGGGGTCACCTTGCCCTTTGCCCTGGTGGCGTCCGTGCTCACCTTCTTCCTGCCCTCCAGCGCCATTTGCTTCACTTACTGTCGGATCCTCCTGGCGGCGAGGAGGCAGGCGAAGAGGGTCGCGGCGCTGAGCCACCCGCCACACCCGCACCCCTCTCCTGGCGAGCCTTTCAGGCCTCCCTCGCCCGGGGTCGCCGCTGGGCAAGCTCACCAGGACGTAGACGACTGCAGTCACCAGGAGCCTCCTGTGTCGCAGAATGTGCCGGTAAGCGGTAAAGCAAACCAGCCAAGGTAGATGTATGTTTGAAGGTAGAGAGCTGACCCAGACCGATGAGTAACGGCCTGTTCTAAGCAAAGGCCACACATAAAAACAGAGCAGAAATAGTTGGCTGGCTCTTGAGTGGAGTACATCGTGATGAGAGTATTGAAAAGGTTGATTGTGTGAGTCGAGCAAGTGGCACTAAGATAATAACCTAATTGCAGCTGTCCATCGATTACAGTCCTCAATTGTGTCTTTTCCTTGAAGGTTGTTCACTTAATGATGCCAATTATGCCGTTGAAATCCACTCCTGCGTTCAATTTCATCTAATTCAGCTATTATAAACCTGGAGATGTTCTTTGATTCTTTTTTCTACCTCTCCCAGACATTACCTGCCCTGATGTGCCTAGTGATGAAAGTACCTTGGACCTCATCTTATTTGGAAGTACATCTGAAAGGATGCAAACTACCTTGTGTTAAACATCTTTAGGGTTTACAGCCAATCCAATGACGGCGTTTAGTTATGACTTAACTAAGCTTTAATCATCATTATCAGCGTATAAAAATAATCAAGTGAGATAACAGCCACTCTTCATGAGTAAAAAGGAGAGATCCGGTGAAAGGGAAGAGGCATAAAACCTGCCAAGAATTTAGGAAAGTACAGAGAGTGTGTTAGATGTGCGGCCCCATCTGATAGGATCACAGCCCCATAGTCTGTCACATTTGTGGCAGTAAAACACACACATCGACACACACACACACACACACACACACACACACACACACACACACACACACTAACCAGTTCTGAATAAATTCTTAAAAGTTCTGGTGAATTTATCCATTATTTAGATGTAAAATCATTCTTTTGATCCTCAAAATATATGTATATTCTTGTTCCATTCGCAATATTTTGGAAATGTACAATTTGAAATAAATGACGTAGGATTAAACAATGTTTGGCTGTAAATGTGGTTGGAAGTTTAAAATGGCTATGGAACTACAGATTAGCATAGCTTAGCATAAAGACTGGAGGCAGGTGGAAATAGCAAACTAGCTTACAAAGATTGTGGTTTGTAAAAATCTAGTCTTCTATGTGGTGTTTTTGTATATGAGTATATACAGTATACATGTATTTTATTTAAAGAAATGAGATGAATCGTCAGTTTCAGCTTCACAACGAGCAGCTGTTTGTCCAGTCTTTGGGCTAAGCTAAGCTAACTAGCCGCTTGCTTAATATTCAGCTCACAGACAAGACTGTTATCAATCTTCACACCTAAGAAAGAAAAAATAATCCTACAATCTAATCTCCTACAATTACTTACAATTCCCCTAATTTCACGTTTGGCTTCATATATTTCTAAATAACTCGGATTGACCTTTGCTCCCTCATTTCCACAGCCTTCCGTGAACAGCGAGCGTCGTCTGGCTCACAGACAGGGTCGGAGGGCACTGAAGGCCAGTCTGACTCTGGGGGTCCTCCTGGGACTCTTCTTCAGTGCTTGGCTGCCCTTTTTCATCACCAACATGGCCCAGGTCAGTATAGAGGGACCAGATACTGACTGGACGATAAGACACAGAAAATGTAGTCATTGAAATTGTAAAACATACCAGTAACGCAACATAGTGGTGTCCATTTTACCTGTCAAATGCGTTCAATCTTTCCAGGTTGCCTTTGCCTAAAGGACGGCGTTTCCACCATAAAGATCCCCAACAATTGTACCACAACATTTACACTGTGAACCTCTCGGTCCTATTCAGTACATCTGAGTCACCCTATGGGGTTTTGTATCTATCCGATATAAATGCAAAAGAACGAAGGAAAGGAAAATAATAAACACACTTGGATACCGATCTATTTTTGTATCGACAGCCTTGGCGTCACAGACTTGCCAAGTTATCTAACAAGTTAATAGATTGGCATTTCAGCTTTGTGCGGCTGACTCACTCCAAAGCCCAGAACACAACGCACCACAGCACCATTTTTATTTGGCCTTTTTTGTCGTTGGTTTTTCTTGAATGGATGGAGCACCGATTATTAGTCAACAGGCCGACATCGGTGGCCATGAAAAACTTTGATTAGACTAAGTGAATGTCTGAAAAGAGCCTAATCTTAATTGGTAATGACACTTGGCCTGTTTCTTCGAGCTCTCAATGATCCAGTCATTTGGATTTCCCATCTGTGCCCTCTCGCTTCTCCCCTGCGTTATACGGAGCACAGAGACACGACTGCGTCTGCGCTCTCCTTCCCTTTCACACTCAATGTGGTGTGTGAAACACAACCCCCCCCCACTCTTATTCCACAGCCTCCCGGCCTCATCTTGATGGTATTGGAAGCTCTCCTCTAACCGCTGTCTCCTCCTTCACTGTTCTTCTCTGAACCCACAGTGGTTAAGCTTAAGATTGGGCTTTTAAAACAGCCAAGTGCAAATGTAGTTACAAGTTCTACTCTACAAGTAAATTAGATTTTGTCTGTAGGAAAACAAGTGAGGGACAGCTTATGTGAGTGCCCACACAGACAATCTGGCCTTTTTCTGATGGTTTCGGACTCAGCTATTTTAAATCCATAGGGGCCGAGTATGCACAGGGAAAGTGAAAAAATACACACGTGTTGAAGGTATGGAAAATAGATTTTAAATATATATGCTTTAATTATCTCTTAATGTCCATATTTTTAACTGTATTTATTTATTTAGTTGCCTATAATCTAAACTTTTCTTCAAATTTCCAAAAGACGCAGAGAGTAAATCACAATTTCCTGCGAATAAATGTTTTAAATGCGCACTGGGAATTTTTTAATAAGTCAATTGTGCAATGAATGCAATGAATTAGAACTAGATTAATATACACAATTAGCAGAAATACATGTTTTCTGATGAATGTAAACAAACGAATGTCCACTGTAAATCTTGAGCAAATACACACATTTAAACAAATGAATTATTGCATCACTGGACAATTAATGAATGCATTTACTGCATTGATTCCTGTTTCTGTCATGCTCGCTCATTCAATAATAATGAGGTGTGTGTCCTTAATATTCTTCTGACTTTATAATGCCTGTGTTGCTCATCCAGGCAGTGTGCGAGTGCGTCCCCGTGGCGCTCTTCGACGCCATCACTTGGCTGGGCTACTGCAACAGCACCATGAACCCCATCATCTACCCGCTGTTCATGCGGGACTTCAAGCGGGCGCTGGCGAGGCTCCTGCCCTGCTGCTCCTCGCAGTTGCCCCGGAGGCCCTCGCCGGCTCTCTCGCTCTCCCTCCGCAACTCCGGGGAGCAGAACGCCGCCAGCAGCCTCCCCTCCCTGCTGGCCTCCGACCCCACGCACCCCCCCGCCACCGCCACCGACGCGGTCAACCTGCTGGACGCCGAGCACGCTGGCGTCGAGTTGCCTCTGCTGCTGCCCAATCAGGTCGATGCCCGGGATTGAAATGGCAGCCATGGAAACGCTTCATCTTGGTATGCAAGTGATTGAAGAGAAGTGTTTTGTCACAAACAAAAAAAATGTCTGGACGGTGGACACAAATTTCGGGCCTTGTTCTACCTTGAATCGTCTGTTTCTCTTCAATCAGCAGATATGGTTGCAGAAACAGAGGAAGTTGCATTACCGACGCAAAAACATGGGACCATATCAGCCAGCCATCAGGGCCTGCATACAATGTAATATCCACAGCAACCAGAGACGAAGGCGTGGCGGTTGTCTCACAGCAAGAGGGTCCCGGGTCCGACTCCACCTTTCTGTGTGGAGTTTGCGTGGCTCCTCTCTGGCTCTGGATTCCTCCCACAGCCTGAACATTTGCTCTGGGGATCCGGTTAATTGGTGACTCTAAATTGCCCGTTGGTGTAGGCGTGTGGATGTGAGTGTGACTGGTTGTTTGACTCTGTGTCAGCACTGCCGTGGACTGGTGACCAGTCCTGGTGTACCGTGTCTCATGGCTGATGTTGTGCTGCGACCCCGCCACCCCCCCTTTTAAAAGCCAGCTTTGAAGGTGATCATAGCAACTGGGCCACGGTCACCCAACATTAGGGGTGGGAATCTCTTGGCACCTCACGATTCGATTCGATTCCGATTCAGAGGTCAACGATTCGATTCTAAACCGATTATCGATTCTAAACTGATAAAACGATTATCGATGCATCTCGATTTTCTAAATTTTCTTAAATCTGAGTTTGCTACTCAGAGGTTGCTAATCACTTCCTACTTTATTTGATAATTAAAGAAAATCAACAGATGAATTACCTTCTCTAATTTTTTATAAGAGAAAAAAAATCTTTGTCACAAATGGAAGTAGCCTATGTAAAAATAATATTAAACAGTTTCATTTTTCTTTTAAATGAAGAAAAAGCTGCTCTTAGTGTCAGACCGGTCCGTATTTGTAAAATACCGTAAAAAAGTCAAAATCTGTGAATATCTTCAACTTTCAATACGAATCAACTTTTTGGAAACTCAAAATAATGAGGTAAGATCTGCGCAGGCTCCTCCATAGTTCGGTAAAGTCATTAGATATTCAGATTCAGACTGACGGACCGGTCTGCGAGCTGGACGCATTGCTTTTAATGTGCCGGTGATGATGGTAAATGATGGTTGTAGCTGGTTGTCATCTACGGTCCACTACGATTACCGAAGGGGGGCGTTTTATCTCATAATTTCTTTTTATCCCCTTTCTTCAGTGCGGAAATGGGCTTCTATAGTTGTGTGAATGCATCACTCCAGCCAATCCAAAGACGGGGTTTGTAACCAATCAGGTGTAGAGACCATGGTGACTGGCTCCGCCCCCTTACTGTCAGAAAGAAGCGCGCAGAAAACACCTTCGAGCGCGAGCAGAGACTTACCTCGCGAGTGAGAAAGTTCAGTCTCCGCGAGCGAGCAAATATCTCGAGCGAGATAAACTTTTTTAAAATTTTTAATTCCGATTATTAACTTTTCTGAATCGGGACCGAATCGTTCTAGAGAGAATCGAGAGAAAGCGAAAAATCAAATTTTTCCCCCACCCCTACCCAACATCCTCCAATACATGCGAAACACATGTATTTGTACAGGTATTTGCTCTCAAAGTAACTTAAAAAAAACGTACACAATTCAGTTTGTAAAAAAGAAAAAGAAAAAAAAAAGTACTTCATTTGAAAATTTCCTAAAAACATTTAGTGAGGGGATTTTCCCTTTTAGCTGCCATATGTGGACGGGCTCTTCATCCCTCTGGGCAACATCGGTGTGCAGAGAACGGAACGGATAAGAAGCAGCCGGTCCCAGTGAAACGCTCTTTACAAGTCTGCCTGCCTTTGTTTGTGCGTGTGTTCCGTGGTCCACTGTGTATCATCCCAGCTCCATGATACCGGTTCATTATCAGGCTCAGCATCCTCCGCACCGTCAGGCGGGAGGGACTTAGAAGGCGGCACCGCATCGCCACCACTTGCCTTCTCCTCAGAATCACACGCTGAAGTGTTCCTGTCCGATTCCGCGTCGTTTGGTAAGTCCAGCAGGTATGAAATATCAGGGATGTCCCAGCCGTCACCCGCCTCCACCGCCTCCTCGTCCTCCCTCACGTCTCCACTGTCCCCTGCACGAGGCTCCGGCTCCTCGGCTCGCCGTTGTGTCTCAGTCGCTCGTTGCTCGCTGGGAGTTTCCTCAGACATGTCCACCGTCCCCGGAAGCACAAAGGAGGCTCCTGGGACTTCCTTGGTGGGAACTCCCACGGCCACTAAGATGGTGTCCATCTGTCGCATGTAGTCCAGGTGACCTTTGACCTGGGAGGCAGAACCATGCGATTTACTGTCTTTGAACAAAAAACACATTGATCTGGAATTGTATGATTTTAGTTTTGTGTTTTCTCCCTCACATAACATGTCCAGTTAAAGCGTACCGTGCTTCTGAAGTGTCTCGAATCTTTTGACCTCCCACTTTTAAATGTTCTCTCTAAACCTCCACCTTGTAAAGCACCAAATAATAAGTTGTTAACTAACTTTGCCTATTTTTTGAGGCTGCCTTCTAGGTAAAATGATTTTGTCCCTAACCCTTTGGGTATCCAAACACTTAGTATCTGGATGGATGGAACCACATTTAAACTTGTGTTGGTTTACAGCAGGGGTCTCAAACTGCGGCCCACTGCCGCCGCCAGGGGGCCACGCTGGCGGAAGACTTTGGCGCACCGTCAGCGCCATCCCCCCGTCGACCGCAATGGTCTGGCCCGCGTTCGGTCGAGGTGGGCTGCATCTGGCCCGCACCTGAATTGGGTTTGAGACCCCTGGTTTACAGGGTGGCAGGAAGGCATTTACACTGAAACTGACCAGCAGGGGCCTTATTTTCTTTCTTTGTATTCTTGTCATATTTAAGCAATACCACTGTCTCTTTAAATAAAAAGATGTATTGAAATATGTATTATGCATCAGTTAAGGACTTGTACCCTGCTTCAAAAGTGTCTATTTGAGGTGTTAAATAAGCTTTAGCTCACACGCACTTAGGAAGCAACTCATTAAGGGCCCTCTAGCGGGGCCTGATTTGAATATGAGCTCTGACTCACCACGGAGGAGAGGTCCACGTTGATCACACGCCGATCCTGGATGTTGATGGGCTGCAGCCCGGCAACGGACATCTGGGCAGCCGAACTTCGGTACAAGAACCCCAGGAGCCAGTCCCCTCTGATCGGCGGAGAGTTCGAGAGTCACTCGTGAAAAGATGTAAGTCACAAACGTTGCGGCTAAGCGACGAGCACATCGGAAGCATGACAGCCACCGCGAGATCTTACTGCCACTCGGTGCACGCCGAAGGACAGAGCTTGGTTACATTACCTGCAGTAGCCGTTGACTATTTTTCCAGCCACGACCCTGGTAATCTTCGCCCAGGCCTTCTCGGAGCCGTCCACAGGGGCCCCCAAGAGGACTACATCCTCTACTACTCCTTCACTACCTGAGGGGGAAAGAGATGAGATGAGAGACAAATCCAACCGATTCTACTGTGGTTTCGGCAGCGACTCAGCAGAGAAAACCAGTAGGGCTTTTAAAGGTCATTGATGGAAGGATAAAGATCTTCGTACCTTGGTCGTTGGCGAGCTCCTGCAGACAGTAGTAGATCACTCGGGCCCCGAGACTGAATCCTATAAGGCTGACGGGCCGCTTCCCCTTCACACACACATGGGGAAAGAGACGAGATGCAGCAGTCTGGAGCAGCTTTTGTCCTCCTGGCGTTTACCCAACAAAGGCGAAGGATTCTGTCTGAGCTTCAGACACGGAGCCTTTCATCTAAGGTTTTGCACTTATGTCCGAGGAGACGCAAACCAGCAACTTACAGAAACAATACGGTTCAACTTGAGCCGATGCAGATAATAATGGGTTTTCTACTCACACAGTACTGTGGTACACGACGGTAAGGGAGGGGGCATAGAGTACACAATTTACAGTCATCAAAATAGAACTTCCCCCGTTAATTACTTACATCAAGACAAGTATGTATTGTAAAATACGTTTTCTGAAATTGTATGTTTAAATAAGCAAAACGTGGCCGTTATTTGTGCTAACAAAACTTTGCTAACATCTCCAGGACAGAAGTCTGAACATTGGATAAACCCAGATTCAGAGTTATTGTTTAATTGTGACATATTTATGTCATGGGTTTTTTACAGGAGCAATTTTGGAAGTAAAACAATGCTGCACCAGCAATAAAAGCAATTTTATGTTTTTAGGAATAGAATGTTCTGCAAATAAGACTATGAGTAATAGTAATATAACTGATATAAATCCAACATCTAAATGTGTATTTTGGATGTTTTCCCTTCCACAAAGATGTTATGTTAAAAAAATAGACCCAAATCTCAAAATAAACCAGATTATGAAAAACGACCACTTTTCAGTTTCTGGCCTTGACAGAGTGAGCGAAGTCACACGATACCTGCTGTCTGCTTCTCAGAACCTGCGCCAGGTGTTTCCCCACTTCAGCCGAGCGGTTCAGGCAAACGCACCAGGGGTTGTCGATGACGCTGGCCGCCGCCAGCAGCGACGCGGGCCACGTCAGGGCCGCCACGATGCCTGAGACGGTGGGATTGTGTGAAAAAAAAACGAGGCATCAACGTGGTGCCAAGTTAGGATGAATACTACTCCGAAAAAACAGAACAAGGAGGATAAGATAGTCAGGCATTGGAAGGAACCTGAGAGCACGGTGTACTTGAGCGCCTCCTGGGCCACCATGCTGACCAGCCCGTCCAACAGAGAGGCCATGGCCGAGCCCAGATCCCTGAGGAAACGCGACTCCCACACCAGGCAGAACTGCTCCCCGCACTCCCCCAGGCTGCACCAGGGGGCCTGGAACGAACCTGCAACACAGCGCCGGGGTTTTGTGTGCAAAGGTACGACTAAGTGGCACTTGTGAGTGAAGCGTTGTTGTTTTTTAAAAGCCATTGTAGGGGAAGAGGGCACTCGGGTTTTAAGTGAGTTTTTTGTAGAGGGGGAAGAAAGCTGCATGGTTTTATGCAGAAGACGACACGTAAGTGTTTTTCTTTTGCATAATCTCTAGTATAAGTTTAGAGCATTACGTGGACAACTGTTGCCCAGCACTCCCACCTATCCTCTTTTCTCTGTCTCTTTAATATTCATCCCTCGCTGCTTTTTTCCACCACCAGACTGCTTTAACACAGTGTAACGAGAGAATACTGTAAAGATTGTTATTACCCGATAGTCAGATTTACCAACGAGACTCAATAACACAACATACTGGATAAAGCAAAGCGCTTTATCTCTGTAGGGTTTTTAAATGTGGTCAGACACTTAATTATACCTAATGAATGATTAGGTGTAATCATGATTTTAGAGTGAACCTAATGTTCCCTTGCATGTCATATTACGATTGCCGCGTCAAAACTGGACCATTTGGAAAACTAGTTGTCCCCATTTTTCTCTCAGACACAACATGTAAAAATAGGGGTGAGAAATACATAAAGTGACCCAGTTAAGGATTACCTGTCCAGTGCACTTGTAAGGTTCAAATCACCTGTGCAATCCTATCTGAATAAAAATAGAATATCAAAAACACCTTTCTATCTAGTTATTTAATATTATTAGTATAATATAATATAGTATATTCACCCTGAATACATATATTTAATTATTTACCCTTCAACCAAATACGGTTCAAATACCTGACAAATGCCCTGACTGTATATACACATACACATGCATACATATTGCCATGTAAATGTACATATACCATAATAAAGGATTTACCGAGCTCACCTAAGCTGTGGCGACTGTACGCGCGTGTAGTGAGACGGCAGAAGCCACACTTACTGTATTTACCAGTGCAGAGCCAACCCGTCACCGCGATGGTCAGGTGAAGATGCTTCCCGGAGCGCAGCGGCAAGAATTCAAACTCCTCTATCGCCCCGACACACTTGTTCATCTTGTAGCCTGGAGAAATGATCCAAAATGATGATGCGAATGGTGAAAAAATACAAAAAAAAACTAAGGCCGGGAAGAGGAGAAATACGAGAACACCACAGAAGTGCTTTTATGGAGTTCCAAAAACATTGTGATGACGATCTCTTGCCGTCCTCTTACCAGTCAGTCCAGCTCCTGCTGCTCCAAACATGGAGGCCATGATTGCAATGCCGGTGGCCGAGCCCAGAGCAGCGGCCCCTCCGGCCCCCAGCACAGCGCCGGCCCCTGCCGCCACCAAGGGGGCCGCCAGCCCACCAGTCACCCCTGGCAACGGCACCGAGACGCACAGTAATGTAAAAGGCCAGACACCACATCAATGGGAAAAGAATAGAAAACATGTGTAGGAGCTACTTATTTTCTGTTAGTATGTATTCATAAAGGTGTGTTGTTTATTTATGTAGGTTTGTATGATTGTATAATATGTTAAGATATCATCATCGGTGCGTCAGTGACCCTTTGGTTTTAGTTTGTTTTGTGATCTCAAGGACAAAAGGCCACTTCACTCTGACACAAGTGTGGTGAACTGTAATCTTTATGCAATATTCTGAAAGTCTCAACACTCGGCCGAGGTTTATGTATCCGTTTTCCAGCGTATTTGCTTCTAATCTCCATTTAATGTGTTCCAAAACCCTTGAAGCAGAAATATTCACCAATCACAGTTCCCCCGCCCACGGTGGCTAGTCCAATAAGGAGGTAGCGTCGCAGCTTCCGCCCTCTTTCTCTCCTCAGCCGCCTAGAGGACTCCTCTCTGAGTGGAAGCAGAGGCAGACAGGTCGATAGCGTGAGTTGAAATATGCGTGGGCTCTACAAATAATAACCTCAAGTGATTCGTTTGGAGATAGCAGCTTCCCCCGCTGTTATTTTGGATTTGAGTTTCACTGAAAGTGCGTTCTTTAAACCAGCCGGGCACACAAGAGGTTTGCCCAAAAAAGTTGAGAAAGAACATGTCATCATCAAGTACTTTAAATCAACGGCACCATTTACTGGGCTCATTTGAAGACGACTATTATCCATCCATCCGGATCCGGACACTCGGTCACTTACTCGCTCTCCTCTCCTCCCTCCCTCAGCCTCTCCCCCAGCGTTTGCTCAAACTCCTCCAGCTGCTGTGCAGAGACTCGTAGCAGACAGCTGACGTGACGGATGAGGACCCTCGACCTGGCATCATACTGGCCTGAGCACATGACGGATATGACGGAGTTACATGAATTCACACCCACACACAGGATCTACTCATCGGAGGACTCTTACCGTCCTTCACAGAAAACGACACCAGATCCTGAAAATGCAAAGCAACAGCTGTGAAAATAAGCTTCAAATCATGTCATTACAAACAAGCACGATGGGCTCTCCCATCAGCCGTGGATTAACACGCGTTAACAACACCTGTATGATGGGGGTGGCCCCCGCGGCTAGCAGTGGCTCGGCCTGTAGGATGGAGAGGAAGGTGTCTGAGCCTTCGAAGCCCAAACCCGACAGGAAGGCCCCCATCACCGGCAGCACCGACTCATCCAGGTTCAGCCAGCAGACCAGGCCCTGCAGATACTTCTCCCTGAACACGCTGAGACACGCGCACGGGCCACACGTTAGCTTAAGCCTTATTGGTTATTTTCTTATAACCCAGAAAGCGACTAATGTGGATCAGCGGCAATATTTATATAAAAATGATGATTTCTTGGAGGTTGTAGCTGGATTGATTTAAATATACTGTATGTATATGCATGTATATTGTCAGGATCTCCGATCCCCCCGAGTCGGTTGATGAGAAGGATCCAGCACGTTGATCAATTAAAGTCAAAAAGTTAACATTTATTTAGAAGAGAAATCTTCTCTATCTGGATATCTGGCTCTAACTATTGCTTGCAAGCAGGAGGTCAAACACACAAGCACGTATCTCAGCGTTCGGTGTAATGGCGTCTCCGAGCAGTAAAAACGCTGGGTTTTTATACACATGAAGACCAGTGCCGGGCACGAGAAGCTGCAAATCAGGTTGAGATAAGAACCTGAGGTGAAGCTGAGGGTAGCACACACACACACACAAGATCCTCCTCAGTGGCCGGTGCAAATCATAATTAATTGACATGAAGTAAAAACGCGGATCCGGAACTTTTGTACCGAATAAGATATGAACCAAGGCCGTGAACGAGAAGTCCTTTGTTTTGCAGCGTCTATGAGCTCGAGTTGACCGCCCTCACTTCTCAGAGCACAGCTGCAAACTAACATTTTGTATCATGCTGCTCCTTGCACGTCAGGGTCAAATACAGGACACTTGAGACACGGCTTTAGCACAAAACAATGTTATAACATATTTTACCATTACGTGCATCTCACAATATATATTTAGATATAGATATGTGGGTTTACCAGGCGTTCCTAAATATCAGCCGCTTATCTCTTATGTTAGGGTTTTCTTAGTAGAAGAAAAAAAAAACTGGTTCAAGCACCCGGCGAACACAATGACAACATAATGTTGTGTCGCACGTTACCGCGGGTGGTGATGACGTCATCCTCGGTTACCTGCTTTCCGGTCCCGTGAACAGCTGGCCGAGAGAGACCGCGCACAGTGCAGCGAAGCCGAAGCGGCCCTGTTCGCTCAGCAGCCCGCTGACCGCCGCCGCGGGGCCGGGGTCACGTGGGGCGTCTCGCGCCGTCGTCCCCGCTCCCCCCGGGTCTGCGGAGAGTCACGGACAAATGAGTATGAGTGTTGTTAGCAGTAGGACTAATACTCCGGGCGATAATGCAAATGTCAGAGCACGAACATGAGGCATGAGTAACAATCTGAAATAGGAGAGGTCTTTGCGTCGGAAAGATGTCAAATTCATCAGAGGGCCCAAATAACGTATTATGACAAACACTATATGTGATACGTACGAGAAATAACGTTAGTCTCCGCGATTCTTAAGCGTAGTTTAGCTTCAACATTCGTTTGGTGTTTTTGCTTCGCTACACGGAACCGGGTCACGTGTATGGTCCAACAATGTGAGACCTCTATGCGGTTTCTACTTTTATCACTTCATATAAAGCCAGTGTGACATAAACCGTTAGCTTGTACGGAACAGCTGGCTGACAGGGACCTCGTGCTGCCTCAACCAGCTCACAACCAAACAGTTCTTTGGACACTTTCTAATAACTTCTTCAGTGAAATAACTACTGCCGCACCGGGAAATGTACCAAGCGGATTTAGTGTGGTACCTGGAGCAAAATTGGCGTCCGCACTTCTGTTGTTTTCCTCCATTGCTTCAGATATCTCAACTCTGTACTCTAAACTTTTGTTGCCTTCACGTGTTCGTCCGGCGTCTGGTCATTACGGGGTAATATATATTGTATATATATACTAGCACATTCACCAATACAACAAGGTCATTTGGTTGGTTGTTGCTTTCGTTTTTCATATAATACCCACAAATGTGGTTCAATAAATACATATCTCTATTGTATAATAAAAAAAAACCTTTTCTTTTATGAATGTTATTATTTTCGAGTTTAAATGAAGGCATCTGTTTCAGTGACGTAACGTCCACGTAGTCGTAGAACGGGGCAGGGTGTGTTCACGACTGACGCGTTGTAGAATATTTTTGTCAGCGAAATTGACACTAAGTCACTAAATTACACACTTTTTAGTTATGAATATGAAGTTGCATGCCACGAGCGCCTGGTTTTAAACATATCCACTCTTCTCCTCTTGTGTCCCGAATCTTCTTCGTGACCCAAGATCCAAAATCCGAGCTACATCTGCTGGCCAGCAGGTGTGAGTGTAGCATTCCTTTTTCATTCCGAACTCCCCTTTTCTGCAGTTTCCCCACCACACACTCCTACTATACCAATAAATATCACTAATGACACTTCAGTTTGCGGAATGTTTGCTCCTTTCATAATTCAAATGGTCCTGAAATGTGGCATAAATCCCAATGCACATTCCCCGAAAAGCAAAGCAATGGGCCTAACACACTGTGCCTCCCGCCCGCCCGTTATCAGTGCATGTTTAAATGTGTTCAGAGTAGTTCTAAGGTCATTAATGAATTACTGTCAGTCGTTTTTTTTAGACTGCTATCCGTAGAAATGTTTTTTCCTACGGATGCTTGGGGCGGTACATTAGAATTGCCAACCCGCTTCCCTCAAGGACATGCCAGGCTCACAGAGGCCCACTGGAATGATTTGGTGAGATGTTGCCAATAGCTGACAGTTAACGAAGAACACCATGGCGTTTGTTGTTAATATGCAAATTTAGAAAGAAAGAAGAGCATACTGACAAAAGCAAATACATCCGGAGTGCCTGGGGATGAATGTTTACGAGAAGTACCATGCTGCGGCATCCGTAGCACAGTATAGTTGAGACACAGCATTACATGCAATATAGTACAGTACAGCATGTGTAATGTGAAAATATACAACCTCATATAATATAGTATGTGCAATTTGATAAAGATTGTATAATATAGTGTTGGGACAGTATAGCATAGTACAGCATGTGTGTATGGTAAAGTAAAATAGTAAAGGAAGGTGAAATATGTTCAAATAAAAATATAACAATGTTATTATGCAAGACTCAGGGTTAGGTGTAGTTCTTTTTAGACAGATTCTGTCTTTCTGTGCGGCTGCTGCCCTCCCACTCCCTTCCCTCTTTTTCATCAGCCTTTCATACTTGGCAACGGTTTTGTGTCCACTACATTTGTTTTTTCAGACATAAGTCAATGACAAGAGATCAAGGTGAAACACAGGAAACGTGCACAGAGCGGATTAAACTTGCACCAGGTCATGTGTGGAGGTGTACTTTGTCAAAATAATATCCTGGCCTTGTCACAGAGGAATCTACCTACGCAAGCTGTGTTTTTCTGTCTCCAAGAGGCATCCTGTTTACACAACCCACCAAACAGACTGTATCATAAACAATACTTTATATGTAGAAAAACAGCTTGATAGCCAGGGATATTAATAGTGTGTCTTTATTTGTAATGTCTTTCTTGCATCGTATGAAAAATGATTAAACACAGCAAGTGCAACCACAATATTACATAAGACACCTTGTGGGAGCAGAGGTGATGAATAGGACTCATAGGAGTTCATTTCCCGGGCGTGCCTAAGCTTGTAATCAGCGACAAATAAGTCTGACTTTACAAACCTTGAGCGTTGAAAAGCAGCGATAGAAAAGAGTAAAGTCTGCTAGGGAACACCTGACCGGGCCTTTGTAGAGCTGTGCTCAACATCCCAGGTAAACTGTGGGTACACTTCTGCCGTTGCCAGTGCATTGACTTCATCCATAATGTTACACATTAACACTTTTTATAATGCAAAATGTCTTGGAATGAACTCGACCATCACCGCTAACTTTCACATTAGATACTAAATGTTTTCGGTTGATTTAACATTATTATAGTAGTTATTTTTCAAATAATCAATTATTTCAGCAATTTCACAAATAACCGCAAAATATCAAACATCCGCTTGTCTCAGGTGACGATTTGTTGCTTTTCTTTTTCTTACCGGAGAGTAAACTGAATATTTTTTGGAATTTGGACTGTTTTAAAGACTTTATGGTTTGTTTTTCACAGTTTTTTAAAACTTAATGAGTTAATGGTAAACCAATAATTAAAACAATCATTATTTGTGGCCCTAATTATGGAGGACAAAAAATGACGTAAGTGTGAATAAAAACAGGAATAAAGAAATTAATAAATGTATAAGTAAGTGCTTAAATAAATACAGAAATATTTAAATGCTAAAATGTTTGTGTCAGGGTTGGGGGTGGAAGGCAGGACTCAAACGCAGACTTTTCCAAAACAAAAGACTTTAATAATCAAAAGGTCCAAAATCCAAAAGGCCAAGGGGCAAAAACACACAAGCATGAACCTACGGGGGCGAAAGACAAGAACAGGACATGCGTGGCAAAAGACACTGACGCGACAAGTGACACAGGAGACACACGGCTTAAATACACAAGGGAGGTGCAGGTGATTGGACACAGGTGGAAACTATTAGACAATCACAGGGGACAACGGGACAAGGCAGGAAGTGAAGTTACCCGGGGACACAAGTGGCAGAAAACTACAAAATATAACATGAAGTGAACCACACCGTGACAGTTTGCTGGAAAAAAATGATAAAAATGGTCAAATAAATATGGAAATAAATAAAAATATGGAAGTTGACCAAACAGTGGTCGACAATCTTGAAGGAGCTGCCCACCAACTTTACCCTTGGACGTCCATTGTATATTTTATCTCCAAAGAACACTGAAGCTCATCTACTTTGGGGACACACGTGGCGCTGATGTTTGGAGGATGCTGCAGTACGGAATACTGTCAAGTGTGTTTTCTGCTTTAATTTATTATCTTTTTAAAGTGTGTATCGTTTTGCAAATTAACGTAATATTTATTGATGGTAAGTTTGACTTTACATGGTTGGCATGAAATAAACTATATCAGATCAGTTGCAACCCTATTACTGGACAAAATGAAGTTGAATGCATTCTGATTTTACACCTTTTAATTAAGCACAATTGCATCAGTTTGACCCTTACGATAGTGTTGCCTTCATAAACTCAACATTTGAAATATTTTAACTTAAAATATGAATTAAATGTAAAAGGGATATGATCGATGTCTTTGGGCAGCAGGTTCAAGTTAAACCTCTTGTTACATTTCATTCATTTCTACAGCACATAGTTGGGTTCAGATGAACACAGTGACACACAGGTACACCCGGTGATTTTGTTATAAAATATAATTAAAATAATTTTAATTTCAAACTGCAGATTGACGTACAGCTTGTGATCAATGTGTTCTGCTTGTACTGTGAGTTAAGTCACAATTTTTCGTTGTCTCGTCTGACTTTTGTCATGTTATTTTTGACGACCAGAGTCCACGACCTATGAACTCCATTAGAGGACAAGAATTTGGATCAAACTGGCACTCTGCAGCAACATCTCAACACTGGATACTGTGAGATGCATAGATTCAAACAGTGATAACTCTAAACTAACCTTGTATTTCTATTGTGAAATCTGAATGACGGCTTTGCTAAAGTAGATTTTAAGTGGCAGACAGTCATCTTATCCTTTTTAAGAGATTAACACAGATATTTGTAATAAACTGTCATTGTAAGCAAACTAAAGGATTTCTTCCCCATCAGGATTGAAAGGCTTTTGAGAGACGTTTATAACCGCGTTCTTGATCTCCTCTACACCATCTTTATCAACCTTGAGGGAGAAGGTCTTCTCAATCCTGACAAAGAAATACATTGACAAAGAAGTACATGTTCTGCACTGGTGCTTTGTTCCCTGAATATATTTGCAGCAACAGATCGCCTTCTTGTCGTCCGTCTCCCTTCAATGTATGGAAATGAAGAGGAGAAGCTATAATCAGTGAGGAGAAAAAGGCTAACTAAATCCTAGCACGCCTTACAGTCTGACGCAACATGAATAAGTGAATCACGGTGATAGTTATTTAGTCTGACTGCAGAAACCCCACTGGGTGCCTGGGTGTGTCATCGTGTGGCCGTGGGGGTCAAATTGGGAGGTTTGCGTGTTCTTGGTGCTGCAGAAACAATACAGCAGTGAATGCTACATGGCTGCCTAGTTCGGTTTGATACAACATTAGTATGTTGGCACCTTCGCCATCAGTATCTAGGTAACGTTAGCTAAACAACTGCGGACGTCATGCGGCCTACACGTTTAAACAGAAGCCATGCGCGCTGCTAGCCAGCTGTTTGACATGGAGCGATGTGCTAGGGATCGATTGCTTCTGTCTTGCTCCTCTACTTGACTAATCCTGCATATGAATGAGGTTCAGACCGCCAAGCTCATTAACACACGGACACAGAAATACAGGAAGAAATAAATGAAGAAATACAGAAATGTATAATAGATTTATTTAATTATGTTTGGTTTAGGTATCAACTTATATTTATACATTTCTGTATTTATTCTTTTATTTAAGCAAATATCTATTTATACATTCATTCATGCATTTATTTATCTATACTTAGGTCATTTTTTGTCCTCCATAGTATTTGTCATATATGTTTTGTTTATTTGCTAACCTATACATTCCTTGCAACACTGTATGTGTTGCAAAACATATTGCAAACAGAATAATTTGGAAAATCACACATAATACTCAGACATTTTTTTCTCATCAACATTTTTTTCTCATCAACTATTTTTATCCTCCCAGACATGTGATGGCTTCTCATCTGGATCTGAAAACTGGAACCTTTTAAAATCCTTTAACTGCCCTCCTGATGTTTTTATTGTGACATTTGTATCAGTCATGGCTGTCAAATTTAGTAC